ATTCGAGCTCGGCTCCAGGGGCATCATCGTCAAACTGGTCTACTAAAATAGCTTTCTGGCATCGAGGTATCGCGGTAGCCCGCCGGTTTGCGCACGCTGCCATAAAGTGCCTCGTTCTCTGACGTGTCGCCATTTCCCCTGTCCAATGGCTTACGACTTTGTCCCAAAGGGCTTGCGCACAATAGCAGTCCCAAAAAATGTGCCGCAGCGTCTCTGGACATACCGCACATCGAGCCGTCCTCTGGCAACAATTATTGCGCTCTCGTTCAGGATAGAAAATGTTTAGTTGGCCGGTTGCGAGTATATAGCTCGTCCAAACCTGATAGATTGTTAACACATTTCCATGGTCCTAGATCTGATGTGGGGTTTGCTGTAATGCTCACTCGTCCTTTGTAGTTTTGCACTCCAGTCGGTCCACGAATCGCTGCAGTGGCTTCGCTAGGGCTCGTTTGGTGAAGGTGAAGGCCTGGAGACCTATAGCTTTCGATAAACGGTGCATCGCCGTGTTTGCCGGAGCTCTCCACGGAAATCTATGCAGCTGTGGATGAGCCGCGAACACTAGTCCAGCAGTGCCGATCCTCGTTTTAATTTGCGGTGCCTGCTGCTGTAGTTGTGCTGTTTTAATCTCGGGATGCGACCTTCGAAAAACCAGTGTAGTCCATATTCACCCTGTTTTAATGTCACAATACGTGTAGCTGCTGCAGCTTGTGACCGACCCTCGATGCAGCCTTTTTCCCGAAGGATACAGCAGAATGAATCAGCCAATGGTGACTCGTAAAGCAGCTGTATAGACGGAGCAGCTGTCATGTCCCCTCCAATGCTAAAATCCGGTGAGGATAATAAAATAGACGTTGCCCACCGTTGAAGTGTCTGTGCCGAATGTCGCCCGGGTTGGTTTGCCCGGTCAGGAAGTCGGAAAAACTTTCCCTCTGTCCAGTCCGACGCACGTGCAAGTCGGCCAGAGAGCATGAGGCTATTCTGTTATACTTGCGGTGCTTCAGCGTGTTTCCATGCTCGTCTACGACCCATGGATTATCGTTCCAATCGAAAGTGGCCCAGAAACTTATGATCTCCGCAGGCCAAATATTGGAGTCCCCTCCTCGGGGCGGGTACACCTGATAATACGAGAGGACCCAGTCATCATCCTCCCGCCAACTACTGACCCCCTGTAGCATCGCGTTACAATGCTCGGAGATCCGTGATCGGACACCTTCCAAGTGAATAGCAGAAGGAGCCAACCATTCCCCTAACGCTTGTACGAGCGTGCATCCTGGTGACTGGTCCGTCTGACGGCGTGCACGCCCCAAATCTGGCGTCTTGGGAGTCACACTGGTCGCTTGTAAAGTCGGTAGGTCCCGATAGGCCCACGTGCGCCATGCTCCGAAATACCGATCATCTTTTTGCGTTAGCCACACCACTGCATGCTTTAGTCTTTGTATCTTGATCGCTACTGTTATGGAAACGAGTCCAACTCCACCTGACTTCTTTGGCGTCACCAGAATACCCGGATTGACTTTGTGCCGACACTGCTCTGTCGATGTAGCGTGCGCCTGGAGAAATTGCTTGTAAAGGTTGGATAGCTCGACTTCGGCCCATCTTGGAAGATCAAATGCAATCGCCGTGAACAATAGCGACGGTAGAACGATAGAGTTTAAAATGAGTACCCGATTTTCCACGCTGGTAGTCACTTTAGTTGAGGTTGGGAGTCGCCGCTGGATCTTGCGACTGCGCTGGGCCCAGATTTTGTTAGTCAGCTCTCCGGTTCCCACTTCGTACCCAAGGTACCTGGTCGTGTATGCGGGAGATACAATGTCAATTCCGTGCCAAGTGGCCAGGGAAACTGCCGTGTTAAGGAAAATTAACTTGCTCTTGGCCGATTGGACGTGTAGGCCAAAAATTTGCCCAAACTGTCTGACGAGCCTGATAGCGTGTGGTATCTGCTGTGCTTTTTCCAAAAACAGAGTAGAGTCGTCCCCAAACGCTAAGAATCGATGTCCCGCTGTTTATGCCGAGGTATACTAAGCCCCACCAGCTTTCCATCCTGTGTTAGGGGAATCCCAAGGACTTCCACTGCTACCAAGAATAATAGGGGTGTCAGCGGACACCCTTGACGTATACCAGATACTACCGGTATCGCCTTTGATTGTCCATTCACCACAAATCGGGCTACCGTGCCTCGATGCAGACGCGTCACGAGATCCACAAAACGTTCGTCAAAACCACATTGACGCAAAGCTTCCGATAGAAACTCTCTGTCGACGGTGTCGCAAGCCTTTTTAATATCCAACAGCAGAATACATATGCTGTCGTTTACGTCCAGTTCCGCCTCCGCCCGAGCTGTAGTTAACTAAGCCAACATCATCATGACGATGTTTTGCATTCGGCGTCCGTGTACAAACCCTTGTTGGGAGTCACTGATGACTCCCTCTGTAGGACCCTTTGTACTCGGGTGGCAAGTACTTAAGCGAAGAGCTTGTAACTCGTCTGCAGTAACGAGATCGGGCGATAATCCATTGCGTCAGTCGAGTCGTCTTTTTTTGCAACGGTATAACGAGAGCTTCAACCAATGAATGTGGCATCTCCGCCCCTTGGAGAATTTGATTGCATATCGTTTCCAGTGCTGGAACCATGAAGCCGCTGAGTCCTTGTAAAGTCATTATTTAGCCCATCCTGACCTGCCGCCTTTTGTCGTTTATGCGCCGCGACGGCTAGCAAAAGTTCATCCACAGATATCGGCTGTAGAAGAAGGGCGTTGTCTTGATTTCGCAGCCCCTGCCCGGACGGTATACTTACAAATTCCCCGAATTTAGTAGACAGGTCATCCAGCTCCACTTTTCGATAAATCTTGCATAGAACTAGAGACCATTCCACAGCAAGCCTATCCGCTATGGTCATGTCACGCCGGAACGCCGCACCGTGTCGCTGGGTGATATTAGTGACATGCTGATCACTCTCCCAATCTGATACTCTTTTATACGACCATCGCAACCGCTCCGTAGAGCGTGCAAGCTGGTCACCAAGCCGTACCAGATGTGCCTCCCGCATTTCCTCCAGATTGGCTGAAATCCATTGCCGACGCGTCAGTAAATGTGCCCTATATCTTTGACGTATCTTCTCCATGACGCGCTTACGTCGTTGTTTTTCTCGTTTGGTTATACGTTAAATACACTTTACGCCTTCGGCCACATCTGCGTCCCATGTGTGAACTGTGGTTCCGTGTCCGACCTCCATATTCGCTAACTCGTGGTGTAGGTCCGCTATCACTCGTCCGGGCTTGTTAGTCTTGATAGGATAAGCGACTTTACACTGATGGGCGGCCTGTGCGTCGCTAAGGTGTCCCTCAGATGCAGTTCCACCTCCTGATGATCGGAAAAGAGAGGTGGCGAGCGAACATATACCCAGACGACGAGGGGTGCCCAATCTTCGGGAACGTAAAACCGATCAATCCGACTTGCTCGGTCACGTTCCCAATAAGTGAAGTGATCCGCTAGGTCTTCTTTCCCTTCGTCATCTGCATGGTAGCGCAGCATGCGCGCATCCGTCATCTGCGTATTAAGAAGCAACTTTGTGAGGGCAGGACTCTCGGGTCGGCTTGCCTTCCGCCGCCCCATCCTGTCCAGTTGAGGGCTCTGTACGCAATTAAAGTCCCTCAACAAGACGCTGTCAGTATTGTGAAGGTCCTATGAACTTAGCCCGTTGAAGAACAGCCCCCTTTCTCCTCGCAGGGAAGGCGCATATATGTTTAACACGCCAATCTCGCCCATCCGTATCCCGATCGTGGGAGTATTCCACCGATGTGTCTCCCATGCTGATGCCGTATTCGCCGACACAGGGGTAAGAAGGATAGCAGCTCCACCAGATGAGGATGGCCCCGTACTCCAGTAAGACATGACAGGGTGATCCCGATCTTGCTCTTTCCCCCAGAGACGCCTCCACTCTGCTGCCAACGCGCTTGCCTCGTTGACCGTGTCCACTCGCGTCTCTTGTATGCACCAAGCCAATGGTCGCCGACACATAGGGGTTCGTCTCCAGGCCCCCATCCATTGATGTCGCGTCTTATCTTTAGAACCTAATACGTTTTGTAAGACCAGTTTTCTGTCCATTTGCAAGCCGGTAGATAAGTCGGTGGACCCGTCGTGTGGTGACCCCTTTAGAAGTCTGAGCCGTCCGTACGCATCCGCCGTAGCTATCGGAGATCCGTAATAGAGCGGGCCCAGAGTCACATCCATAGTGCCCTTAGTACAGAACAAGGCTGCTTGCCTCAATATGCTGGAGTTCAGATGAAAAAAAGCTACGAAGAGCTTTCCACTCGACTGGTTTGTTCTTGGAATAATAGGAGCGTTTGTACCGGTCATTTGAGACCAGTAACCTAAGGTGCAGCCGCAGTTTGTCCGGCGTGTGCGGTGGTGTGGGTTTACCTTCGGTGAGCGCGGAGATTTCACAATCATAAAGAGAGAGCACACAATAAGGTGACCCAGTCCCTTGCGCCGCCGGGGAGAACACAATTTGAGCATATCGTCGCCCGCGTACTTCTGAGACCGCAGATGAAATCAGTCGTCCGCGTTATCCACCAGAGGAGCCAGTACCTTGTTGGTACTGCTATGACGAGTATTGCAGATCCACCGGTCCAGCCATTCGTGTGTACGTTTGTCCATCGTCCTGTCCATGTATCTCTATAGGCCAGCCGCGAGACATTCACGTCTACCATCAATGGTCCATTGAACAAAGATGGAATCATCGAGAGTCAAAAGTAACTGTTCTGGAAAGGCAAACCTTTTGACATGCCACATCAGAATATCCGGCGCATGCTGTACGATCCGTTGCCATTCCACTGTGGTAATCCATGCCGCGAACAAAGGAACGTATGTCCCTGAAGACCATTCCAACTGCAATAACTCCCACGCAGAGGCCCAATCCTCCTTGTCAATACATTTGTCGTCAGGCTCACTAAAGTGAAGCCGAGGAACCTTGTCATTTCGAGCCTTTTTAAACACTTGCGCCTACGAGTTGTGATCTGTCTGTCCTTCGTCATCAATAGCTGTCGATGAATGAGAAAATACACGTTTACGCGCTGTGAATGACTGATTCCTTGTGTCCAAAGAATTCTCCGTGAGCAGTAACGCTGATACCCCCGCCAGTCCACATATTGCGAGTGTGGTGCATTGGCTAGTCGTTATCGGTGGGTGCGTCGCGTCAGCTATGCTATCCTCGTGCGTAGCTGGACAGAGGCCGCCAGGGATATTCACAGAGTCTGATGTACCCAACTCGGCGAGTAATGAACCATCTGCCCGCAGAGGCAAAGTGTTTCTGGTCGTAATTGGATGACGGAGCCCCCTAGGCTGCAGCTGCCAAAAGTTTAACTGCGTAGGGGATATATGGTACTCCTGTAACATCCCGTTTCCGTGGCAACTGTCGCGTCCTCTCTTAACACAGTCGCTAGGCACTGTTGAGCTTCCAGGTATTGTGATAACACTGTCTGAGTAAGCAGGGTGAGAAGCTCATCATAGCGCTTAGGGTCACGCGATGTCAAAAGCAGATAAATCTCGTGTTTCAGCTCGAGATGGACTGACTCCGAATCTAGTTGCCCCCAGATGGAATTGATCCGGTCGGTTCCTGACGCCACGACATCGGCAAGACCTTACTGCTGTTGACAGCGATTATCGTACGACACTGCGCTGTAGAAACCGGTGATCCCGCCGTAATGTTTGCTGGCCATTAAGTCTCGAGTCATTTCTGACCATCGCTGGTATCCCCGTCGCCTTCAAGATCTGGCAACCCCCCAGTCCTGCTAGAGTGTATAAAAGCTAAGTAGTGCTGTCCCCAATACCGTAGTATATGGGGTAATGTGCTTGGGTGTTCGATCTTACCCGTGATGATTTCGTCCATACACTCAGCCACAGTCAAATTGTATTCCGCTGACGTCTCGACCACTAGCCGCTGACGAGTAATGGTCCTCGGTGTGTATTTTCGACATACCCAGTCACTATTGTCACCCGTTATGTGCTATATCACATAAATGTCGCGCTGTAGAAAGTTTGCGGCCATGCCCAAGGTGTTGCTGCCGCCCCAGGTGTCAGGTGGGACGACTGTGTCCGGTTTAGAAGAACTCGCGGCGTAGTCATCAATAAACCATCGCATTTAATTGGCCGATTCCGAACGGGTTATTGTAGTCCAGCCGCGATGGACGTTGTGTAGCGCGTGAACCCGATGATCGTGAGCGAACTGATCTTCCAAATGAAGAAGTCCAGAATATTTTATACCCTTTTTTAGGATCGCTGTCAGCCGCTCCATCATTTTATCCGGCCCATCCAGTGGCGCATCCGCTGAGGCTTGCGCCACTGCTATCGCCATACAATTCCCGGTAGCAGGTGACGTAACCTCACGCAACCCCAATTGGAGCGACAGCTCTGAGATAGAGGATGGTGAGATCGATGAACGGGCTCCGATTTGGAGGTGAGTGCGTGACCCGGCATCTTTCTAAAGTTGGATCTGGAGAAACCTACTCCGTTCACGCCGCTTATGGGTTATCAATACAAGAGCTGTGCTCCGCTGTGCCGGACCTCGCTTTAAGGCCTCTTCTTTCCTCGATAGATCATCGTGAGTCATCGGAACGATCTTTGTGAGATCTTCTACGCTCCGTGATCGTAGCTTCGATGTGGTATCGACCCGTTTTTTCTCAGATTTTTCAGGAGTATTGACATGTTTCTCGTTGAGCTCATGAAACGCACCAGACGAAGGGATATGTGGAGCGGCATGGCGAGAGGGTCCAGATGGGTGGGTCACAAATCTCTTTTACCTCGTAGTGGCTTAGTGATCCACGGCTGTTCGGGTCGTGGTGTAGGTTCAGTGTGGATATATACTTTTTGCTTTGTTCCATCGTCTGCCCCCGATCAAGAACTGAGAATTCAGCCCGTGTAAGAGACAATGGTGTCGACGGCTTGTCTGACGATACTGTTGGCATCACCGCTGCTTGTGCCGCCGCTTCTGCTCTCTGCTGCAATTGAAGCCTTTGAGCTGCCATTGAGCGTATTTTGTCGAGACTGCCAAAAGGCTTAGCCAAATCTTCCAGCTCCCGGATGTCCTCTTCTTTCACAGCAATACCTCCTGGTCCTCGCAGTTGCTCCTCCGTTGAGCCACAGCGTGACAAGGTGTGACCTAGAAGTCCACATCGCAAGCACTGAAGCGTTGGGATGCTTAATGATTATCGTAGTCCTGAATCAGAGAATACGGACCACCCCATCCAGAAACGTGGGGCAATCAGCAAGCTTAAAGGTTACGCTCCATACTGTCGAAGTATTCGAATCCGGATTATGAGTATCCATGTCGTCCATATCAAACTATGTTCGCCTGTAAATAAGCCGCCATCCGCCCAATATCGTTAAACCGCGTGAGGTTATATAGTTAAATGGTGTACTCCGTTCGGCGTCCACTAGTGCCCGGTTGACCTCCAGTCTGACGGGCCCAGATGGGTCCTTGATGAGACTGTGCGCGTTGTGCAAGGTATACACCCCCCCCCTGATATGGCACCTGGACTGATTTGTGCCGGTCCGCGGTAGTTCTCGTGAAGAAATAAAAGTGAGTTTACTTCATTACCTGATTGTAACAAATAGTCTTGGTCTGTTCCAACATCCGATGTAAAGCCTGTAAATCAATTCTCGCTAGTTCGGCGGACGCCAAAATCGTCTCACTAAGAGCTTTGGTTGTCTGACGACTTGCCTTTATCATCCGGCGGCAATCCAAATGGAGAATTTATTCTCCTTCCACTTGCGCTTGAATCGTTCTGTATAAGCGAAGACGTTCCTCGCTCTTTAGATCTTGATCCAGGAACGATAGCATCCGACGACATGCAATAGTACCTTCTACCAGTCCCACAATGATTGACCATTCGTCATCAGTGCCATCACGGATGTGATGCCTGTGAGCTACACCACTTGACGCCATACACAAGCTTCGCAGCCTTGTGATCTCCTCCGTTGAAAATTTGGCCGGGTTGAACATGAAATCATCGAATATTGCCCCTTTAGCCCCAGAAGTACGGATAATAGGCACAGTGCTGCCGTTCTGCACCACGTGCGCCCACTAATTAAGTACAGGCGCCTATGCCCATTTGTGTTTACCGGACATTTTGCGCACGACTCTGGAAATCCCCACTTCGTGATGAATAGTTCCTTGATTAAGACTGTAACAAGCTTTTTCCACTCCGTAAAGGTTCCGGGGCTGTTGACGAATGCCTGTTCAAATAGTCCAAGCAGACTGGCCACCTTTACACTAGTGAGAGCTGCATACCTCTGCCGAGCCAGCGGTGAAGCCTCGTGTTTCACCGGTACACTAGCGAAGACCTCCGCGAATAACTCCCGCACCATAGATCTCCATGCCTCACCTGTCCAATGTCTGGCGAGTCCTTCATTTCCGCTACCAGCGCCGCAAAGATCTCTTCCGGCGTGGATCGTAGTGGCGCTGAACGTTGTCCTTGAGTACCCCCGCATTCACCCCCGGAGGAGCTCTGGGGTGTCGGTAGTCCGTCATCGATCGTCGCCGGTAGGTTTGGAACTTGCCGTACAATGACCGGATCTGGTGAAAGTGACTGCTGTGAGACAGCTGCCCCTTCTGGTGAGTCCCCCTCGTCGCCCGCTCCCCCTAGAATCGGGGGCAGGTGAGGAGGGGGCATATAAACTGGGTCGGGCAGTTGTATGACCGAGCGTGTCTTGATTTAGTACTCCTTTGTGATCACAAGTGATCGCTGCGTCGCAGATTAAAGAGTGTAGGTCAGTTACTATCCCTGATGTCTGTGCGAAAGGTTGGTTGCCGTGAACAGCAGAAAAGCTTGGGTGTTCGCTTAAACATATTGTGTTACGGCTAGTCGATCCATTACCCTTATTTTATTATATACCAAAAACGTACAGAAAAGACCACATTATAGTGAACTTCAATAGAAACATTTCTAAAATAAGTAGGATACTCCCCTATTGAAAACGTACTGTAGTCTTCAGTTGCGGGACGACGGCTCCTGCAACGGCGCAGGTGGGAGCCAAGGTCGTGACGGCAAAATCTGCAGCGACGGAAACTGAACCGGTGGAACCTGCGGCGGTTGTAAAAGCAGCGATACCGGACGAGACAATGCCTGCAGAGGCGGAATTGGCTGCGTCGTCGCGTTACAGAGCGAAAGGTAAGATGGTGGCGGTATGTGCAAGTGCGCGAGTCACGATGACGTTACTTGGAACGGATTAGACGGGATGATTGAGTCTTTGGCTGGGACAGGCTCAATCATCGCACTTGAGGGACACTGAAGCCGGTTGTGACCAATTTCAAGGCAATGGTGGCAGGTGTTGCGAGACAGCTGCCTTTCCACTAGCTCCAAACCCGATGGATGCCGCCTCGTCGATCTCTGGTGCAATTGCTTCTAAGAATATGTTTTCTGGATGCGAAAGGGGGGTAGGATACCAAAATCTCGGGGTATAGCCGACTTACTAGAAATGTTTTATGCTGCTATTTAAATGTCGCATATATTTATTTACATTAAGTACACATCCAATTAGTTGCCAATCTGGACGATTGACGCTCTTTTTAGCATTACGTCGACAGGGTCATGTCTCCTCGGCATCATCTATCGAAGACAACAAAAAGCAATCGAACGATGAAATTCGTGCAACAGAAATCTATTGCGAGCAGATCAACCCAAGCCATATTACGTCGATGGTGTGGTCGTTTAGTCGTTAGCAAAACCAAAAATGCACATGCGACGCTATTTAGCCGTATTGCACAACCCCTAAAAGCAGCACCACAGAGAACCGACCTGCTTGCACTTTCTCGAGAGGGAAGTAGCAAGTAGATCATGTTGATATATCCCAAAAACGCCGATGGCAAATAGGACGGCTAGGAATAGCATAAACTCAAGCATACCGGTACCGTACACTTCAGTATCCTTAACAACACAGATCAATAAGCTCAACAATTTGTGGTATGTATTCCACACAGCATCGCAAGTACCTACGGCATTGCGCCAGTATAAGACGCAAGCAACGCCGGTTTGATCCTGGACAATGTAAATCCTATCGGGGCGTTTTGTAAACCTCTCAGTGTGGTCTTTGCTCTCCTTAATCATGAGAAGCTCCGACATCTAGGTCAAGCGACGGATTCATACCCGCCATTATAAACATTAGCCCAATTTATAGTGAACAAGACCGCTCCAAGCACCTTGCAACCATCGCCTAAACATTATTTTATCAGCAGTCAGTTCTCGTACCTCATTAATTCTTAGGCACATTCACGTAATTGGACACTGGTAGTAAAAACTTGGAACCAGACAAAAAGCTGCTGAACCCCCAGAACGCGACACCAGTGTAGGCCTGCACAACATCAGCAACAACAGTAAATAGGAAAATACCAGCAATAGCAATAAAATGTAAAAGCAGCAAGTGGTTTGGACTGTTAGTCACTCGGTCATCAGCCACATCTATGAAACACACTTCCCCTCCTTGTATCGCTTCGGCTATAGCCCCACCCACTGTAATAGCCAGTCTCCCTGTATACTCTGATTGTATACCCAAATTATGCACCATCGCTGACGTGGGTACAGCAACGGGTCAAATCTAAAATTACACAAATGATAGCCCGCCCGCAACCAGCGGCAGCCGCAGTCGCAGCCCCAGCGGCATATTCGACGTGGTCTCGGACATACTTATATTATCACTAGCGTCCATCGCCACGCCCCTAGTTCTGTAGCCACGTCTTCCTCTCCTTCTCTATCGTGATCGTTGCCTCTATCGGCTACGGGTACCACTGCGATGTCCGTGGGTTGTTTATGACTGATATCTGATGATTGGTAAACGATCTCTGGAGACGGCGGGAGGGACGACCGAGAAACGAGAAGATAAAGGAGCAATATCGATGAATGCGCCGTGACACAGTCGACGTTACGGCTTGCGCGTGTAGCGATTGCTGAGCGTGTGCAAGGGCAGTGACCTGAGCAGGGTACCTAAAAATTGACATGTAGTCCGTTTAAAAAGCGGACTGTCCAACTTATCTGAGAAACATTTCTATTGAAGTTCAGCACAATGCAGAGTCTTTCTTATTTAATATGGCTGGGACCGCCAAATTTTGATTAAATAAGGGAATTATTAGATGGCAGAGTTAGCGGGATAAAGTTGAAGCGAAGGGTGCTACACATGTTAGCAAGGAGGAAGACAGCATGGCTGCACCGTCCGTACCTCTTCGGAATGCTGCACCGATCCTTGCCGAGATCAAGACTTTCTGGTAGCAGCAGGAGACTGGAGAGGAGTTCTCAGGGATAATTTAGAAAATGCAGGGTCAGGTGGAATATCTTCAGCAAGAATCACTAAAGAAACAAACTCTGGATAATTATTGCAGTGGTCCCCCGGCAGTAGTTTAATATCTGTATGGCAGAAATTATCAATGGCTTTATTTAAAATTAAGGGAGTTTATAAAATTTGGCCTGGGCTCAACTTGGGACTTGACGCTTTTTTTAAGTAAGGAAGATTATGAAAAAATAAAGGAATAATAAATTACGGAGACTCCGCTGTAACGTGGTCTTTTCTTACCTTTTTTGTTAATAATTATCAAATAAGGAGTAATGGATAGCCTAACCGTAACACAGTTTTCTTAGGCGAACACCTACGTTTTTTACGATTTTCCTTGAATGCCGAGCTTTCTAATCGTACTTATTTTGTGTCCGTCTGTAAACAACGCTGTAGCTTACTTATGTTAAGTGCGATCTACCCTTTCCCCCGTTAAGTATAAGTATATCCGAAGTCGCTCTTTGGCTAGGCTACCATAATGGTGCAATAGTGACCTAGCCAGAGAGTGAAAGTGGATGCTTGCGATTGGCTTAAAACTGATCAAAGGTGAATAGGATCACATAGGCGAATGCTGGAGGCTTATAAGCAAAGGCTGATCGCATTAACCAACCATACTCTACTAGGTTGATATAGACATTTACAGCATCATACTCAGTCTTCAGTGACTGCTGCTGTTGGTTGTATTGTGCAACTTGATTCGGTTCTCGAAACTGGATTACTTATATCACAGAACGAGCTCCAGAACTGGTTAAGAAACGCATCAATCGTACGATTAGAGAAGACGCATCGGGTCGCCGCGACAATGAACCGGATGGAGTTTTTTCTGATGGGGTCGGCAACAAAGTCTTAAGCGATATCCCTTGAACAGCAAAATGTGAAAAGATTACTCGATACTTTCATGGTAGTCGTTGGGCTGTGACACTACGAAGAGAGATCCGTTGAAAGTCTGTTTGAATGGATGTTGTCGTGAGTATTTATCACCTCGGTGACACACGCGATAAGTTAAGACTTTAGCTTATCAACGGTAATGCCTGGCAGCCGCTTTCAGCTTGTTTCCAGTATGTGCACAGCTGTCCGAAAATAACGTTTCGAATAAGAACCAGGATAATAATAGGCTAACGCGCAGGAACGAGCCTCTGCGCGGGTGAGACGTGTATCGTCCGCTGCAGTTGCGCGTGTTAACAGGCGTTACAAACGTTGTGACTCGCTGTTTAACACGTATCTTTTCCTGATTTAACTCAATGGTTAACGCTGTACGCGAACATAGAAGGCTTAAATGGTTAACACGGCACTTGTTCTAGTGAAAGCAACAATACGCCTTAACAGCAGCACCCATGTGATCCGATACCTACTAGTAGCCAAATATTGCAATTTAGATGTCCCCAAGTCTGGCGTACTGCAGTATATCTCTCGGAGGTCGGCTTGTTGTTTCTTAACAAGACAATACCAGATTGTGGCAGCACGGGTAGTGAATCCTGGTCACACTTCCATTCCGTGTTGGAATGAGAGGTTTTGCGTTTGACTGTTGTAAGTGCAGCAGCTGCAGTTCCAATACACGTCTGTGCACGATCGCACGTCGGGTACGAACGTGGAAAGGTCCTCCCATGAACAAACACTTGAAGCTACAATTCTGTCTGATAACGAGCTAAAACTCGCAGGATTTGAATCGACTTGACGATCGCCGCCTCTGAATTCAGGGTTGCTTGGTTCTTCCAAACGATATTGCTGACTCCACATGTGTTTCTTTCTCTGCAAAATTTGACGGCGACAAGCTCTGCTGACAATCTCTTAACTTTTGATAGTTGGCACTTCCAGTGAATCGCAAGCATATACGCACAAGCAATGACCACTACCTGACACTAATGAGCTGCAAAGCTCCTATCGTATTGCTTCGAACGACTGCAACATTGTTAATGGATACCGTTTCCAAATCATCAGAGGATCAACTGTTCTCCGCATCGGAGAGTGGCACGGATACAGAGCTTGAGCTTCTCACCTGCTCGTCATTGGCATCAGGTGCAGCAAATCTGCAGCTGATTTGCACTCGGTGTGTTTGTAGATCATCCAGCATGGTGGGACCCGTTAACACGGTGCTGCTTTCTAGTGACGATTCGCTGGCGTCCCATCACAATAAGCATCCCAACATATGCAGAGTAAATGTAGAATGTGCACCGAAAGATCTCGTAAGTGCATGGCAGGATCGACTGGCCATGGAAAAGGAGCCTTCCAGGATCGTGGAATCGGATTGGTAATAAGCCAGTACAGGATTGAGATAATCTTGGGTCCACAAAGACACGGTGGAAGAGCGGCGGCAGAGCAGATGCGAGGATGAGTTGCAGAAAGTGGTAGGAAGGTGTCGTGCGTGACCCCACACACGCTGGATACCACTGTTGCTTCGCATCGGACACCGATCTCTCAATTCTCGTACAAAGACCCTCACCACTTCTGGTCTAGTTCTCCCTCCTCTCTCGTTGCTACATCAAGTGCCTGCTTCATTGAGCACAGGGCACACCTAGTACTCAATGACAACAGCTCGGGCACGCAGACCAAAAAGCTGCAGTATGAGTCGCGTGTGATGGACAAAATCAATGAACAAGGACGTCAACTGCAAGTGTCAGAAGTAAATCACAGCAGGTCGTAACCCACTCCGACGTCGAAACGGGCAGTGACTTGCTGCTCGTATCTAGATACTCAACGCCTGAACGACAGCGTAGCTGCTGCCGTGACGGTGTCACGATTAAGAGGATTATGGCCTGATATCTGGTAACTCCGTCAGTTCGCCGTCTTTTCCGCTGTTCCCCTTTCGACTGCGACTGCAAAGCGTCATACTACTGCTATCCTTCGCTGGCTCGACGCTTGTCAAACGAAGCAGCAGAGAGTTTACAGTGCGAAAAGCACACGCCCGTTCCCTGCGCCTCTCCTTGAAGCTGCCGTGCACCAATCAGACTAGCACAATGTTAAAAATACAACCACAAGCTGCAAAAGCAAGTCCCAACGTAAACGGCAGTATCCGTTGAAAAACAAGGATATGTGCGGCCATAGTAGACACGGAATGCCAGCTTTGACTGCATTTCGACTCCAGTCTCAAGACATGGCTCAGGGAGCCCGTGTATTACGATTCTAAGAATGAAAACGAGACTTATCCTGCTGTTTCTTGGCCTGATCGTGTCGAGAGCAGACCCGACAGGGGGGGCATGCAGCATCTGCCTTTTTTCTGATTCTTGTGAAAACTCAGAGGACCGGATCGGGGTATTGATAAAGTCCGAGATGCAACTCTCACCACACCCAGCCGTAGAGACGCAGCACGTTTGCCCACCGGCCGCGATCTTAAACAGTCGTCATAGGTGTTGTCAACAGCTCCTGTCCTTTTTCTCTCGACTGTCTGACCGGCCACCACTTTGTAGCCACAAACCACTCGCCCGACCAACGCCAGTACAAAACAGACGACAAAACGAGTTGTCTTTGTCCAGCGACTGACTCCCAGCTTCGCGCTCTGCCCTAGTCACGTTATCAATGTCGTCGATGAGCACACCTTCCCTTGTCGCAATCCAGAAAAAAGTGTTGATTGTCGAGGTTCCATATGACCGCGACCCAGCAGCTAGCTGTAGCCAAAGGCTTGTCCAACCACGCAAACATGTCTCGTCTGTTTCGCAGCAGAAGATTCAGCCTGTCGCGGTCGTCTCGTCTGTCGACAATACACCACCAAGTTCAATCGAGTGATCGATCGACCGGTCGATCTTTTTAGCCACTCGACGCGCTTCTTATGTCCGTCCCCTTCCAATCCGATGTCGACTTCTCGAAGCTGATGACCACGCGTGAATCGGTTCCGACAGGGAAAGGGCGCTCCCTTTTTCTGACAAAGCGAACGGGTCCAAGTCACTCATTTGCGAATTTGCTCTCGACCGCCGAGCCACTTCGTCCTCTCATCTGCGAATCCCCGACTTTCGTCCAAATTTTAAAAAATCAAAATTTCTGACTTTGAAGTTGAAAAAATCGGAAATTGTCGAACAACCTCATGGAATTCGCCCGTCGTTTGTCCCAGACGAGCGAGATGCTTCAGACCCCGTCGCTGAAAGAGGCGCCGCAGCCACGGAGTCTGGAGGCACGCAGTGACGCGGCCACGAGTCCGCCGCTGAGCCCCGTGCTGGGCCCGCGCACGACGCGCTCGTCGTCTGCGCACTATGAAGAGCCACAGCGTCGACGCCGCAGCCACTCGGAGTGTCTCATGCTGGCCAAGACGCGCGGCGGCCAGGACTTGCCGGGCCCGTGTCAGGAGTACATTAGTAATGTGAAGCAGATTCTGGCGCGGAACGACGACCAGCTGTTGCACTTGCGCCGACGTCGCAGCATGAACTTGAGCCACCCGACGCTGTTCAAGTGAAGAGGAGGAAGGCGGGAGGCTGGTGGTGAAGTTGTTGACTTGAATAGGTTGACGGTGTTATTTTTATGCGGAAGGAATGGAGTTGGTTGTATATCTAATACAAGACAATAGTATACTCGTTGCGATTCTTATTCTGGTTGAGGATGTTGTATACATGCGTGGTATACATTGTGACTGTGATGCGGTGGTGTCTCTACGGCTGAGCTTGGCAAGCCTGAAGTAACAGGACCACGTCGTGTTGCGGACTTGTCGTCCAGGACGTCACCCCTCCTGCTTTTGGCACTTGCATGTTTCGAAGGATGCATTGCGGTTTATTCGACACTAGAGTACCAAGAAAAGCACTTTGTTTAGCTCGACTAGCGTCAGGCCATTCTTGTTCGCTCATGTTGACACACGCTCAGTACGCGAACCTTCTCTCTTCTTGTTGGGGCAGCTTTCATTTACTTGATGACATGATGAAATGGTACAATTTGACATCCGTAGCGACAAATGTCACGAGTTAAATCAAGCTACTACAAGTAACAGCAGCTCTTTATTTTAAATCCCTGCTTTAAAACACTGCGTACGAACTGTAAATCGTAGCTAGCTGATACCAACAAGCCTACTTCATGTAGCAGACACCGCCTCGAGTGCTAAAGCGCATCACCGCCAGCACAAGTATATTCACTTTACAATCGCCGCTCTTTCATCTAAATGGCGCGTTTCGGCAGCGCACTACGACTCTCACGTCACTCACATCCATGTATGCATCTCTAAACCGGGACTTGCGAGACTATGCGGTGAACGGGTTCAACGGAGTCAACGACTCCTCGTCGTCGCTGGGGTCACTGCCGAATAGGAGCACGCCGTTCTTGTCCTTGCTGCCAAGAGCTACACCGGTTGTCTTGCTCTTTGCACTTCGAGGCGAAGGCTTGACATTGTGCAGAGCTGCCAGTGGCTTCGGCGCTGGTGCGGACGCTCCGCCGCCTCCGAAGAGCGAGAACACGCCGCCAAACAAGCCGGTGCCCTCCTCATTCACCTTGCTATGTGCAGCCCGCACTTGATGGTGCTCTTGCGGACTAAAGCTGAGCAGCGTGGCAATGACAGGCACTAGCTGCTCCTTCTCGCCTGGGACTTGGCTTCCAATGTACTTGATGATGACATTCTTCAGATACTGCAAAAGGCATCCGTGCATCCTTAGACTTCATCCGATTACAGATAGAACAAGTGTACCAGCATGCCATACCTCAATGTTAATCTCCTGGGTAGCTCGATCATCCAGCTCCTGCAGACGCTGCTTCTCTTGATTTGCCTCAATCAGCAGCGCAATTGCCTCTTCATACTGCACAGCACACAATTCGCATGATGTCAGCAAAAGAGGAACGTGTGAACACCAACGACATCGCAGCTGCTCGACCCATACCTTTCTTTCAAAGACACGAGACCTGGCCTGCACATCCTTGAGCAAGAGCTCCAGCCTCATGACTTCGCCGTCAACGTCCACAGAAATCTCTAACTGCTGTTCCGCCCTATTGGTGGTTGCAATTTTGGATGCACACGAGTCGTCAAATGCAGCAGCAATGAGTTCGTGCTCCTCTTCGATCACCGCTCGGTACAAGGAATTATTATTCCCGTCGTATTCGAACGAACGCGATGAAGATGCCGTCGATCGCCTCTCCTTATCGGTTGGCGAGTACGTAGGAGAGTACGAGCGACGGCCAGCTTCGTTTGTAGCGAGCGAAGTAGCAGCAGCGAGGGCAGCATGGAGCTGTTTCGACAAGTCGCTGATCTCGTCCTCCTTCGCGAGAACTTCCTGCTCCACAGACTTGTTTTTAATACGACCTTCCTCTTTCAACGAGACAATCTCGTGATCCAAGGCTTCATTGCGCTCTACGAGCTGCTTGATCTGTGACTCGAGAGGCGCCTTCACATTTTCAAGTGCGTCTTCCAACCGCATCACTTCCTTCTTCAGGCTGTCGATTTCTAAGCGCAGTGAGGTCTCCTGAACATGCTTTTCAGCCTTAAGGGTCTCGAGTGCCTTCTCTGCACCTGCATCTTCAGCACTCACGACCTCCTTGATTCGTCGCCGCGCCTCTGCGAGCTCAGTCTCCAAAACGCGTATTCGATCCTTTGCGGTCCCTGCCTCTTTTTCCAGCTTGGTAATGATTTCTGCGGATTTGTCCAAATTTAGCCTGTTCTCACTGGAAGCTTTCTTCAATGCAGTATGTGCACGTTTCCTGTAAGTTCCCAGCGCAGCCCGAGCAGCATCAGCTTCCTCCTTCTCGGCCTCTACTTTCTGCTGAAGTTTATCAATCTGGTGCTCAAGCTGTGAAACAAATTCGGTTTGTAGGCCAACGTTTGCAATAGAAGCTGAACGAAGAGTCGCAATGCTCTCATTCGCCATAGACAACTGTGCTTCGAGCTCCACCCGCTCGGCTTCACGTGTTCGGTCCATTTCCTCGCAGACGCTTACAGTTTTGGTTCGCTCCTGCTCAATATGCCGCATACGCTTGGCCATACTGTGGATCTCGGCTTCCTTCCGCTCAGCAGTTTCAGTCAGCACCGCAAGTGATTCCTGCAGCTCCGCGACCTTCGTATTCGCAGCAGAAACCAATAGTAGCGTCTCCTTTTGCTCGTGCAGAGCGATATCGTGTTGTCTCCGCATCTGATCAAGCTCATCATCGTATGCTAATACGCGCTTCTTATACTGATCGAGTTGCGCTACGAGTTGCGCCTCGGAAGCCGCAAACAATTCGCCTGCTTGGCGCAATTTGTCTCCCTCTGCGACTGATTGTTTGCGGAATAAAGTGAACTCGCATTTCAACGCATCCAATTCCATCAAAGACTTCGACCGCTGAGCGTTCAACTCATCGTTCGACACCTTCAGACTATTGTTCAGTTTGGTGCTTTGTGTCAACGTGTCCTGCAATTCTTGCAGGCGTCCCTTCACACGCTTGTATGCCGCCATTACTTCCCCAAGCTTCTTCTTCAATGTCAAAATCACTTCATCCTTTCGGGCAATCGTCGCAATATGCTTTTTGTCCTCGATAATCCACCGTTCACGAACAGAACTCGCCTCCGCCAAGGCTGAACTGGATGACTCGGACAGCGATGCCACCTCTTTCTTCAGCAAACCAATTTCTTTTGCTGAGCGCGCTTCGACCATTCCTACTTCATCACGAAGCTGCACCTCAATTTGAGCCCATTCACGTTCATGTCTTTCAGCTCGGTTGGATTCGTACAACAACTTTAATGCCCGCTCTTCCAACTCAGACTCCAACTCACGAACTCGAGACTCGAAAAGATTGGCGTTTGCAACGAGGTCGACCTTCGTATCCTCAAGTTCCACCAGCCGTAATTCCTTCTGACGTACCGACGCGTGCATAATTTTCAATTCTTCTTCAGCGCATGCAGCACGCGCATCGGTCTCGGACAGTTTCTGCCGCGTCGCCTCCAGCGTCTCCGCCAGCTGCGCTTCCGATTCCTTCAGACTCCGGATCTTCTCCTCTGCCGTGCACGCATCGCTCTCGCGCTGACTTCGCACCTCCTGCAGCTCGCTCTCCAGTGACTCGATGCGCTTCTGAAGACTCATCAGATCCTTCCTTTCAGCCTCTCGTTGCGCCTCCATCGAGCTCAGAGACTGGCGCGCAGCTTCGTGCTCCTCTTCAATACACACAGCACGCGCATCGGTCTCGGACAGTTTCTGCCGAGTCGCCTCCAGCGTCTCCGCCAGCTGCGCTTCCGATTCCTTCAGACTCCGGATCTTCTCCTCTGCCGTGCACGCATCGCTCTCGCGCTGACTTCGCACCTCCTGCAGCTCGCTCTCCAGTGACTCGATGCGCTCCTGAAGACTCATCAGCTCCTTCCTTTCAGCCTCTCGTTGCGCCTCCATCGAGCTCAGAGACTGGCGCGCAGCTTCGTGCTCCTCTTCAATACACACAGCACGCGCATCGGTCTCGGACAGTTTCTGCCGCGTCGCCTCCAGCGTCTCCGCCAGCTGCGCTTCCGATTCCTTCAGACTCCGGATCTTCTCCTCTGCCGTGCACGCATCGCTCTCGCGCTGACTTCGCACCTCCTGCAGCTCGCTCTCCAGTGACTCGATGCGCTCCTGAAGACTCATCAGCTCCTTCCTTTCGGCCTCTCGTTGCGCCTCCATCGAGCTCAGAGACTGGCGCGCAGCTTCGTGCTCCTCTTCAATACACACAGCACGCGCATCGGTCTCGGACAGTTTCTGCCGCGTCGCCTCCAGCGTCTCCGCCAGCTGCGCTTCCGATTCCTTCAGACTCCGGATCTTCTCCTCTGCCGTGCACGCATCGCTCTCGCGCTGACTTCGCACCTCCTGCAGCTCGCTCTCCAGTGACTCGATGCGCTTCTGAAGACTCATCAGATCCTTCCTTTCAGCCTCTCGTTGCGCCTCCATCGAGCTCAGAGACTGGCGCGCAGCTTCGTGCTCCTCTTCAATACACACAGCACGCGCATCGGTCTCGGACAGTTTCTGCCGAGTCGCCTCCAGCGTCTCCGCCAGCTGCGCTTCCGATTCCTTCAGACTCCGGATCTTCTCCTCTGCCGTGCACGCATCGCTCTCGCGCTGACTTCGCACCTCCTGCAGCTCGCTCTCCAGTGACTCGATGCGCTCCTGAAGACTCATCAGCTCCTTCCTTTCAGCCTCTCGTTGCGCCTCCATCGAGCTCAGAGACTGGCGCGCAGCTTCGTGCTCCTCTTCAATACACACAGCACGCGCATCGGTCTCGGACAGTTTCTGCCGAGTCGCCTCCAGCGTCTCCGCCAGCTGCGCTTCCGATTCCTTCAGACTCCGGATCTTCTCCTCTGCCGTGCACGCATCGCTCTCGCGCTGACTTCGCACCTCCTGCAGCTCGCTCTCCAGTGACTCGATGCGCTCCTGAAGACTCATCAGCTCCTTCCTTTCGGCCTCTCGTTGCGCCTCCATCGAGCTCAGAGACTGGCGCGCAGCTTCGTGCTCCTCTTCAATACACACAGCACGCGCATCGGTCTCGGACAGTTTCTGCCGAGTCGCCTCCAGCGTCTCCGCCAGCTGCGCTTCCGATTCCTTCAGACTCCGGATCTTCTCCTCTGCCGTGCACGCGTCGCTCTCGCGCTGACTTCGCACCTCCTGCAGCTCCCTCTCCAGCGACTCGATATGTTTCTGAAGACGTTCATTGTGAGATGAAAAGGTGCGTAGCTCGTTTTCCTTTTGGGTCAGCGTATTGTTCAGGGAGTCGCACTCGTCAGCCAAAATCTTTGCATGGGAGTTAGAGTTGCATAGCTCAATTTGAACTGACTCCAGCAACTTCTTTGCTTCAGCTTCTGAAAGTTTGAGTGCGCAATTCATCTCTTCGGAAGTCTTCAGCGCTTCGGCATGCCGGGTCTCTGAGTTCATTATCTTTGTCTCCAGAGTTTTGATGCGATGCTCTAACTCCCCAGTTCGGAGACTCAGGGAATTGCGTTCAGTGTCGATTCCGATCATCCTTGTGCTTACAGCCTCACACTCAGCCGATAAGGAAGCCACACGTAATTCAGACGCTGCTAGCTCTTTTTGAGCTAATTCTAATGACCCTGTTGTATGTTCCAACGCCTCCTTCAACGTTTGCACGACTTCTTCTGCAGCTCGAGCATTCGCTTCACTTTTTTGTCGCAAAACATCCAGCTCAGTCTTCACCGATTGGCTCTTTAGCTGTAGTTCGCCATGCTCACAGCTGAGAACCTCAAGAGTTAACTCTCGCTTGCTAAGTGCTTTCTTAATCGCATCCCGCTCGTCGACTAGCACCATCACACATGCTTCAGCTTCTGCTAGTTCCAGACGGAGAGAAGCCAGCACCTCAGCTCCCTCGGTTTCTGCAGTCTCAAGACTCTTGATAGTTTCGTTTGCAGCTGCCAACTCTGCCGAACTTGATTCATGCAACTCCTTCAGTTCCGACTCCAGAGCACGCACACTTTTCTGCAAGTCCTCCTGGAGTGCGCTCAATGTCTCGTGCGTCGACTCCTTCTCATCCAAAGAAGATCGGGTGGCATCGCGCTCGGTTTCTAGCGTGCCAATTCGCCACTCAGATTCGGTGAGCTTTTCTCGAAGCGATTGATGCAACTCTTCCGTCCGAAGCAGCGTATCTTGAAGCTCATGAGCTCTTTTCTCTGCGTAATCTTTAGACATCTCAAGATCACTAATGATCCTGTCCCTTTTTTCGGCTTCGGTTGAGCTTATTCTTCGCAGAGCACCAAGCTCGTTTTCCAGCTTCTGAACCGAGAGCTCGAATTCACCTTGCGCAGTTTTCATCATTTCTATTTTCAAGTCTTTTGCAGATAATTCTTTTCTTGCATTGTCCCGCTCTTCGACAAGTATTAATACACAAGACTCAGCTCCAGCCAGGTCTTTTCGAACTGACTCCAACGACTCCGACAGTTCTGCCTCGGCTCTCGTCAATTTAGAAATCTGTACCTCAGATGCACTTGCCTCTTCCAACAGCTTTATCCGACAGCTTTCCAAATCTTTCGTCAGCTCTTCTACCTGCTGCTGCAGTCGTTCACTTTCGACTAGTGACGCCTCCACGGCGGACTCTTTTTCATTCAGTGATACCCTCACTGAATCACGCTCCTCCACTAAATTAGCCGCACGCGACATCGCCTCCAATAACTCTTCGTCTTTAGCCTTTACGGACTGCAACGCCTTCTCCGCCATTTGCTTCAGAAGCCGAATCTTGCTATCCAGAATTTTGTTCGCTGCGATTTGCGACTCCAGCTCCACTGCCACTTGTTTGCTCGCTGCTTTCTCCGCACAAGCCTTTTCTTGGAGCTCCGATACGGACCTTGACAATCCATCCTTTTCAACAATACTTTGTGTGAGCTGTACCTGTAGCTCGTTCTTCTCGTCCGACACGAGGGCTATCTCAGTCGAAGCCTCTTCCAGCCGCTTCTCTAACAGAGTCACCTGTTCAGAGCTAAGAACGTTTGCTGCCTCTAGCAATGTCTTCTGCTCCTCGAGAGTGTCTAGCTCTACTTCCATATCTTCAATCGTCCTCTCAAGGCTCAAATTTTCATCATCAATGCTAGATTTTTCTTCCTCTAGCCTATACAGCCGCCCCCTCAGCTGAAGAATATCCTCTTCGGACCGAATGACAGTGTCCTCGAGCCTCGCACGAAGATCCTGCTTTTCCGCCTCTATCTCAGCTATTCTATCAGCAAGCTCATTTAGCTGATCTTCAAGCTCTTCGTTTGCAAGCTCCTGTGAATTGGCCAATGCTGCCTTCTGAACTTCTGACTTCGCGATGTCATCCTTCAACAGCGCAATCTCACTGAACAAACGACTGCGTTCGTCCTTAAGCATATTAGCCGTTGTTTTGAATGCCTCGGATTCAATCTCCTTCTCTTCTAGCTTTCCTATGCTACGCTCTAGCTTCGACTTGGTCTTCTCAAACTCATCTGACAGCTTTTCGCGTTCCTCCTCAACTGATTGCAGTTGCTCTTCGATTGTAGCAATGAGAGCGACTTTCTGTTCCAGTTGCTGCTCCAACTCTGCAATCTTGTCTTCCGCAGCACATAACTTATCTTCTAGTTCAGCTTTTGCCTCCATACGCTCTTGTAGCGTGGACTCAAGGCCCTGCTTTGCTTCGTATGCGACTTGGAGCTTTTTCTCCATTTCGATCATTTCGATTAGAGCAGCCTCGAATTCTCGCCGTTCAGCGTCCAGCGGTGCATTGCTTATTGTGCAGGCGAAACCACCGGGTTTTGATACATCCACCAGCTTCTTCTCAAGAGCCGTAAGTTGCTGCTTTTGTTCCAAGCAATTGACTTTAGCTTGGACCAATGAAGACCGCAGTTTCTCAACCTCGCGATCTGTCGCCAGACCTTCATCTGATTCCGTCTTGCCGTTCGCAAGTGAGTGCAATCGACCTATCCGCTCACTCAGCGCATCATTTTCAGTCTTGGCATCGTCGAAGTCACGTTTGATCTTGCCATTTTCCATTTCAGCCCTAAACAGAGCGCTCTCCAAATTAAATATGATGCACCGAAAGTCTTCTTTTTGCATCGTAAATGCCTCATAATGATAGCGAAGATCATCCGTTTTACTCGCAATTTCTGACGACAGTGCTTGATTTGCGCGCTTCAGCACATCAAGCTGCTCAACCATCACTTCTAACTCTGACATACTCGTTTGGTGCGCTTCAAGTAAACCGTCGTGATCTTGTTCCAGCTCCAATACACCATCGGCTTTCTTCGCGGCCTCGGAAGTCATCTCCAAATTTTCAGCTTTACAGGCGCCGTGCAGTCGCGTTCTAGTTGCGTCTAGTGTGTCCTCGAGATCACAAGATAAACCATCGGAACGGTCTACTATTTCGCCGTTTGTCACGACGAAGCCAGCATCATCAGTCGATAATGCGCGTCTTCCAGCATCATCGCTAGCATTATCAGCCTTTTTGACAGCAAATCCCTGAGCTTTTAGCGCGCATTCACACCCTTCCAACTTTGCCAACAGAAGCCGATTCTGTGTCTCGTGTCGATGTATCCTTTCCTGAAGAATAGTCACTTCATCTTGCCGCCTTTGCTTCGGCTCCGCTGCACTAACGAGTAGATCTTGAGCCTGCTCCAAACACTTGGCAAGCTCTTTTAATCGTGAAGTATGACAAGGCTTAATGCCACCGTCAGAAGACGCTGGCTCATCTATTTGCAACGCTAGCACCAAAGCTTCAATCTTAGACTTGGTGGCAGAAAAGTCGTCGCTAGATTTCAGTTCTTGTGTCCAAGTACTTTCAACCAGTCTCGAAACGTGCTCAGATTCCACAATTGGCTCACAAGCACGCCAACGCTTGCTATGCTCAGGCGGGTGTGAGAATGAGTTGTGCACTGCCTTGCAATTCAGCTCTGCGCAAAGTTCTGCGATTGTTTTGTCTTGCTCAAGCCTTTTGGAAGCCATCATGTCGTACTTGGTCTGCAGCTCCTCCAGCCGTACACAATAGTCCTCTGTTTCAACAGAATTGCCATATGTATGAGAAGCCTTTATCGCTGAGAGCTGTGCGATAAGCTTCTGGATAGTATTGTTCTGTGCACCAAGAAACGACTCCATACTTTCACATGTCAGATCGATGCCAACATGTTCTAGCAAGTGTTCACGCATCTGTGCCACTTCTGCTAGTTCCACACTAGCCTCCTGATTCGCCAACGTGAGCTCGTCAATCTGTTTTTTAAGCTCCTGCCGCTCCAGTCTCCACTTCTCAGCACTAGCACCCACCTCAGCTTTCCAGCCACCTATCTCTATTTCCAGCTCTTGCATACGAGCAACCACACTCTTCCCTGTTGCTCGTACACCCATCTCATCGTCATCACCTCTTCGCACCTGATTCAAACTCGCCGATAAAAAATCGCCACAAAACTCCAGTTTCAACTCTTCCTGCTCCTGCCGTGCCTCACGAAGCTGTCGCCTCAGATCGTCAACTTTCATCTGCACGACTAAACCCAGCCCCTCTACTTCCTCCACCTTTTTTTCCAGCTTCTGCTTATCGTCCTCCAATGCATCCACCTGCTCGATCAACCTCTTCTTCTCTTCCTCCCACTTCCTCCCACGTTCTTCTCCCTCTGCTAATCGAGCCACTGTCGTCGCTAACTCAGCACTCAGCTCCTGGATCGTCGCTGCATCTCGTTGCTGTGCTTTCTCTGCTGTCTCCAGCTGCAACTGGAGCTCAAGCTTTCCACTCTCCATAGTAGACGCAGCGACCGCCAGCTCCTGAGCTTGCACCTGCTCTTGCGGTTTTATTCCTTGGCAGCGTCCACTGCTGTCCGGAAGCTCGGTGACCCCACCAACCTCGTGCTTCTTCTTCACCTCGTCTTCCTCCTCCTCGTCCTGCTCTGCGCGTCGCGTTGAGACGTGGGCCGCTTGTGTCTTATCCAGCAGCGGCTTCTGCTGTCCCACAATGTGTGTTCCAATTGCTCGCTTGCACGTGGAATAGGGGTGCGCAGGGTCTTTCTCTGCGATGATTGGTCAAAATAAACGCAGCGCAATCATACGACAAAAAGAACGTGAGGGATTTGAGATCCCATAAGAGCAAGCGGTCGACGCTCGAGCGAGCGATGGAAGCAAGAGGAGGAGCAGGTGAGAGGAACGCACCAGACCTGGGTGAGGAGACTGCACTGCTGCTGGTGCTGCTGCTACTAACGACGGGCTTCGAAGCTGCGGCACGTGGCTCGGCGGTCGTTCCCGCCATTATCTGCTCGCGCGTGCGGAAGAGCGCGGAGGGCTGTGATTGGCTGAAATTTTCGAGGGAGGAAGAAGATTCAGTTGCGTCAGGGGGAGAGCCGGGCGGTAGGGCAACGACGCGCGGGCTCTTAGAGGAAAGACGTACCGATATTATGGTACCATTCGCTGCACTGGATCTGTCTGCTTGATCATCTTTGATATTGCTATTTCGTTCGCGTTGCGACGCGATGGGCTTTCTAAATTAATTGAATGATGGGCTTTCTAAAGTAATAAACTGCTGTGATGTACGAATTGCAAGAGGCTGTTTGGTGTACGAACGCCTTTGATTAATTCTTGGAGGACGAAACCACTGACGAATAAAAATGTCCGAACTGATCCCTTCTTTTTTGCCGGGTCGTTTGGTCGGACCTTTGTTTTATTTAACCTACGACGGAGCAACAGTATACTTGGAATCAGAATGCTGCGATCTTTGTGTGTGTGTAACCAGTCAACTAAAACGTCAGCTAAAACGTCAGCTGGAACGGTCCTACAGCTGAACTCTTGAACTGAAGATCGTCCAATTGACTGCAATGCTGGACTTGTGTAACGTCGAGATTCAGTTAGATTACTATGTCTAATCGCGTGCTGACCAGACAGCATCCTAAATTACCCACAGTCAGCACAATACTACGAGCCAACCAACATCTATTCGTAATCAGTAGCTCTTCACTCACGTGTGTGCACAGCAGCGACCAAAAGCGGCTGCTACTAGCCACAAATGACTAGATCGAGATGGCAGAAACGAACATGGCGATAAGTACTGGTAGAACCACGAGCACGAGCACCAGGCGGTACGACCGGATCTGGTTCGTAAGCTGCGCGATCGTGAGCTCGGAGGCCTTGCACAGCTCTTCCATTCGAGCAGCATGCACCTGTTTCAGCTGCACGGTTTCAGCCTCAAAAGTCTTGATCCTCTCGGCCAGTTCGGCACGAGTCGTAGCAAGTTCCTGCTTGGCTTTCGCAAGCTTCTTTTCCTTACCTTCTAGACACGCACAAAGCTGCAAACGAGCTGACTTGGCCGATACCACATCGGCACGGGCCTTCTTGAGCTGCTTGTAAGCACTTTCTGCATCCGCAACCTTTGCGTTCATCAGTGTCTTGGCTGCTTGTGCCGAGTTTTTCCACTTCAACGAGTTGGCGCGAGCTTCCTTGAGCTCCTCATTCGCCTCCAATAGCGACACGCGTGCCTTCTTGAGCAACTCCCCATTTGTAGCTGCCACACCCTGCAACTCGAGCAGCTCGTCTTTCGACTTGGAATGCTGTACAAGCAGCTCATTGTACTGAGCTCTAAGTTTCGTTGCCTCTGCTGAGCGAGATCCGACATCCGCAGCAAGCTTTTCTGCCTCGACACTCTTTTGAGACGCAAGGCTCCGAGCCTTTTTACTTTCAAGTTGTAGCCGCGCCACTTCATCCTTTAGCGTAAGTAGCTGGCGGGTGGTATCTTCTTGATCCGCGAGTGCAGCTTGGGTAGCATCCTTTGCCTTCTCGAGCTCAGCCGCGAACTCCTTTCTGCAGCTCTCTTTAGCATCATGTAGCTCCATCGTCAGCTTTTCACTTCCCGCCTTGAACGCACGTTCAGCTTCTTGCATTGATGTGCGGAGAGCATCACGCTCTACGGACACTTCATGAGCAGTGTGCTTTGCCATCACCAGCTCCTTTTCCAGAGCCTGCACCCGCTCGTTCGAGCTCGATATCTGCAACTCCATATCTTTGGCAGATGTGCGCAGAGCTTTAAGCTCAGCGAAAGTGTCCTCACAGTCCTTCTTCACTGTCTTCAATTCCTTTTCAAGCGCCTGAACGCGCTCCGTGGAAACTATAATCCTCGATTCCGACTCCTGAGACAAAGCACGCAGCATCTTCAGCTCGACACACACCTCTTCAGCGCTTTTCTGAGTCGCCTCCAGTTCCTGCTCCAGCGTCAGAACACGCTCATTAGCGCTCATAACCTCCAAGTGGGCAGCACTTGCCTCGCCGGTCAGCGTTTTCAACTTGACTTGCAGCGCCTCCACTTCCGTCTTGGACGATTCTAGCTCGGCCCTGACAGCTTTCATCTCAGCAGCAGAAGCTCCGGACTTGTCCTTTAACGACGAGTGCCCAGCATTGGTCTTTTTTGCTTCATCGCGAATCGCCTTTGCGTCAGCCTTCATCGACGCATTCTCCTCCTTGAGTTTCTCGTTTTCGAGTTGAAGGTCCGTCAGCTGAGCTTGATCCTGAACCTCGCCATGAGAAACTTGAGCGGTCTTTTTTACAACTTGCAGCTCGCGCTCCAGTTCAACCTTTTCTTCCCTGAGCGTAGCAACTATCTTCACTAAATCAGGATCCACCTCGTGGCTTCCCGTCTGCTGCAAGTCCAAACGCTTCGCTTCAAGCTCGGCCTTCAACTTGGCAATCACCACATCCTTCTCCTCAGCAATCTTCGCAACCATCTGCTTCAGCTTCTCTTCAGCATCGCGGAGCTCTTGCTTTGCCTTTAGCTGAATCACTTGGCTCTGTCGCTCCATTTCTGCTTGTTGGTCTGCCATTTCAGCCATCAATTTGACAACAGTCTCCTTCTTCTCTTCACGTAGCGCTACCACAGTCTTCTGCAGCTCCTCCATCGCCTTGTCTCCATTCACGCGCCCTGCCTCATTGTCCGATCTCTCCTCACCGCCCACCACTTCTTCACTCCCTTCATCCACTCCCTCGCCCGTTGTCACTTTCGTCTTCTTCTTTTTCTTCTTCTTCTTCTTCGGCGTCGTCACTTCGACACTTCCCGCCCCTACCTCTTCCTCCTTTCTCGGCTCATGGTGGTCCACCAAGTACGCCAACGCCTTTTTCGTGCGCTCTACCTGTGCTACCTCAGTCTCCAACGTCGACAGCTTCACATTTGCCTCGGCCACGAGCTCTTCGAGCCTCACAGCACGCTGCAATAGCTCGTCCGTGTCAACAACAGCAGCAGCAGCCGCAGCAGCCACACCATCCCCAGCAGCTTCAACGTCGTCCTCCTGCTCCATCTGGACTCTCTCCATCTGCTCTCCTGTCTCTTCCGTCTCTCTCTTTTCCCTCTCCCCCTTCCACAACTTGAGCTCCTTGCGCAGCTCCACGAGCTGGTTCAGCTCCTTGGCCATGTCTTCCCTCGGCACTGCATTGTCCTCATCCATTCGAATCTTCTCCTGCAGTCGACGCACGGAAGCATAGCGCGCTTCAATCGCTTCTTCCAGATCCACGCGATCCTTGAACGTCATCGTCGCGACTCCGGAGCTCCTCACGTGTCAACACGCGAACGTTTGTGCACCAGCAATTCGGAGCTGAAACCGGTACGAGCGTCGGTATTCGTTATCCGAGTGCCGTGTGGACTACACCATCGACTCCGACTCTTTCGCAGACACCCAGTCAGCTGGTCATAAAAAAGACGGGGTTGACGGAAGAGTTCAGTTGCAGTAGCTACTAGACCAGTTGCCATTAAATGACCAGTTACAGGCGTGTTCTGCTCGCGGTGCTGGCCGTGCTGGTCCAAACAAGGTCCGACGTTGTAGATGCGGAGGAGGGTCGAGTGAGGAAGAGCTGGGCAGCGTATAGCCGCGACGAGAAAGGTGCCGTTGCTACTTGCTGCTGGGTAGCTTCTTGTCCCACATAGCATGTTCGGATACAAACTGGCTGCTTTTTGTTTATGTGGTGCTGGCATTTCTCTAGAGCTTTATCTGGATGCGGTACAAAAAGCCATGACGTCTGGCCAGCACATGCTGTTCACACAGGTGTATATGGACCCGGACAGTCTTCGTCAGGTCGTTGGAACGTGCGGGGCACCTGCGTGGTACCGCAAGTACCTGCTCGGATATGAAAACATGCTGCGGTCTCTGGACACGTCCTTTCGTGACCTGACGCTGCCGTATTGGGACCTATTCGAAGACACGGCGAAGCGTATTTCGACAAGCACGTCGTGCAATGGGATCGAAGGCTGTTCGCCGATTCTGCAGGACTTTGGTGGCTCGGGAGGCAGTGACGTCGTGTCCGGTACCTACGTCGTGAATGGTGAGACTATTCCGAGCGGTAACTGCGCGAATAGAAGCGTTGCGGCATATGCTTGCACGAGCAGGAAAAAGTGTGAGAAGTGTCTTCCGCGAGGAGACTGGGGCATTGGCGATTCATCGTTGGAATTCGGGCCGACTACGTTTGCCGACTTGATACGACGTGCCAGTGGTAGTACTACGAGCTCTAGTGATAGCATGGAGACGCTGCGCAAGGAAGTCGAACTTTCGGTGCAGCTTACACTGCACAGTATCCTGGGTGGCGTTTACGAGACACGGGCCGCTGCTTTTGATCCCATTTTCTTTAGTCACTAGTACGTCACTTGGATTCGAACTTTGCACATACACGACTTGCACGGCTAACCTGGATGCTTAATTTGTTGTTGTTGTTTACATGGATTTGTAGCGCGACGCTTGATATGGTGTACCAGTTCTTCCAGAGCTGCAATCAGAGCATTCCACTGACTGGCTCTTGCAAAAGTAATGGCGAGCTGCGCATCTCTCCGACTGCTACCATTCCAATGATAGTTGATGGTACCCGAGTCGAAAAGCATGCCGACCTTGGTGCCTTTTTCGAGAGCGCTGGCGAAACTTATAAAAGCATGGACGATTTTGCTGTTGAGTACAAGATCGGTCCTTTCCTTCAGAATGTGCTGAAGAAGTTCTCGTTGCAGTGCAACGCTGATGAAAGTGTCGACGGAGCAATCTCATACGCTACCGAGGAAAGCACGTTTGAAGAAGCTGCAGCGATTACTACTTTGGTGAACGATTTGGCTGGTTGTGATCAGACTTCGAAGATGAAGGGGACAACGAATGAGACGGCGTCTGCCTTTATCAGTTGCGAACTACTTTCTTCGCTGCAAAATGGCGTGTTTACGAATTTCAGCTCGCCCGTGATCGACTTTTTCGGTGCAACGCAAGACGATCTACCCAAGTGTGTGGGGGCACTAGCAGCTATTGTGACGGCAGAAGTCACGGTTGTGCCGTCTAAAAGCTGCCAGAAGGCGATTGCAACGGACACGAGTATAAATCCAAAGACGGATTTCAAATCGGTTTCGGATGGTTTTGCAATTGTAACGAGGGGCATTCGAGATGGAAAGGTGCAGTACATGAATCCACCTCCATAGACGGTGTTGTGGTCGTGAAGGCATCACTATAGAACGTACTGGATCTTGGACTGGAAGATGGCTTTACACATCATGTGTGGATTTCACATTGGTGTTGTTTGCATATAACATGCACTTCTTTTGTTGGTATTGTTTAAGCACTTGGTGGCATTGGTGATCTCCCTATGATCGTATGATTATTCGAGATTGAGTACGAAGCGTTGTTTGGAGTGTTCAATTGTATGACAAAGTATAGTATGTTGCAAGATGCAAGGTGCGATCTCCAGCGAATAGATGTCTGCCATTGAAAGGCAATCTCGCGACACAGTTACTTACTACTCTCAGGGCTACGAATGATGTATCAGGTGTATGTCTTACACATGCAAAGCGCTTACACTATTTGCAATACAAAAGCCAATTGACGCGGACATTGTGAAGCAAACCAAGTGGCACCTCGATACAGCAAATTGGCGGTTTTTATACTGACGTAGTTGTAACGTCATTACCATGGCAAATTCAGGTGTCATGTGAATTCCACTTGATCAAAACTTCAAAGGGTCAGCGCATATGACATGACGCGTAGTGTGTGAAAATGGACACGGAATGGTACAGGCCCAAAGTCGTCTTGTCTCTGTTTAAGACTGATGAACGGCTTGTTGTCGCGGCCAAAAGAGTGTAGTGATAACTCAGCAAGTTCACTCGTAACGAACTCTACTTCGTTACACGGTTCGGTTGTTCCTGATATCGTCGAACATGTAGTTTTGTTTGTTGTACATCTTGTCCAGTATTCTCGAAGGTAGAGCTAACGCCCGATAAGACTTCTGAACAAGACGGACATCGATATCCTGCCTCCAGGTATCAGATCTAGAGGTTACCTGACCTTCTTGCAGATGCGACACTTGGGCCTTAAAGAAAGATGCAGCAGTCAGGATGGAAAGTTTATGCAGACTTTGAACTCTGCCGCGTCGTGACTGTTTTAGTAAATGCATTACATTTGCGGCATGTCATGGGCTCTGAACAGATAATTAGAAGCTGGTAAGTTGAGATGGTAAGCTAGAGATGTTATGTGACGTTAACTGAAACTTTTACGCTAGTGAGCAGGACTTTTACATTGTATGTAAGAAAGTGACTGAGTTAGAGTTCGTCCTGGTGCAGTGATGAGCTTCTTGTTAGCCCATCGGCCCTCATCAAAATGTTACGGACTATGTTTTGTACACTCGGCATTGGGTAATGCAAGACAAATACTAGGCATGAATTGCGATGATCTCGTAACCTAGCTGCATCCCCGTGTCGATTACACATTCATTGCCCACAAGAATTGTTGAAGTGTCAGCTAGACTTGTGGGGTTAAGCGTTCTTCATTTATCCTCACGATTCAAAGAACCGCATGAGCGACACCTTTTGCCCACACGTGACTTCCATCTTCACTCCGGCCATTTGCAACAACTTTCCAATCGCATCATGTGCACCTCACTGCAAATATTCCGTCAAAGTCTCCCTCGCTGCCATCAATCAAGTAAAAACTCCATCACGACTGCAGTCCGTGGCTCCAAATGACGATAGTAATCATCAATTTCAGCTTTTCTCACAAACCCCTGAGCTTCGTAGAACGTCAGCGCTTCATCGTTGCCAGCATGAACGTGGAGACTCACAACTTGAATGTCCTCTCCCTCTTTTTCCTTCACTTTCTTGACCTGTTGGATCAGTTTTTCCATAATCGCACGTCCAACTCCTTGACGTCGAAATTGAGGAGAGACTGCCAGTGTACGGAGTTGCACTGTGCGCCGTCCACCGCGTTCCAATTCGAGCTCAGCAACTGCAGCGCCACGCACGATACACGTACCACGAGTCACTGCAGCCCACGACAATCGATATCGATCTCTTTCAGCTCGACGGTAACAGAAAGGAGGGGGCTGCACAGGCAACACGCCCAAATTGTGCTTCTGTACAGCACGCACGAGCGCCCCATCGTCAGTCAAGCAACGCAGCTCCATGGCCCTCAATTAAATCGGTATAGTACCGGTTTGTGACACGAAAGCAATGGCAACGTCCTTCACGAGCAGCGGGGGGCGAGCAGCACTCTGCTTTGCTCGAGACGGCAGCTGGTTCCAAGGATACTTTATCTGCAAATCAAGTCGCACACAGCTCGGTATGATGGGTGAAGAAATACCTGTGGACGACTGGTACGTGAGTCTATAGCTAGCTGGTCACTCAAAAGTAGAAACGGTGAGCTCTTGTTAAAACACTTGTACCGTGTCTAGTGTGGCGTGTCCAGATGGAGGTTATCAGGAGTACCGACTTACACTGATGCATTTTGCAGCCGACAAAGAGGTAGAGATGGTGGTGAAGAAGACTGGAGGAGATCTCTGCCAGCTGGACAGCGACGCGCTTCAGTTTCGGTCCTCGATGCTGTTGGTACGAGCTTTTTCATTGCCATTGGTTCCTCCATGAGCTTGCTAACGTATGAAGCCAAGCAAAGACTGATGACAGAGCCGTCGAAGCCATCGAGCAATATTTTCCTAGCATCGCAGAACGTGTCAATCACGATGCGGTACGCAGTTCTGACATGGTGTCATTCGCACGCGGAAGTTGTCACGAGCTTAGTGTGCTTCTGTCCTGTAGACTTTGTTGCAGGAGTGCACGGTTTGTTTTGGTGACATGGAGATCACTGCGCTCGGTTTCTCAACGTGAAGACAGATGGGGTTAATCGCCTGGGTATCAAAAACATATGCTTCAATTTTAGTAGTTTCGTTGCAGCTCGCTTTGCTGTCTGACCTTGTGCGAGTGGCAAATTGTTTCATACGTCTAGAACCCGGCAAGCCAGTCGATATTGCCCGTGTAGACGCTTCCGATGTCCACGTTTTCTTGGCTTCCGCTTGCTGCTATCTGCTTATATTCTGATGCAGCCTCCGGCTCAAGTGGCGCCTGTACAGAGAATACATCATCGGTAAGAGTCCGGTCGACAATTATCTTTTATCGAACAAGGTGGCAAAAGTGACATACCGAGAACGAGCCCATCTTTGTGGCTTCCCACGCAGTTCCAGCAAAAAACGCGTGCCTTTTTATCGGCTCGCACGCACCAGCACGATAGGTCGTGTATCCGAGACGATGTGCAAGGTCGGGGCTCAACAAATTCTCGATGATATCCTTCAGCTCGGCACTTGTGTTCTCAGGCCATGATAATTGGCCCGGTCGGAACGCGGCAATGTCGTTTAGAATCTCCAAATCGTTTTCTTTCTCTCGCGTAAAAGGAGTCGCTCCAGTCAGCATTTCGAACATAAGCACACCTAGCGCCCAGTAGTCTGCAGCGATGTTGTGGCCTGCACAATCGTATATCGTCAGACGAATGTACATGTTGTACCAAAACTTGCCGTGACACGTACCCTCTCCGGTGATTTGCTCCGGAGCCAGATACTCGGGGGTACCGCACACAGTGTAGGTTCGGCCACGACCAACGTACTTCGAAAGTCTAGGTAAAACGGTGCATTGCGTATGTGATCAGTCTCACAATGACGGCACAGACACAGGGCAAGACAAGCCTCGTACCGCAAATCGATCATGCGTAGGTTTCCACTTCGATCAACCATGAGATTCGTGGGATCAACCATCCGTGAAACAATGCCCTCCTGCAAGACCATACCATATCGTGCACACTAATAAGGCACCGTACAGAACTGCAGAGACAAAGCAGCACAAACGTACCACATGCATGAACTCGAGCACCAACACAACTTGTGCAGCATAGTAGCGAACGAAAGACTCTCCATGCGGCTCGCCATCCAAGAAAGTCTCGAGGGTACCCACAATTTGTGTGTCGTATAACATGTGTATATCCGAATCGTTCACATTCATCCCGAACAGCTTTGGCACCAGCGCGTTCTTTTCGTAGAGCGACACGTGAATATCGCGCTCGCCACTGACATGTTTCTGCATACCAGCGTCGACAATTGCTTGCTTGCTCACCGACCGCAAAGTCAAGCGTATTGGCGGAGATGACCCTTTCACTTCCACCAGGCGGACGGTGTTGGTCAAGTCCGACATTACGCTTCCGACCACTTCCAGGTCATCAATAGACTTGGGCATCACCGTTTTGGTCTCGAAGTCGAAGCAAACGAACGTGGTTGACTGCACAGCAACCAAACATTATGTTTAGTGGATAGAAAAATCTAGAAGAATCCTACATGTCAAGCAGGACGTACCGTAGCTCCCTTCTTCGACTCCGAAATTCGTGCCTTGCGCGCCTGGCGCAGCTTGTCCTTTTCTACAATGACAGATAACCTGCCAACAGCCAGTTCTAGTGCATCCCTTCTAATGAAGAGGCATTCGGTGCGCTCAATTGCTCGAATCGAACGTTGGCTGTACAAAACTTAGTCAGCCATGACAAGCAATCGTTCATGCGACAATGACGAATGACTCAATACCGTACCTGATCGAGCGCCTTCGAACCAGAGCCATTTCGCCGAAGTAGTCGAATGTCTTGAGTTCATGACGTGCTCCGCTATCCATCTTAGAGGTCGATTCGATGCGACCACTGGTGATCAAGAAAAAGCCAGGCTCAGACATTCCTTCGTGAAAGACGACTTGGTTTGGTTCAAACACAACCGCGCGCATCTCTTCGGCAACCAAATTGGTCTGAGCTACCGTCAGCGGGCGCAACAAATTGATCTGGCGGAGCCGTCGAACCACATCGCGCAGCGGTCGTCCCCGCATCAAGATTGAGCGAAACGCGATGCGATCGAGTGCCCAGAGTGCACCCTTCGTCTTTGTAACGACCGTGTTTACGCGAGGTTTCGGGTAAATGAGCGCCAGCTCCCCGAAAGTAGGGTGAGACTCGTCAGTAGCCTTGTACACTTGGACAACATCGCCATATGCTTCCGGACCGAAATCGTCTCGGAGCGAAAGATCCAAAGAAACGTCATCCAGGTGGCGAGCCTCAAATTCACCAGTTTCCACCTAGACAAAAACCGCAAGCACAGCAATGAGCTTCATACAAGTGGATGTGCTCGCCAACCCACACATGTACGTACCAGGTAAAATGTGTTGCCAGGGACTCCTTGACGCATCACGATGTCGCCAGCGTTATATTCCACCTTCTTCAGCACAGAAATCACTTCACGAATCTTCAAAACAACAAACACAAGTGTAACACATGCCCGGTAAGTCGAGGACGCTGATCGAAAACTTCACCTGCGCTCCGTGCTCACCTTTCTGTCACCCAGATGATTGAAAAGAAAACTGCTTTGGACTGCTTTCCTGATCCATTCCTCGTCTTCGTCCGACTTGCGGTCGCTTTTTTCAATCAGGGTCGACAGCTTGGCCGACTCATCTTCGTCATCCGGAAAGGCCTCTGCAAGTGAAAAACGGATCGCATCTGTTCCCACGATTGTATTCCTGCGTGCATGATTTTTTGTGATACCGCGCACTGGCCGTTGCATTGACTGCAAATCCAGAACCTCTCCACCTACGTAAATACTTCCGCGAGGCCCATCACGCTCCTTCGCAGGCGTCACACCATCTAGGAATATGCAGATCGCAGTAATGTCATCCGTTCGTACTTCAAACTGAAGCCAACGATTGTACGCTTCTTCAACCAGCGCGTGGCATGCTTCTGACGGATTCTCAAACTGCTTCACAATGTCAACGACATTCTGGCTCGTAAGAAACTCAAAAACGCCGTCACTTGCTACGACAATAAACTTGTCGTGCGGGTTCAGGCCCTTGCACAGAATCTCCGGCTCCGCTGTCACACCAAGCTCTTCTGACACCAAGTCTCCGATACTACGTGTGAAAGCCGTGCCCTACCGAACAGTCACAACAACACAACGTCAAAACGGACAACAAAGGCAAACCAAAAACAAAGCACCAGCGACAACGTACGGGATACTGTCCGTAAGGATGCCAAATGCGCGGCGGGTCTCCGTTCTCGTCAATCTCATCGCCTAGAGATAAGCCCCAGTTCTCGTGAATGGGCTCCAGACCTTCGACTTGATCCACTGTCAAGATACGAGCACCGCATTTCTTCACACGAACTCGTTCGTCCTATTCAACACACACTCAACAATTAGCAACGACTACAAAAAGCAACCCACAGACACACGTCAACTCCCGTCCAACCTGGCGGAACGGAGTCTGGTCAATGGACAGCGGCTTAGCCACTAAATTGGCCTCGCCTCCACGTGTCGACGCCTTGAGGTTCTCCTGCGCCACGATCGCCCTCGAGTCGCCGACGTTCGAGACGTGGATCTCGTTGCCACAAAAGAGCACTGAAATGGACGTCGTGCCGCTCATCGAGTCGTCAAAACTCGCCTCGTGCATCGCTCGATTTGTCTGGCCATGCGCTCTCGTGAGAGCCGGCAAGATGCCCACGTTCTCGTCCAAGTTCCTGATAATGTTCTCAGGCAGCTGCTCAGCTGCAAACTGCGAGCACACGTTGCCATACTGTCCGTGGCCGTCAAAGACGGCGAAAAACGCCTTTTGGTCGTCGCCGGCAAAGTGCGTCTCGCAGTAGTAGCTGTCCTGATTGGCCTTGGTCCGCGCTAGCAGAGCACGTGCGACAAGCAGACAACGTGAGCTTATGATGCAGGAAGAGGGAAACCGCGATACAAAAATGGACTTTATCTTGACTTTCGTATAGTCAACGACATACCTTCAGGGTAATACCCGCGCTTGGAGTAGTACGAGTAGCGTAGGTTATAGTCGCCAATCTTGACGTGGTGCGTGTTCTCCCGGTGCTGCTTGCTGCAGCTAGGGGGCGGCCCGAACGCGTCGGGTGCTGTCTTGGCCCCGACTGGACTCGGCAGCGACGATGACGGAAACGACGACAGCGACGAGGGAGACAGCGGCACTGGCTCTTCGTCGTCGTTGTGGCCGCGCGGCTCCGTGTCCTCCGTGACCGCGTACTTGTGCGGACTCGACGGCACCCGAGCGTAGGGCACCGCGCTCGCTTCGTCCTTGTCGCTCCCGCGCTGCGCCACGACCGCGGCAACTTCCGTCGAGCAACAGTTTCCCATTGCGGAACGAGTGCAGAGTGAAGGTTTCCCTTTCGTGGGCTGCTTTCCGCACTGGTTGCCTTTTGCACTCGCCGGTGCGGAAGCGATGCTGGCTTCTACACTCGAAAAATCGTCCAATCGTAGGACGCGAGCGGTTTCTCTTGGGCGGAGAAAAAAACGGGCGCACACCAGCAGTGACCACGGGCTCAAGAAGATACGCTTAGGGTTTGTATCGGTCGTAGTTTAGCTGGCCAAGTGTGGCGCATGTTGCTGCTATTTATCAACGGTCCACGGCAGTGGGGGCAGCGTTACCTCGTGACAAGGCGTTCGAAGAACCGCAGCTTTTTTAGAAAATAGGCCTTCTACACATGCAGTTTTTGCTACTCCTCGTTCTTGCACTACGTTATTCTATTCAACACTTCGAGGCAACCGAGTGGTGTGTGTCGTCATGATCGAGCCCAACATTTGGCAGATGGAGCGTGTCTTGCCAGCGTCATGCAATGATATTGCTGCCTCACTTGGCGACGTCCTTACCCATCGTTTCCTGCAGTGTGATAAATCAGACAAGATTCTCGATTGCATCGAGAATCAAGCAGCAGCAAGCCATCAGCAGCCGCCACTACGGAAAATTACTGACCGCGTGATGTCACGTCCGACGCGTCGTCACAGATCGGTCTCCCAGCGGTCAATTTATCGAGCGAATTTTTTTTAATTTCAGGGCCAGTCCGTCCCTCCATGAAGATGGGCAGTCGTTCTGTCCTGTCCGTACCGTAAACAAAGCGTATCGGAATGACTGTCGCACCGGTTGCATCGAATTCGTATGCAGACCATCCGTTTTTTTCAACACACGACGACAGCAAACGAGACAGCAGCGAAAAAAATCGAACGCGTCTCCATCCAGTAAGTCACTCGTTGAAGGGAAATCTTGGCGCGCTCTACAGTCGAGCATGGACAGCCGTGCACTCCTCGTGTCGTCGTCGATTTATTGTATACAAAGTACCGCGACAAGAACCTCCAGCCCTCCATGCAAAACACAAATCCCAAATTAACAACACGAAACGAAGAGTAGTCGTCCTTATGTCTCGCCACTCCCCTTCTTCCCAAAAAGTAGTCCCCCAGTGATCACAATTTCCCAAATTTAGTCCCACCAGCAGTTTCATCGGTCCAAAATCTGATATCCAACCCCTCACCCTCACGGCAATCTTTCCTTTCCTTTCCTTCAACCAGTCCGCATCATGGCGCACCTAGTGCGCGCTTGGAGCTGGACGCGCCTCGACGGCCGCAACGTGCTGGCCATGCCCACGCAGACCGAGATCCGGCTCTATGACAGCGACGAGTTCATGCTGTTGTCCCGTCTCACGCCGTCCGGCCACCGCTCGCCCGTGGCGTTCGTGCGCTGGAGCGCCTTCCACGGCAAACTCGCGTCGCTCTCGGCCGAGCAGATCGTTGTCCACGCGCCTCAGCGGGACGGTCAGCACCACCAACAGCAACTGCCCAGCAGCGTCCCGTTTGTCGTCGTGTGCTGCTTCCCGCTGGACGTGGTCCACACGAACATCCGCAGCCTCGCGTTCTCACGGCACGCAGCTGAGCTGCTTTTCTGCGGCCGCCACGTCGGACAAATTGGGAAACTCGACGTGCGGGGGAATCAAGACGCTGGTCGTGACCATGCGCTGGTGTTATGGCAAGTGGAAGAGCGAGGAGTTGACGTGGCCAAGTACTCGCCCAGTGCGTTTGTGTTTGCGACGCTGCGGACGAACGAGCGAGCGGTGCAAGTATGGCGAATGAAGAGACGAGTAGGCGAAGCAAACGACAGGCAGACGCTGGACCGAGTGGAGACGCTGTCGCATGCGGCGCCTGTGGTCTATTTGTCGTGGAAACCTGCGCGAACGCAGTGGCACTCGGCGCTGGAGTCGGACGGGACGACGAAAGCACAATATTTTGAACCTGTGCGGATCCTCTTGACGTGTACTGTAACGAGGGCGGTGTGTATATGGACCGAGAGGGAGGACGAGCGCGATGGCGTGTGTTTTGACTGCGTGCTGACGGTTGCACCGACGTTCTTGATGCACAATGTGCGCTGGGTCGTGTCAAAGAACCGAAACATTAGTGAGGAGAATGGGGTTGTTGCTACAACTGACGTGCTTGATGAACACGCCGAGTGGATCTCGGGGGTGGATCCGACGGGCGTTTTGAGACTATGGAAATTGTTAGGTAGGCGTGACAACGTCAACGTCGCCTACTGTGGAGGAAACGTCGCTTGAGATTCAATTTTATGGCGAAAACGATCGATGTGATGCTGATATGGGCGTGGGGATTGCAGACGTGTGCGTCGTGGCCTACATTTCACAAAATTACACCGGAATGCCCTCGAAGCTTGGTATTGTGCTCCAACGCATGGATCATATTATCATGTCGTTTCACATTGCAGTAGGAGAGGGAGATCAGCCGTCGCACGTTGTAAAAAAGTCGTGGTACCGAAGTCACCTTGGCTCTATTTCAGCATTATCGGCGCATCCGTCGTTGCCCCTGATTGCTAGCGTGGATGCACATGCATCCGAATGCGACGGCGCTCGAAGGTATGACGTTCTCGTGTACTGGATTTCGTTTTCCGCGTTTTCTGCGGAATCGCAGCTAATTCCATCGGGTGTGCTGCCTTGCGACAAGGATAGCGGTAACGTGCTGTGTGTTCAATGGGTACCGACGCTCCACTTCGACGCCACGCCTCTACTTCTCGTTGTTTTTGACTCAGGTGTTATAGATGTGTACAGTCGGTCCGCCGAAGCCGATGTTTCAGTTGTGTCTTCTCCGAGATTGCAATTGCTTCGGCAGCAGCAGCAGGAACGTACTTGCTCTTCGAGTCCATCGGGTTCTGAATATGAGGTTTCGTGTGGAAAACCAAGTAGTTTAGCGCTCGATATTGAATTTGAGGAGAATGAGGGAAAGCTGATCGTTCGACGGAATAGTTCCAGCAACAAGTACCTTCGGGACGTGGTCGTGGGCGATGAACTTGTGGACATCAACAACGAAGGCGTTGTGGGGAAGAAGGTGAAAGACGTCATGGCCATGTTTGATTCAATCCAACCGGGTGCAGCCCTGCTCATGCGTTTTCGAGTCGTTGACGCGCGAAATAATTTGACAACAAAAACAGCACCAGCTACACACAAAACCGCTTCTGGTTCAACAGCGTCTGTTCCGTTTCAGCCGACGTTCAGCAGCGGCGAGGATCTAAATGATCCGAAGCACACAGTTGAAGAGCATCAACAATACGTCACGTCATCGCTTGAGAACCACTACCTGCATGATCTGCATGGTATTGACAACACGGTTCGCGTAGGTGCGGTGTCGATGTATGGTGGTTGGAGACAGATGTTTCATAGGAAAGTGCAACGTGCACTGTCGTTGCTCTGTGTTTGTCCATTTTACGCGGACGATGGTGACTACGTACCAAACTCTGTGTTAATGTTCGGCATAGAATCAATACCAGGGAAGCTTTGCATGTGGAAAGGTGTGCATAATGGCACAGATGGGTCGTTTGAATTGCTTCCTCTTCAAGTCCAAGATGTAGCGGTGAAGAAGAAAGCCAACATCACTGCGATTGCCGGTGAAAGGGACTACCGTCAGCGAGCATTTTCGAGCAAGAGAGCTCAAGGCCGCAACAGTCTAAACTCGCTTGTTTTCATTGGTGATGCAGCCGGCTTTATTGAGCACTGGCGATGTCAGGTTATCGGAAACTCTATTCACTTTACAATGATGAGCTCTCACCCTGTTTGTGGAAGCAGCAATGTTTCTTCGTTTGATGATCATCCGACGACCGAGTCGTTGGGGCCGTTCTGTCGACGTGGATATGTATATGCTGATCGAGTAACAGGTTCTAGTCAGAGCGGAGATGCAGTCATGGTGGCTGGTAGTGTCGGTCATATCGAAGTGGACGATCCAAATCGCCTGGCTGTACTGCGTGTAGATCGACCCGATGAGTTACATATATTTGAGGCGGAGTCTGGGCTTGGAATATTACGCGCAGAAGACTCAATTACGTCAAATGGCCGAGGGAACATTTTGGGTTTTAACTGGTGCAATTCGCATGTCGAGTTTAATATCGATGCTCTCGCAGTAAGGTACAAGCATGCAACAGTGATGTATCAGTACGATACGACTCTACATCGCTGGTCGCAAATTGGCGATGACATAGTAAGCCCACTACCTCTGTTCGATTGTACGCGAGATTCGTCCGCTTTGTTGGTCGGAGGGGGTATTCGCAAGGACGCGCAACTTGATCGGTCGTCATTCGAACCAATAACCAACGAAATGCCTGTGGTTCTTGGTAAGTGGGATGAGCCAGGAAGTCATTTACAGCGCTCGATGGACTGGAAAGCGGCAGAGTCCCCACAAAAGCTGCCTATGTGGCATCCTTACGTACTTCTCACGACAATGTTTGGCATGCATGCGCGCGTTGGAGAAAAGGATACGTCACTTGCTGGTGACCGTGCATCCTACGCATTTTCCAGAGCTTTCAGTGATGCGACACAAATGCTGAAGCTACTTGCCAGAGTGCTGCAAGATAAGCATTCTGCTCAGGCGAGTGCCTCCAGTGGAGTGTTCTCGTACACTAGTCCAGAACAAGCTCCAGAAGCGGCTGCGAAGCAAGCTGAATCGGGGCGTGTTCGTGGGCTGGATTACGTTGGTCGATATTCGACATTAATCCATCGAAGCGATAAGATCGACAAAGCCGAAAACCTTTTTACTGCTCCTGCGAGTAACAGCAGTCGACGAAGACAAACTTTTGATCAAGATAAATCTTTTCTTGACGAGGAGGATCATCGCACTTTGGCACCAGACGAAGCAGCAGTGATTGTGGGAGCAGTTGATTCTATGCTGTTAGGCAAAGTACATCCGTTGCAAGCAAACGCGTCCGTGATATTCGCCTCGTTTGGCGAAGAACATCTTGTGGAGATGAAGGCGCTCCTGAGCTTTGTCGATGTAATCCAGTCACTAGGTTTTGATTTGGACGCTTCAGCTGCAGATCTGGGTGCAAAGCGCTATTTTTCAATGTGTCTGTTTGCGAAGTCTTTACGAAGTGTAGTACGTGCACACGTTGGTAATTGCACTAGTAATCCGCAAAACGGGGATCCTGATCCGTTTTCAGCCAAATTAAACTGGAGGAATATGCATAGCGAGTGCGAGGATTGTTCTTGGTCGCCAAGTTTGGAGGAGACTCCTTCGTCAGGCCTATTGTGGGCCTTACACTCGGACGCGCAACAGTTTTTGTGGGAACATTGTATTGAACCTGGCATGCTGTGGGACGATATTCGTCCTCAGTGGCTAGGACTTTGGATCAAGGATGTTCAAGACTTGCGGGGGATAGTGGAAAGGTCGGGTCAGTATGATTTTGTTTTGGGTCTCACCTAGTCAACCGTTTTGTGGTGTTATCTGTCTGCAGATTTGCGAAAGTTTCGTACATGCGATCCAAAGACGCTATGGAAGTGTGTTTGCTTTACGTGGCATTAGGCAAGAAAAACGTGTTAAGTGCGCTGGCGAAGATTTCTCAGTCGCAGTCAAACAAGGTGCGCTCATACTTGTCGCCAAACTTATTGGAATACCGCAGTCATGCTGATCAGTGTTAGCATGTATGCATACGATGACAGAGACTAGCCTCGTTCTTGGATAATGATTTTTCTGAAAAATACTGGAGCAATGCAGCAATAAAGAACGCGTATTCGCTTCTCAGCAAGAAACAGTACGAAGCAGCAGCATCTTTTTTTCTCCTGTGCGAGCCACCACGTGTTCAGGATGCAATTCGTGTTCTATCGGTCCGTCAAGGAGACCCAAGTTTGGCATTGATTATTTCGAGGCTTGTAGAATTCCGTGTCGACTACAACGATGCGTTTAATAGTCAACGGGGGATCACACCGGCAGGGGTCACCACGAAACAGCTGCTGGAACAAGACATATTGCCTCTTTTTCGCCGAAAGCGTGATGTGTGGTTGGAGAGTTGTGCGCTATGGTGGCTAGAAGATTTCGAACAAGCGTGGGCTGTCTTGCTTCCACAATTTCAGAACGTCGATGTTTGCCGAGAAAACAAGTTGACGCTTCCAACACAGGACAGCCTCCTTTCCAACGTGATGCGAGCGACGCACTTCTATGTCAACTTAACGTCTCTCACTATCTATTTTCAGCATCTGCACTCGAACGTTAATTCCTCTTTACTGAGCTGGGCCAAGAAAAAAATGCATCAAAGAGTATTCCCCGACACCTCGGCGTCATCAGCCATGGCCTCGTCGGGAAAGAGGCGCTTACAGCTTGCTTCGACCGCCGACATCGAACATGCGTTTTCGTTCGCTGCCTACGTATGCAAGCGAAATGGACTGAGTGATACTGCACTTGTAGAAATGCTTCAAGCGCGACATCTAATCAATCTTCACGCGCGCTTTGAGATATCAGCTATTGAAGCCAGCAATGATGTAAGTAGCAATGCAAAACTGGAAGATGATCCCACAAGTCTATCTGAAGATCCTACTTTCGAGAAGAATCAGGGTTTGCGAACAAGCTGGGGACGCGCGGATAAGCCGTCGAGCTTTACCTCTCCGATCGCTAACCGATCAGCGAGTCGAGCAGCTTGGATCACACCGCGGAGGCGAATGAGCTTTATGGACACAGTTTGTCTGCCACGTGTGGAGGTACAGGTGACAGAAAAGAAGGCACCACCTCGTCGGGCGCGTGCAAGCTCCCTATCGTGGAAATCGCTGCAATCTGATAAGCCTATTCCTACAGCACCGTGGCTACAGACGCAAATTGCAGATATCGAGTGTAGGCGATGGGCATCGTCCGCATTTGTTGGTAAAATGATTGGCATTCGAGTGGCACGCGAGATGATCAGCCATTTCCGCGCCGAGCTGGATGTGTATTTTCGGCATGGTCATGACAACGATTCGTCCGTACACGCTTCGGCCATTGCAACGACTTTAGGTCAACGGCACCACCATCGCGTTAAGCTTCACAGAAAGTTCTTGAACGAGTTGTGCACCCCCCTTTGTGAGCAGTTTCAAGTGGACCGTAAATATGTGTACGAAGCGGGGCTAGCTGTGATGCATCCGCACGCGCACCTACACATCGTCGAGGTCTGTTTCCTTTTATCAGAACTGGAGAGAGCATCAACTTTGCGCAAATGGATCGAGTACGTGTCGTTGTCGATGCTGCATTCATGCTCTACTTTCGCTTCGTGTAGCATCGCTGAGGATGTGCATCGCGACTGGGAAAGCCTCACCATTCAGCTATGTTACATCCTCAACCTCGACTCGCAGGGACAGATCTGCGTTCCGCCTCAAGTGGTCACGCACATTAGTGTTGCGGTACGAACTGGAATTATCTTTTTGGGTTGGGCCCGGAATCGGTCCGATATAGTTCGCCAGGCTCTCGCCCTGCCATTCTGTCCGCACGACACTGCCAACAGCGCGTCCACAGGTGACTCTGGTCCTTCCTTGAGCTCTTTCGCATTCGAGAAAAATCTGCACTTGTTGTGCAGACTGTTGGAAATATCTGCTGCAAATAAGCGAGAAGTCCGCAAGACCCGGATCTTTGAAGGGAAATTGGGATACACTTTTCTTGGTGCTGTTGCGACACGTCGAGCGGGCGACGACAATATATCACTGCTGTCTTGGGGTGGCGTTGAAACCTCAGCGAGTCAGAATCAATATAAGATTCGGAAGATGTACACTCTAGTTTTGATGGTGTCTGTGCTCCGCACGCTGTACGCACGGGCCACCGTTTTCCTCAACACGTATCGAGAAACTCATGACGACGACGACAAAGAGGTTGTTGAAGCAGACATTGCAACGTCGTTGTTTATTCCTCAAAAACTATGGAAAGCGCTAGGTGGAGGACCCTTGGAAGGGCTAAAGCAGTGGTATGCACTCATCGAGTCTCACTTGAGATGCGAGTTTGATTATAACGTGAACGAAGTACCGTGTCTGTGTGGCCTCTATGGCCTGGATACCACAGCATTTCAAGAAGCTGCGAAGAGAGGAACGAAACAGCCGAGATGCCAAGAAAATTGCGGCGGCGATGGTGAGAAGTCTATCAACAATGGCGTTTCGTGCGGGAGCATGATTGATCCTGACGGCGGTAAGAAGATGAATGGTACCGCGTGTGCTTCCCCGTCTGAGTTCAGTGCACATAAAGCGGCTGGTGATGACAGTCCAAGTCGTCTGCAGACTTTCCTTAACGAGACGGGAATGGGCGCTGAACTACATACGGTAATGGTGAACGCAAGTGACGATTACATTCTGTTGCTGATGCAGAACGCAGACTTCGGTGTGCGAACAACCTTGCGACGTTTTCGCTTGGACCCTCGGGTGTACGTGAAAAGCTTTGTGCTGCAAGATGCCTTCAGTTGGTTTGCCTGCCACGACATTTTTAGCTGCGCTACCAAAATTGACTCCAGTCGAGGAGCTCACGCATTCTTGAGTCGCTGTTGCAAAGAGCGAAAACTGCGATTACTAGTGACTCACCGAGGTGGGGACACTCAGATGTTTCCGTTCGATCGTCAACACTCTCATTTGCACCACAAAAATGCTGCTGGTACTACTTTAGCTTCGAGTGTGCAACCACTATCCCGATCACAATCGGCAAGTGCAACGGGACCACCTGAAAGCGATGTGACCCTGTCACAGTCGCAATTTCCAAACGAGATCGCTGCATCGGAACGTCGTGATACCGATTCTCTACCAGAGGCTACGTACTTGCAGTCGATGATATTTGTCGACCCATGGGAAGTTGAGGCGGAGCATAATGTGCGACGATACATGCATAATGGTCATCCTCCACTACATGTGGAGCTTGGATGGAACCGCTTAAGCCCAGTTTGTTTGGAAACTTGCGACGGAATTGTCACCTCAGTCTTTGAGGACCCTGACTTGGTGACAATGTGGAAAGCTACAGCTGGAGAAAGCTGGCTTGTGACGGCCATTACCCATTACCAGCTGGATGGTCTTCACTCGTATCGCACACTTTACCAGCACGTAGAGCGTGGTCTTGCTGGGCAAGAGGAGCTAAGAATCCCTTTTCTCGTTGAGGTCTACTCGCGGTGCCAACGAAATGCGATGTTTGAGGAAGCGGGTCTGCCCCATCGGTTCGTTGGAGTTGTCAGTGTGGAATTGGTTGAAGCAAAGGATCTGATTGCATGCAGCTGGATAGGGACGTGGAGTGATCCATTTGTGTTCTTGCAGCTAGGTCACTCGAATGATGATCTGCAGGAGACAGCAGACGAGTGGAGTCTTCGAACATATCGGAGCCCAGTCGGCAAAGGCGGCGTCAATCCGCAATGGAGCACGGCGAATAACAAATACGTATTCCGCTTTGCTATTCCCACACACAGGAAGCACACGGCTCGTACGGCCAGAGGCCTTCACTTTTCCGGAGGTGAAGAGAGTGCACGCGGTGGTGACGCAAAGGACGGTCACGTGATTTCACAACTGTGGGCTGCTGATGTCAACGACCGGAATCGAGCTGCTGTGGTTGCTTTGGAGAAGCTGCTTCCATCGGCGTTCTCTGGTCCGCCAGCATTGCTGCGGTGCACCATGTACCACGAGAACAAGGTTTTAAGCCACCAGTTTATGGGAAGAGCAAAGGCAAGTGCTGTCAGGAGTTTCTTTCGTTGAGTAACAAGCCGCAGACTCATTCGTTCGTTTCTTTGCTTTTGCTATAGGTCCCTCTTGACGAGCTTACGTGCAGCAACCAGATGGACTGCTGGTTGCCGCTTGAAGACACAATGAGCGGCTCCTTGCATGTGAGAATCTCTCTGTCGTTTCAGCTCATGTGTTCGTCCACGGCTGATCGGTGAGTCCATCGCCAGGTATTGGGATAGCGCTTGCCTGTTGCTAGTGAATTTGTAGGTAGGAAAAGTGAAACAAAAAGTGAGGATAGGAGGAGCGTCATGTTTACGAGCAGAGTCAGATGGTGCCATTAATCAACGTGCCGATAGCGTACTGTAAGTGTACGCACACTTACAGCACCGCTTATGGAGACAGACCAGGCAAATCGAAGGATGGTACTTTGTAATCGGAGGACGGCAGGCGTTGAGCTTCCACTGGATATGGACGGTTAGTGCGACAATTAGCAACTTGTTACCATCGGGATTGCATCACATCACCATGATATCGGGTGTCCGCTGTTATGGAAAGACAGGAAAAACTAGCTCCACCAAGGTCCAGTCATCTGGGTGATTTTGTCATCCCACCAGATGACACAAAATTGAGAGGGGAAAACTGCCCCTCTATGCTTGACCTTGACCAAGGACCAACGCCCAAATCCGCATGATACATTTCGAGGGGAATGTCGGTCAGAAGCAGAATCCACGGTACGTTTTTCCAGTCTGCTCGAAGTGCAATCCCAACTTGTGCTAATTTACAATCGAAGTGTTGGATATTTGCCGCTTGTAGACCCCATATCGATAAACAACAAGCCTTGGGAACACCTTCATATTCCGAGGTTCTCTCGAGAAGGATCTACCACGAAACTTGGTGTCACACATCCTTCTGCGCACCTCAGTGGTCTTTAGTTTCGCCCTCGCTACTTGCACTCGGTTGCCCAGAGAAGTGCGAGAGTGGCGAAATCGATGGCAGCTACTTTACTCAAGTTAAAGTAATCATAGGATCGATGTAATGATGCCGTCCTGGTTGCCCAGAGTCAAGCTACAGTGTCAAGCTCAACCCGCCAACCGAGATCGATACAGAACAATACACTGCCTGAGACATTGCATCCGACACGATCGGCTTCGATCGTCGTGAGGCCGTTTGAACTATTTAGGTCCCTCAAACGGTAAAGAGCTGTGTCGACCGACACACTGTCATATATTCTAGGAAAGCTTCTGATCAAGAGTAGCACTAAAACCACAAGAAAAGCACTTTCTGATGATCTGATCAACATCATAAATTACCAACATCAACAAAATGATGCAAAATACTTTAGTTCACACCTGGCCAGTGGTTTACAGCAATTATCACAATCAGCGTAAAATAACCGCAACTTTTGTCAATCACGTCACTTTTAGCGCCTTTTGCACCACAGGTCATGAAGCTCAGTGCGTGGCGCGAGGCAGTGTCCTACGGCGCGTACATGCAGCCAATTCACCTGCGAGTAGTTGGATCTGATGCGGAACACGAGTCTCCATGCGCAGTCGACAAGATGTCGTCTCAATCGTCGCAGAACTCGCACCAGATGAGTCCGAAGTCAGCATCAGAGTTTTGTACGGAAACGTCAAGCTCTCCCCAGCCTCTAGAGACGTCAAATGGACCCATTGGTACTCAAGAAATTGCTCAAGAGATGGCTAAGACAAAGGGCGTTGTAGAGATACCCCCTTTTACCAGCGAAATCATCAGTAACGACGAGCAGATGGTTCTTAATGTGGGAGGACCGGTATGGGCTATCGATTGGCTGCCGTCCCTTCCAGCCGCCAATGCTGAAGCTGTAGCTGCTGCTATTGCTGAGTCGAATTTGAAGAAACCAAAACGGCCGTCTGCGGCCAGTCAAGCTGGATCGAAGAAGGCTTTGAATGGCAACGAGAAGGATAAATCGAGGGTCACAGAGAGCGTCAATGGAGAGAAGGCGTCAGGTTCTAGTGATTCTACAGAAGTTGAGGGCGACGAAACGATGAAGTGGCGATTTCTCGCGTTGTCGACACATCCGCCGTGCCTGGTTGAAGATGGCAAAGTGGTGAAATCCACGCCGCCAGACCATTATTACGACGTGCCGGAAGGCGGACGGAATTTGATCCAGATCTGGGCCGTGCCGGTGCAACGACCTGTGGTTACGAAAGCAGGGAAATTATGGAGAACGGAGATTGATAAAAAGAAGATGGTGAAGCCACGGATAGTGTACGTGATCGATCATGACAGTGGCGTCGCATGGGACTTGCAGTGGTGTCCACTGGTGAATAAGTTTCCCAAGTCCGATCGGCGGAAACACATCTTGGGCATTTTGGCAGTGTGTTTTGGTGATGGAAGTGTGAGAATATTCGAGATCCCTGCGATTCTGGAAGAGAGATTACAGCCCAAGCCAGACACAGCAGCAGATTGTGTTGTAGAAAAGAACGCTCCCATTGTAGTGGCCACGGTGCCACACATCATGCAGTTAAGCGTGCAGTGGTCTCCGCATTATTGGAACATGCTTTTGACGGGCGGCTCTGACGGTAAATTTTCTGTTTGGTATGAATTACCAGGGATGTGAGGCTTGACTGAGGTGTTATCTATGGTTGGTTGATCGGTCCAGGTTCCGTGTCGCTATGGAATATTTCAAGTGTTGTCCAGAAAAGTGATTCGATGGGAAGCGGACACGCCAACAAAGAGCCTTTAGAACCGCAACGACGTTTCCAAGATGGTAAGGTCATCGGTCCTGCACTCGTTCGCTCAAAAATAGTCTTGCTGAAAGTCTTGAGAAATCCGTGTTCTCTGTAGCCGACGCAATTGGAAAGCAAGAAGCTCTTGACTGGGGCTGTGGTTGGGTAGCGGTCCGCGCTGTTGCGTGGTCACCGTTTGACGAGCATATCTTTGCCACCACCGGAAATGTAAGAGCAATCTATATTCTGGAGAACGATCTGGATCCTTACGTTTTGCTTGTGCGACAATAGGACTCTGTGTTCAAAGTATGGGATATCCGTGAGCCCCGTGCGTGCTTGCGATCACATCGAATACGCTCTACTTGGGGACTTGCGCTCCAATGGATGGACCAGACTTCAATTCAAATCTCCGGTGATCAGGGCTCAGTGTACATGTACGACATTCTGGTACGACATGTTTATTTGTTCTGGACGATGCATAGCACCGTTGGTCACTGCGTTTACACGATGTTTAATGCGATGCTTACAGAGTGGTGGTTATCAAAAGCTACACTTCCACCCGCAAATTGATTCACCTGTGTGGGACTTACAGCTCGCACGGCGCGGTACTGTGCCACTGCTTATCTCGTCTTGCACATCTGGCAGCATCCGAGCTGCACCAGCCAAGAAGTTATACCGTGCGCCCCAGAATTGCGTGGAGATATGCCGCCTCTCCGGTGAAAAGGATTCGAGCACTGAGAAGCCGTTCAAGTCGTTAACCGTGTCATTCGTGAGGCATACTGTCTTGAGTACTGCCGATTCCACGGGTCAAAGTACGCGTGAATTTTGTGAACGGGACGCGGCTCTGCACCGGCTTCGTTTATCATCCAGTACTGCAGGCGACTATCCATGCTTTCTGGCTGCCGGAGGCCATGCTGGGCTTGTGATTTTGTTTGAGCTACAGGAGGTGCTTGACACATTGGTCACTACGTTCTTTTTTCCCGCTAAGAAGATCAATCGATCCAAGAAGATATTTGCGTCAACGGGCAGTCATCATGCAGCGAAGAAGGAAGAGGATGTGGCGGCTGGGGATGAAACGAACGGGTTGACAGGTTCTGGGCGGAAAACAAGGACGCTTGGGAGTTTTGCCGAGGCTGGAGGTTTACATGCAGCCTTGGGTAAGTGCATGAAGAAGCCACTGACGTACAATGGCAAAGGTAAAGCTAAGGCGAGGTCACGTGCCAAGGTGTCGAAGAAGAAACCATTTATTGACGAAGACGATGAGGTGGAAGCGAATGAGCTTGACCAAGAGGAGGAGGAGCCCGAGTTCAAAGAAGAAGACGAAGGCGACGACGAGTCTGAGCTGTCTCTTGTAATGGGCGACAGCTCCGATGATGATCGTATCAGTGTGTCGGATGATGATGATGACGATGATGCTGCAGAAGATGTGGAGACGAGTGCAACAAATGAGGACCCAGAAGACGCTCGGTTGATGAAAGAGTACCAGCTGAACTTGACAGAGGAGGATGCCTACTTGCTTGCACTTCAAATGTCAAGAGCTGATGCTGCATCATCGGCTGGAGGTGTACCAGAGACAAGTGGTGGCACAACAGCCGCGCCGACGTCGCTAACCAGTAACGCTGGTGAAAGTATCCCTGCCAATCCGTTAGTACAGGAGAAGCTGCAGTATACGACGTCGAGTGCAAAAGCTGCTAGGACAGCGAAAGCAAAGACAAAACCATTAAAGACAGCGGGTAAAACTACAGCTGGGATGAAGGTTAAACCTGTGCCCCCGAAGTCAGGAAAAGGAAAAAAGCGCGCAAGGCCTGCCAGCTTTACGCTCGAAACGATGGCAGACCCAAGTGCCGCCAAAGATGCAAGTGACGCCCATCTTGCTGCGAACAAGAGTAGCAAAGTACAACTCGATGGCGACCACGTTGGTAGAGCTTCTTCCCCTTCTGCTTCAGCCTTGACGGCGGAGAACCGGACACTCGTAACTGCGGATGTCGAATCGTCCGCAGCACCGGCAAAACCAAGTACGAAGCGGAAACCACCACCGAAAGCGCTTGCAAGAAGCAAAGTCACAAAAGTGAAGAGCAAGAAGGCGAGGCGTTCCGAAGCAACTGACCAGGCAAGAGCCTTGCAAGTGTTTGAATACCAGTTGGGAGTGTGTGAGAAAGATGCACTGAAGGAAGCGCTTCGGCTGTCCATATTGGAAGACAAGCATCGCTCTTTGCATGCGGAACAACTGGCTCCGCAGCTCCCACCTGAAGTGGCCAGCGGAGCAGTACCCACGCCGATACAATCCAAAGTAACGCCAGCTACTCCTCGGGCTAAGAAGTCTTCCCAGAAACCACAGAAAAAAGTGAAGGAACTCAACGACAATGTGGAGTCGGCCGGCAAAGACGCAGACGAAGACGTGCAGCATCAACGGCCGCAAACTCCACGTCGATTGCAGTTTTCACCTCTGGACGACAGCAAAAGTAAGAACCGAGCGGACATTGTAGCAGCTACCATGGACCAAGGCGCTTCTGTAGCCGTATCAGGTTCATCCCAGGTTGATGCAGCATCTGCCACCGTCTCGCCGAAGCAGAAGCCATCGACTACAGGAAGCTCATTGGCAGTGACATCAGCAAGTGTGGAATCGCTCGAACAAAAGCCGTCAGCGAAGTCCTCCCAGGATGACACGAAGACACCTAACAAGCCGGAAGGTACGAAACAAGCAGGGTCTACACGTGCTGCAGTCTCTACCACCACTCTGGCGGGCAAAGTGTCAGCTAGGCGTTCAAAAAAGAGCACCGGAGCAAGGATAGCTGGTTCAGCAGCTCAAGAGTGCACAAAAACACCGGCAGCTCCGCGAAGTCGACGACGAAGCCGTACTGCTGCTGCCCCGAGTGAGTTTATCCCGGAAGGAGGAGATGCTCTTCTGCTAGCCTTGAAGATGTCCGAAATCGAGTACTAGCAACAACCCCGCGGCTGCTGGAGTGCAACACGTCGTAGTTGACCTGGTTTGACTACCAAATATGCGTACCCCTGATTTTGAGGTGGGAGAGGGATACGCGAGTGCAGTGATGGCTGGAAATTGGTACGAAAACCTCTTGTCGACTCCGGTCGGAAGTGATGGGTATCGTACCCGCATTAAAAGTCGCGGAACTGGTTGCTGTAGTTCCTGTCACGTTGATACTCACGACTTCAGCTGAAGAAGTTGATACCGGCCGAGATGACGGAAGGGTGAACATTGAGAGATGGCCGTCTACTCGGACGTACTTCACCAATTGTTTATCTTGATCTATGTATGATGATCTTGAAAATGGTACAAATGTTACGGAAAAAGACAAACCGCGTGACACTGATCTCCACAGATTATATACCGACCCTACCGGTTTTCGATACCGTCGTGGACTCTCTCTTTCGTTTTTAGCAACACGGGCACCTCTCATTCTTGATATCCCTCTTTTTTAATATCCAAACGACCACCCTCGTATACACCAAAGTTCTCAGGTGTCTGTATACACACTCGACGCGCCACGGCTATACGTGCTGTCAGCCATGGCTACGCGGCCTCGCTCGCTCGACGTCTTGTTCGAGTTCGACGCGCCGCAGACGTTCACGGACCTTACCGCAACTTTGTTCCCTCTCCCGCCCGCTGAGACACACGACGTCTGGTTCGACGAGGTGCACGAGCAACATAGCAGACCCAGTGTCGAGTTGGCGCGTGAAGTTGCGGAGGTCGTGCGAACGTTGCAGGAGAAGGAGCAGCAACATAAGCCCGCGACAAAAAAGGACGCCTCTCGAATACAAGACTGTGACCGAAACAACAACGAGAACGCCGGGCGTTCGAATCGTCGACGCGGCGCAACTAGTGTGGTCCACGTGAAGCAGCTTGAACCCACCCGAAATCAGGCACTGCACCTTCCACGAGCCAATGACAAGCCACCGGCCGTGCAAAAGGACGTCCCGCCAGCATCTCGAGCTGCAGTGGCTCTGGCTCGACGCCGGAAACCGCTTGTGGATGCCCGTAGTCGACTGAATGCGGGGAACCAGAGGACGGAGCCGAGTGAGAGGAAGGAGATGCGGGACTTGCAGGAGCTGCTGAAGCGACACAATAAGAAGTTCAAGGCCAGTCACACGTACGAGCCGCCGCGTCATTCCGTGCGGGACGTGAAGCAGGTACAGGCCAAAGACAAGGCAGTCGTGAGGATGGAGAGAGATGGGTACATTTTGCTAACTGGTGTTTTATTTGCTGTTTGTTGTTGTTGTTGTTGTTGTTGTTGTTGGTGTGTTGTTGTTTTTTGCCAGTGGGAGCGCGAGATGGGCAAGAGTTATTACGCGTTGTCGGCACAAGAGCGGGTCGAGGCGAACAAGGAGATTGCAGTGTGGAAGCAGCAGCAAGATGAGAAGAGACGCTAGGAAGAGGATGAGCGTGGATGTTGTGGAAGCTAGTTTTAGTTTGCTTTTACGAGGTCGAGGTGATGGATGGGCAAGCCGAAGAAATTGGCAGCTGGAAAGGCAGTGGCGAGCGGTCACGAGGTTGCATACAAGACTCGTGATGGTTGTCACACTAACACGTGACGCAGCCGTGTGTTACTTCGAGCATCTCCACCAGGTCACTTCATCTAGTGCGACATCTCTATTTTGAAGTGGATTTGGAGAAGTTGCGTCCCCACTGCTTTACTTTATATCATCTCTATTTTAGAGATCGCTCCGGATTTCGGCCCTTCACTCCAAATTTGGAGTGACTCCAAACCTGTCTCTAAACCTACGCATGCCAAGTTGCTACCAAAACTACACCTGCTCCTCCTCACACGCCCTTCCCTTTTGAACTCTTAACACCGGAACCCTTGACAGTTAATAGTTCTATTTCTACAACTCACCAAAAGGCGTTTGCTACGAGCTGTTAGCGCAGCAAGAATGACAGCAGCGTGGTCAGTTTTAAAGTGATCCACCCCCGTGTGGAATATTATGGGATATAAGCACTTCAACCATGTCGCCCACTCGAAGTAGTACTCCGATTTAGAGGTAATACCTAGTGGTGCAGTGAAGATGGTTTTACACAAGTTGTGACCGAATACTTGAGCGTCTTTAGCACTGTCCAACATCACTGCAATCAGCACGTTGAGCACGTGATTGTGTGCAGCGAAAAGCGTCTCCAATGCCGTCGATTGTGACCGGTAAGCGCCGTCTTATCGTTGGATGCAAACCGCTTGCGACCGTGATGTGTCAGCCGGCAGTCGGACGATCTTCACTGACCCACAATTTACCCATCGCCAGGCTTCCTTGCAGAGGACGAACAGTTTGAGCTCGAGTTGCTGCCATTGCATCTCCACTGCTGCCAATTCGAACATGCCAGAGCTTCAGAGTCGCGTCAAGCTCCACAAGAGCCAGCAAACAACTTCCACTGCCACATGTCGAGCTGCATTTGTTGCTCACACTCGTTCCGTTCCATCGTGTGTCCATGTCCATGTCAATTACCATAACCATACGGCATCACTCACGCCCCTCATAACCGTCCGGACTTTCCCCCATAATCATCACTAAATCTGCATACCACACAATCCATAACCCCAGTCCATCACCTACACAGAACCGCATCTTAAGCCTTTACACATACAAACATACCCAAACAACGCGACAGTCCCAACCAAAACCTTCCCATTCACCAAAACCTAACGCACCCTTATTCCCCCCCAGAGTTCTCTCTCCCGAGTAGTATTCCCAATCAGCATCCCACCCGCTCACCAAACACACCCCTCCTCAAAAAACACACCCACCCACTCACCCACATCCACCCACCCCGACCCACCCACTCCGACCGCCCCGTAAAAAACGCCCGTGAATCAAACCGCCGCGGTTTTTTACTCGCCCTCATTCGCTTCATCCGACCGCCGCCGTGCATCGAGCTTGTCCCGGTTGAGCCTCATCACGAACGCGTCCCGCTTCCACCGCCGCACCACGCGGCTCTCCTTCGCCTTCTCCATCAAGCGCCATTGCGCCTGTTTCTCAGCCGTGAGCGCCCAGTCCGTCGTCGCCGTCTCGGAGAAGAGGGACGCCCACTCGTCCAGCGCCACGCTCTGGAACGCATGGGCGACGGCAGCCACCGAGTTCTCGCGCTCGTCGCTCTGGTTGAACTCGATGGCGTTCTCAAACATGAGCACGAGGTGCGCGCGGTACTCGAGCGGGTCGTTGTAGTCGTTGGTCTGGAGCTTGTGGCCCATGGTCGCGAGGTCCATGGGCTGCGAGATGACGTCGTAGTACGTCGGTACGTTGAGGGCGACGGGGTCCACGGGCTCGAGGAACGGCCACGCTAGCGAGTGGCGGGTCAGGTCGGCGTGCAGACGGGCGACCTTGGCGTGGACGTCGGGAGGCATGGGCATGAGGAGAGGAGGCGTTTGAAACTGGTTTGTTTGAAACTGGTTTGTTTGATTTGTTTGTTTGATTCATGCGAGGAGTGGGATGGGGTCTTACACACACGAGCAGCGGGCGGTGGTTTGTTTGTTTGCTTATTTTGTAGGAGGGATGACTCTTTTTTCGTGTTTTTTGGCAGGGGATCGACATCTGGCTGATAGCTTGGGAACGGTGGCTGGCTTGGGAAGAAGAAGGAAGTGGGAGCGACGTTTTGTAGGTTATTCGACTGGGACATGAGAACACGCAGAGTGAACACGATCAGTCGAGATAGCCGGTTCATCGACCAGCTACCGGTGCTGCAACGAACGGACCAAGCAGCAAGCGTCTTCATTTCACGACAATTGTTGCGTTCACGGCCTTCGTACAGCTTGGAGACGGATCATCAACTTGGGCGGAGCACGACTTGGAAGTTGCGCCGAATGTGAAAGGATTTGCCGGTACTGCTGCATGAGACCCGGACGTATGTTTGTTGCCACATGGCAGTCAACTTGACGTCCAGCTGATCGGAGGCGATCGAAAAACAGCATTTGCCGTCGGTAAGTACACTGCACACTTCGACAATGCATACAGCCGTAGCAGAGACGGACTCCAGAGACATGGCCAGCTTCCCGCATGCCACTCGCTGCCCTTGTGTACAATTGCGGCAAACTTCTTTGCCCAAAGATGCTGCGCGTCTTCGTATCACTTCCAAATTCATGTCGCGATCATTGGCGAAAGAGAGATAACAACCCGGAGAATGCGAACCTGCAGTCGTCAATGTGACCTGCACTCGTCCTTGTCAAGTAGCTCGTTCCTCCTACGGCCTTGGTTGCCATCGCGTGGATCGACGATGCTTCTCAGGGGCTGCAATCGGCTTAGCACGAGGCTCGACTGCCCAAGACCCATCACCTCTGCTGTGCTCTCGAGACGATAACGAATGCCGAGTCTGCGAAGGCGAATGCCGATATTGTGGCCGCTGGCGGTACGAGTTTCGCCCCTCAGGCAAGGGCGAATGGCGACGGTAGTCGTTCTCGTGCTCGGTCGGGTAGCTCTTTGAAGGATACGTCTCCAAGTACTCGATCCCGTGTTCCTTCGGATAGCTCTTCACTCGTTCCTGCACGTTACCCACGTACTCGTTCTGATAGCCCTTGAGATACTCCTTCGGATGGTCGTTCACGTACTCCTTTGGATAGCTCTTCGGGCCCGGATACTCCCTCGGATGGTCATTCACGTACTCCTTTGGATAGCCCTTCGCGTACTCCTTTGGATGGTCATTCACGTACTCCTTCGGATGGTCATTTGAGTAAGAACGATGACTTGACGTAACATGGGACGAGCGTCGCCGCGAAGATTCTGAATGGCTGGGTTCTGGCGACCGTCGACGGTAGTGCTTAGCCGGAGGCGAAGCAGACATCGAGCTCGACGATCTCGAACTACTACGCGATCGCGAGCGTTGTCTACTCGGGTGACCTAGCTTCGAGCCTTCTCGTCTGGTTACAGGATGGCGATCGGCATAGTGATCAGTGCGGCGATGCGAGCGACTACGTCGTGATGATGATCGAGAACGAGACCGCGACCGCGACGATGACCCGGAGTACGACAATGATCGAGAGCGAGAACGAGATGATGAACGCGAGTACGAACGATAGTGACGTTCTCCATGGCGCGGTGATCGTGAGTAAGACCGCGACCGCTTGCCCTCGGAATAGCGCTCTTTCTCCGGGTGCTTGTACATCACCCCTCCTGATCGGTACTGCTCGTGGCGTTCTCGCGAAGACGGTTCTTGAGCTTTCCGGGGTCCATATCCACGGTCTTCTGATATCGTTGTCAAACCTGTATATCTTGCATCAGGAACGAGCACCTCTGTGCTTCGTGAAGGATGATGGTAACTGCCGTACCCACGATCTTCTCTGATCTCTCTTTTGGAGTCAAAACGACGATCGGAAGCTAGTGGGGAATTTTGCGAACATTGGTAGCGGCTGTAGCCATGATCTTCTCTGGTCTCTTTCGACGCGTCATGGTGTCGACTGGGCACAAATTCTCGAGGGGACTTCTGAATTCCTTGAGCCGAGTATCCACGGTCTTCTCTCGTTTCTGACGTGTATGGCTTCGTAGATGACAATCCGTTGCGTTCGCGCGGAGACTTCAGAGACCGTTGATAGCTGTATAAACCGTCACTTCTTGTCTTCACAGAGGCGCTCTGGTGTCGCACAGGCGCAGAAGTGTACCGATGCTCAGGAATAGCGCTGCGCGGAGATGGGGGTGGACGATGCATGGGTGCATCATTGGGCGGGAATCCTGCGGGTGGAAGAGGTTTGTGGTTATTTGCAGGTCCCGGTAATGGAGGTGGGAAACGGTGTTCAAATGCACCCAACCGCTTTGACGAAGAGGACATCCCAGGAGGAGGCAGCGGCGGTGGGACTGCTCCGCCGTGATTCGGGATATGATCCCTCCGAGATGCCGGGGATGTCAGAGGCATCGTGTATGGTAGGTGATGTTGAGGTGTCGGTCTGGACGCCATATGGTGTCGTTCATCGAGTAGTGCACCCTGACGATTGGAAGCGGATACGGCGGCTTCCGGCCAGTTGTCCTTTTGTCTGGTCCTCACAACTTCACTGCCTGAATCTGCCATGAATCTCTCTGGCGGGACCAAACCAGGGTTTATCCCACTCTGTGATTCGGTAGTCCCTTCTCCATTGACAACTCCTGGCAACTCCTCGCGGGAGCCCTGCATTAAGGAAGTCCGTTCGTCATTCTTGATCTCCAAAGCTTGACGCACCACGAGATCTTTTTCACGGCGCTTTCGCAGCGCATCGGATCGCATCTTTTGCTCTGACTGACGGCGCTTCACAAAGCTTTGAATGGGTGGAGGAGCGAGAAAGCTCGAACGTGTGCGCAACTTCTTCTCAATATGATAGACTGCACTTTGCACCCGCACTCGTTCGTCGAGCGATAGGCCATCGCTGTCGAAGAACGTCTTGTATCGCTTTGCAATTGCCAGCAGCATGTGCGACGCTCCGTCACCATTCGTCAGTTCATCTGCTTTCCTAGTCCAAGTCAGTGCTCGCTCTCGCTCAGAATCGATAGCGTCCCAATCAATCTCAGATGCAGGAGTCAGCACGTGATTGGCCTTTTTGTGGGCATAAACTTCCTCGCCACCGCTGTCGCTATTGTCCAAAACGAGGGAACTGTCCCGGACCGCTTGGAGTTGCTTGCGAATTTTGGCGTAATCTGGAAGGTCTTCGTACTTGAGCGACTGCAGATAATCCATCATCTCCAGCAAGTGCATGGCACCTGGAAGACCTTCAACTAACAAGCCTGGATTCAGCTCTGTGTAGTGTTCCTTCAGACTTAGCACAGTCTGACGATTTTTCAGCTGCGCGTCAGTAGCCCACGGCAATTCGCCGCGCAGAAAGTCCATGACGAGATAAAACCACGACCATAAATCGTCCTTTGGTCCCAGCTCTTGCCGGCGATGCGAGCTTAACGAGGCATACATGGAAGTGCCTCGGAACTCAGCAACCGGGCGCGCTGGCAGCACCTGCCGGTCTTCTCCAATATGCTGCCTTGACAGTCCAAAGTCAATAATATTGTATCGCTGCTGTTTCAGCAAATGCCGCTCAACAGCACTTAGCGCAAAGTTTGACGCCTTGATATCACGATGCACGTATCCGTGTCGATGGAATGCTTCAATACAATCCAGCATCTCTAGTCCCACCGACACCGACTTGGCCAGTGGAACACCATGAATCGAGTCAGGAGACATTCGCAGCATCGACATGCTCTCCCCAAGCAGCTCCATCACCAACACTGTGCTGTCTCCGTGTTTGCCGTGGTAAAAGTATCGGCACACATAGGGGCAGTCCTGGAGGCTTTTGAGGATCAAGCTCTCCCACTCCAACACTGGCTTGAGTGCACTCGGTGCTTCGACTTTCACTGCCACTTTATCCCGACTCTCGATCGAGTACGCCGAGTAGATTTGACTGAACGTGCCCTGTGTAAAATACATAACAACATGCACGTATACATATAAATGTAGAGATAATACATATATGTGTAGAGACGTATTAATTCAGATTAGAAACAGCATAAAAGAGGAAGAAACGACACCACACGCGCTCGCACCTCGCCGATCTTCTCCCCAATTTTCCACTTCTCCGCAATCACTTCTCCCGCCTATTGTAGTACAGCACACAACAGCAGCATGGAACAAGCTACAGATTAGTCCACGAATAATAGGCAAAAATGATCTTTTTACGCAAGTCTTTTTTTACGCTTACCAATAAAATATTCTTATTCAGAGGTTCTAACGGTGACGACGCGGCTCGCATCATTTCTGGGCGCTCGTTCACCACGACAGCGCTATCGTGAGGTGAGAAACGACTCTCTTCGATGCGGTAAGCAGGATAGAAGGAAGTCGACGATGCACTGCTGCTGCTGCTGCTGCTGTACGCGAGACGGTCAGGGAACGAGCACGGGATCAGTAGCGGCCAGCCAAGAATCTCGTCGATAGTAAAATCACGCTCAAATTAAAAGCGCGTTTTTAGTGCTCCAGATCATGCCGGTACTCACGTTAGGTACGCATTGCTTTTTCTATCTGCTTTTTTGGCTCATACCGGTAGAGCCGTGCAAAAGTACCGACAGACAGTAGTATCCTGATTGTGGCGTCGAGAAAAGGTGGAGCGAAAAGACCCCGCATACTTTATATTTGCAACACTGGACCATGCAAGATGTGCAAACAAGACAAGACGTTACGATCGAATGCACCGCCGAGAGTCACGTGGTAAGTGATCACAGGCACAGGAAGGTACTTCAAGGCAACGATAGCGTGCAAGGAGTCAGTGAGGATAAAATGGTCCCCCACTTCACTTCTCTGGCGATGCAAAGCTGTTGAGCTTACCGCTACAGCATTGTTTTACCGCTTCAGTATTGTGCAAGTTCACGCATAGTACGTTACCCAAAGGAGAAACTCAATCGGCTTTGCATTTCGGTGACGGTGATTTGCGTCCAACAAAATCTTCGACTCCACAGCTTCCAACACTTCTGCATCGAGAACCTTCCTGTCGCTGCACAGGCATCTTCATTACAGCACTCTGTTGCTCTATCATGCCTTGGCGGCCGTCCTTGGGTCCTTCAAAGTGGTTATCCATTGGAACTCTTCGCTTTAGCACATCTTTTGAACTCGAAACACTTTTTTTCGATCACGAGGCATGTTTCACCTATTTAAGATCAACTCGATCAGAATCTCATACCCCTTCACCTTTGCGCCGCAACTACTTCTTTCATCGGCTCCACAGACATCCGCCGTTATGGAGAGGAGTCAGTGCTGAATGACCATTCTTCGCGTGCACAGCACCGCACAGGAAAACCAGGCCTGGTACGCGTATACAACTGCAAGTTGTCTTCCATCAAGACTAAACGTTACTTGAAGTTCTCACGTGCTCTCTGGTGATCATCAATGTTGCCTTCATTTCATCTCGATCGTACCCTGGAATGTACGGCTGTTGCGACGTGCGTGTCGGCCACCATTTCGACATTTCACGAATTTTCGATTCTCGATCCACGGCTGTGTGTGTCGTGAAGTGGCGATCACACGAAAATGGTGACGCGGTCCAAGGGAATCATGAAGTGCTTCCTCGACTCCTAGCCGCCGAAGGATGGGTTCTGATATTGTGGGATATGTCGAACTGGCGCGCATCTTGTGAGTACCTTCGCTTTCACATCTAAAAAGGTCTCGCTAGTAGAGAGGGTTGCACTCTTTGCGGTGGCCTTGATCCGATGTCGATCTGATTGTAATCGGGGATCGAAAGGAGCGCCCTCGTACAGAAATGAGCTTCTCACAGAAGAGTCCAGTCATTGGAGCTGTCGATCCGAGAGTCATTCGCGTTATGATCGCTGAAACTGATGAGCGAGTCCAAAAGAAGGCTTGAGTCCCGATTTGATAGCGAAGCAAGTTGATCCGTCAACTGAGTACTTTGGGCTGTCCCTCAGCGATTAACGCGCTCGATGACATCTTGATCATCGCTAGGGCATCGCGTCTAAAGTAGTCTCTACCCCTCAATTTCTTCGGCCAGTAGTGTTTGGTGCAAGAAGAGACCTCGAGAAAGACTGCGGGTATGTTGCAGCATTGCACCAAATCTATTGGAACACGAGCGATCAACGCTGTGGTTATTCGATCATAGGATGGACAATATCAGTAACGTCCGCTGCAAAAAGGCTAAGCGTTAACGGCGTGGTGACACGAGACGACAGCACGTTTTTGTTAGCTGACTGTGGTAGAGCTATCGACGTACTCGCCGTTCTTGTATCGAATATTACGCTGGTATCTGGTAGTTCCTCGACGAGAAGATGATCGATGCGTCTTGTAGGAAAAGGAGGAAGTAGTTTGTAAAAATGTGCGTGTGCATGTCGACGACCTTGGATGCGCGTACTCAAAATGACGAGCTGTATGTAATACACAAGAAGGACGAACTAGGAAGAAAGAGGGGAATGTACTGCAAGTAGCTGGTGTGCACACTTGGTAAAGCCTTGTGTTCAATCGTGAGTGTTGTGATGCATGTCTTTAGTTCCGGCAGAGACCCCGGCAACGATTATTGGTGGCAACTTTCGGGACGCTTTAGACCCTTTGTATCTGAGCACAACATGCAACGTTATACGAAGCTACAACAGATCCACAAAGGTGGTGACGCGAGTTGGTCACGTCCACTCTGCGCTCGAAGGATATGACGTACAGGGTGGTGCGCATCATGCAATACAAAAACAAGTTGACACTTGTTCGAGACAGTATACCTTGCTTGGCGGTTCAGCTATGGCTTGTGAATGTAGAGCGAGAAACGCCACCACTTCGGATCGCAACTCGCTTACTACACGTCAGAAAACTATGTGTTGCTTACACATGGGCATGTAGGACACTAAGACACTAGCATCATTCAACTACATAAACGGAATATACAGCAAGTGTATCCGGTCAGAATGACAGTTCTGTGTAAATTCATGAAGGACTGGTTGGCTTTTGTATTTCTTCGGGTCACTTGGCACCCTTAGGTAAGACGACAAAGTCTGAAGAGCACCATCGTCTGTACAGCCTATGTGTGTCTTTTGTGGCATAAATGATGCAGCAACATGCTCGCGAGCGGTGCGTTTTTCATCTGCAAAGAGGGGCAAGTAATTGGCCATTCTAACCTCCTTCTAAGCAACCCTTTACACGCAAATGCAATACGAGCGACGACGTTCGTGTTCGACCGATCACACGCGTTGACTCATTATTGGTATGATGAGGTGTTCTTGGTTTTTGCAAATTATGCAAGTAGGCTCTTGCAGAAAGCTCTCAGGGATATTTTGTCAAACGAAGACGCGCGCTACTTACCACATGGAGGAGACGGAATTTCCTGACCGTCGATTTACATGTTAATGTGAGCGAGGTTCCTGCTAGGTCTTATGCCAGGATACAAGTGCCGGTGAAGGTAACTCGTCGTGGCGATTTTGTAATGTGGTCGAGTGCCGTATAGGCTCATGACTATGCAATTCAATACTTGAGGTAAACGCGCCCCGTTGACTGCGTGTTCCGCCGGCCCGTGTGCCCGTAATGCGATCACCCGCTGCTGCCGCATACCACAGTCCCAGTACGTCAAAGCGCTCCGCAATGATTTCTCTCATTACGAAGTAGACTTTGCAGAGCATTCCGTACATGTGAAAGAACGTCAGTGCGAACTTGCAAAGTGGGTCGTCATAACCTTAACTCGCCATCAGGCTTCGCTAGTTCACTGGAAGTAAGGTCCATTACATATTGAGAAGCACAGCAGACTAGCAAGCGAATCGAGCTGTCTCACAGCCAGTGCAGCCCTCTCAAGTTCTCGCACTTTGAGCGTGGCGTCATTGTATAACAACAGACAAGTTTAACTCTTGCGAAGACAGCGCGCAGTTGCTCGGTCCCTTTTTCGCACACTGCACATCTCCCATGTAGGCTGCAAGCGTCACCATGAACCGTAAAGACCTGGGGACAAAATACATGTACATATATGTACATACACAAGATTGGTCCGGCTCAAGTCGACGAATGACCAGTTCTGACCTTTCTACTTGAACTTCCCGGAGCGAACAAGCCGATGGTGATTGGACATAATCTTTTCTGCGGATCGAGACCGAACTTGCTCTTATAGTGTTTAGACCCAAAGTTTTAGCCGCTGGGTGTATGTATTTTTTGTGATTTGTATCCACCCACCAGCCCAAAACCGCAGTACAGTGGCTAAATAACCGACCGCACCTGCTCTGCTGCTCTTCCCTACCGCTGCGTAAAATACTCACGGGCTGCACACACACACCCTCACCCACTATCCCACGTGCCCTAGCCCACCACCGGTCATCCCTCTCGATGCCGACTAGCGCCTAACGCGTGAGCTGCATGTATGTGCTCGGCCTCGTAAATTTCACGCCTCTGTTTCGTTTATTTCGGCTGCGAACTGACGCAATACTTTACTTTCCTGCTGCTGCTGTAGAATTGTACCGTAAATTACGCAGTCCCCACTCGACCAGGTTGGAAAGCACGGTATTTTCTTTTGGGATCAGTCAGTCAGTAGTCGTCCTGAAGTAGCAGTAGCCAGTCGGCGCAGACGTGCTATTTTTACTTCTGACGTATAAAAACCGACACGATTATAACCTTTTTTTGCATTACAAGCACAAATGAATTCTATGGATGCTGAAGGGACGCGAGCTGCTTCGAGTACTTGGAAGGAGAGACGGACGCGCTACAGACGTGGCAAGAGTGGCAGTCCAGCTTCCAGTCGCTTTGGAAGCTCGTTGGACGTGCATTTTGATAGCAGTGGCGTTGGAAATGCAGCAGCTGCTGCAGGTTCCTCCTATAATGGAAAACGATGGCAGAGACGCGCTTCAACAGCGCTCGAGATGGAGAAAAGCACGACCTTGTCGTCAGGGTGGTCGACGTCTTTGGATGGAGGAGAGGGTTCGTGTTTCTCCGAGTTGTTTCCCGTTCCAGCTTCACATCGCATGTTTCGAGCTGAAGCAATGCCTGTAAAGAACAAGACGTCGTCTTCATTGTCATCGGCAATGACGGCAGCAGAGTTCGTGTTCCCGACACGAGAGGATAATCACGCTGTTTCGTCTGATAGTCTGTGGTCCGTGGGGGGAACAAACAAGCGGGGAACGGTTAGGAAAGACAGAAGGAACGGCAAAAGCTCGATGTGCGTATCGTCCATTGGTCGGTCGAAAACGCGGGTAGCAACGACCCGAAGCACATCCATTTTGTGTGATGTGAATGATGACAACGAGGGGAGAGCGTCAGATGGGGGAACGAACCCTTTTGCCTTTGGTATGCAGCAGATTACGTCGAGTCGAGGTTCTGGTCGTGTCTGTGCAAGTCTGGCGTTAACGAGAAACGAAAGAACGGATGAGTGTGCTGCAGCAGATTCGTGCCACTTTGACGTCGACGAGAACCTCTTGCGAGTCAGGCCATCTGCATCCCCGTCGATCCTGCCTTCGGTCGCATCGGTGGGCTCAACGACACCCTCGTGTCACTTGCAGTCGGTTTCGACGGTGGACCCGCTTGCGGTTCGTGCGCGTGCTGTTCTACAAGACTGTATCAGGACTCGCAAAATGGAGCAAAACAATGCTCGAAAGCGCTCCATTGAAGGATGTTTTGGTGGAAGTCAACTTGAAAGCAAGTGGTATGGCTGGCACGATGACTCTCTCTTGAAGCCTGTGGAGTGCGGGGTAGCAAGCCCTCGCTCAAGGTGAGTTTGGGAACGCAGTGATGATTGTCGATTGCTGTCGTTTTTACGCTCGAACGCTTTTTCGTGCGATGTTTTCGCGTAGCTGCAGCAGTGACGATGAGCTGAGACAATTTTCGTTGATGGACCAGCCGTGGTGGTGCGTTGTAGGACACAACCGTCGCTGTGTTGTGGGTGCTGCTTCTGATGGTAGTGCCACGTAAAATGCTTACAGCTCGGAGAAGTCAGCTCGGGATTGCGACAGCAAGCTGGCTGAAGAGGAGATTTACCGTCAGATTCTTGTGGGAGATTACGACCTCAGTAGTAGCCCGGAGTTTCGTAGCTTCAGCCCCTTGTTTGAAGAAAAGTGCGTGGATCATATGCAGGTCATGTGGTGCACTATGCAGTACTTGTTGCGGCTAATGGGTTGGCGTTTGTTGCTTAGGGGACTGCCCATCGAGGTTCGGTACCAGCTTCCTCTGGCGCTGTGCACAGTCAACGAGACTAGCAAAGAATGTGCGATTTGCCAGCTTTATTACGGCATAGGCGACCATATCGTTACGCTTCCATGCCAGCACTTCTTTCAGTACGTCCTGCATTATCGGACAATGTGGACAAATCATACTATGCGAAACGGGCTGGAGCTCACCCGACTCACGTTTGCCTTTGTAGTGCATGTTGTGTGGACAAGTGGCTATGGGACCACACGTCCTGTCCGCTTTGCCGAACCGATGTCACTCTGGACCAGATGATGGAGGCGCCGAGCATTACACACAACTTCACCGAGTGTTCTCCAATGGATCGGGAAAGGATTCGTCGTCAGATGCGCTCGTCGTCGCGGCATGCAGGCTTTCGGTCTGTCGTCCCGGGTATAGTACGAGCTCGTAGATGTGTTTGCTGCGTTATGCCGTACTGACGGCAAATGTTCGTGTTGTCCGTCGTTGTGTGTAGTGAAAGTCGATGACTTCGAGCTGGCGGTGTCGCACATGGCGATCGATGAGAACTCGGAAGTTGAAGATGAGCTCAGAGGTCTCATTTGGTACGTTCACCAAAGTCCACGAAGGCGCTGTCTCTCTCTTGTGTGGCTGACTGACTCACTCACTCACTCACTCACTTGCTTCTTCTTTCTTCTTCAGCCCGACACCTCGATTTGCCACCAACGTTCAGGACAAGTGACAGCAACTGGCAACAAAAGAGCTCCACAATGTTGCCAGCATGGTCTCATTGGGATGAGGTCTCCGCTTGCACAAACTGAACGACGAATTTCATGGCCTTCAAGTACACTTGATTGAGGTTATGGTCCGTCTTCTTGTTGCAGTGGTATCACACCTTCATCATGCAGCGTACAATCGATCTTCAAACCTGATGAACAGACAGACAGACAGACCGCGCGGGGTCGACGTTTTCCCATCTACCACCTGTTTTGCGTCGCTGCACGCTAAAATAGGACGCACAATCACGACGGACACTGCTTTGCCTTTTCTCCGTTCCGAAATCAGTGTGTTCACATCACATTTTCCGTGCCACGTATTCGGTGCACCACTTCGCCGTTACTTCAAGAAAGCCACGACCAGTTGTTGGCCACACACCACAGAACCCAAACATTCACCCGCGCGAGAACAGGATGGAGGGTGTGGACACGGACGACGAGAGCACGATGATGTACTTCCTGCCCGACGGCATCGCAGACGACTCGCCCCGAAGCAAGAGGTGCGTCTCTTCTACCTCCCCCTGCTTCCCCCTTGTCTTGACTCATTGTATTGCGCACACTATCGTTTGTTTTTGCACCTCTTGCTCTCTAATTGCTGTCATATAGTCAACCCAAGTCCTCTTTTGGCCTTTTGAACGGTCGATGTGCTGCCGCTACTTACACCCAATCAGCAGCGGCTGCTTCTAGAGATGCTGCCCCCAAAGCTTCCGTAACCCCGAACTCGAGGGGTGGCGCGTACACTCCCCCACGTTCTTCGTTGGATACGTCGCCATTTAGCTCCAGTGGAGGCTCGACCTCGTCCAATAGTCCTTCGAGGAGCTTCTTTCCATCGGATTTGGGAGGGGAAGCACGAGTGTCTCGAGACTTTCGAGATGGGGGGAGATCCAATTTACGCTCTAGTGGACGCTTTGGACTTGCAGGACCTTATATTGCAGAAGATGAAACTATGAGGTCTCGGCCGTCAGTGTTTGGTCGGGACCAGAAAGCTGCAAAGAGCTTTGTCTCTGCGCAGCAGAGAGAATCCGGAAGAAATGCTGGAGGGAGAGGATCTTACGGCACAGAGGCTTATCAGTTGTACCGGGGCGGGAAAGTGGCGTCGTCCTCGAAGATGGCAGAAAGTGACGGGTCGTGTGTCTCAACAGCAGTCAAGGCATGGCCGGCGACAGGGACAACATCGCAGCCGCGTCGTGTGTTACGGCGCCCTCCTGGACTGGCTGGTCCTCCTGGGCTTGATGAGTCTAATGCGATGGCTGGAGCGCGGTCTCACGCAAATAGTCGAGGTGGAGGCGACGCTGTACAGCAGTCAGCATTTCAGCCTCAACTTGGTCCCTTCCACCATCCCACATCGTCACCTCTGGATGGTGGAGGAGGTTTGAACTCGGACTACTTGAGTGGCAGGGGTCAGTATCATGAGAGTGTATCCCCCAGTTTGAGCTTGTCAGCAGGTGTGTATGGAAGCAGCTCGTCTCGTGGTCAGACTTATCGTCATGCCGCGTCAAACCAAGACTCAGCCGAGCTGAATACAAACTCGGTGAACGTACGTCAGGTGGATGGTGGGCACGTTCGACAAGTGGTTGACTCATCGTTAGCGATGTGGGATTCCTGCGAACCAACGACATCGAGGCGAGTTGATGTGCAATCAATGTCAAAGACACCGTGGATTCTAAAGAATGCTCAAAATGACAGAAACAAGCCTGAACCTCGTTCGAGTCTGCGAGCGAATGCTTTGGAGTTTGGCATGAACGCAGTGAATGTCCTGACGCCGGAATCCACAATGAGGCCAAATCGCACTGGTCATTGGCGTGATATGGCCTGCGCTGTAAACGCGTACGCCAACTCGTCTTTTTCGAACGAAAACTACTGTAGCGGTAGCGACTCATCAGGGCTGGAGGGTGCGTATCGCAACCAGGCAAGTCACAGGGACGAGTTACCTTATGTGCCAGGTGTTAATGAAGGCCGCATAATGGATACGGCAACTCGAGTAAAGAAGGCTGGGTCTTCTGTCACTTCTCGACTCGGTGGAAGCGATAGCCCCGTGGAACAAGCTAGGCATGAGTCCTCAAAGCCGAAACGCCGAGAGGAAACCAAGTTGTCCAGCCGAAGCAGCTCGATGAAAACCTCTGCTCGAGCGAGTGACAAAGCGACTGGCATATCGGGTCGTCAAGTGTATCGTGAGAAAAAAAGAATGGGTAAGAGTTCAAAAGACGTGGCGTTGCCAGACGAAGCCACACCAAAGTCTATTAGTACACCATCGACTCTATATAAAGTCGAAGCAAGCAGTGAAGCCAGCAAGGGTGGAGGCCATTTTAGCAAGCGAGGGGAGAACACGACGGATGTTTCTGCAGGCAGGGCCGCACCAAAGACATCTGAAGCTGCTTTGACGTCTCCGAGCTCCATCGGAATTGACACTGACAATATTGCAGAAGGCGCTCCAGCACTAGTCGCCGGCGTGTTACAAAACACACGGGTCGCGGACTCAGCAAATGGCATGAAACGTGATCAGTTATCACACTCGATTATATCACAAGGTGATAGGACAAAAGAGCCACACCTAGTGCATCGGGAGACCCGAGTAGCCTCATCGGAGTCAAACGCTAGCCTATCGTCGACGAAAAGTTTCGAGTCAGATGATGAGCAAGCACCGGTGCCGTTGCATCAAGAGCCTGCGGAGTCGAAGAAGCCGAAGAGAAAAGACGCAGTGTTGGATGCATCCGAAACTGAAGAAAGAAACCCTTGCGCAACGACTGGTGCAGTAAGAACGTTCGCTTCTCCTTCTATCGCCGAAAGTGCTGGAAAGGAGTACCGTGCGAAGGAACAAGGCAACGAGAAGTCCAGAAAGGAAAAGGCAGACAAGAAAAGGACTACTCGTGTGAAGAAACACAAGCGACAGACCTCTTCGATTGCGGCAGCAGTGGATGCAACACAATCCGACAATTCGGCGGCGGACGCGCGTGGAAAGGCATCGGAATTGTCTCCTAAAACCCTGTTGCTGTTCGCGTTGATCGCTCGGGGATTATGCAACGCGGTCTCAGCGGTCTATTCGGCTCTACAGCATGTATTTGTCCGAACACGATATGGCTGCGCTCGAGTTTTCGAATGGTTCGACACGAAAGGTCTGTGTGCTGTAGCTCTTTCTTGTGCTGAATCTGCAGTGGCGGTGATGATCAGCACGTTGCTGCTGCTTTCTTTGCACGCTGCGTCATGGTTCATTCATGTCCACCGGGTCGCGTATCGCGCGATCTTGGCTCATCATCACATCGGATTCTGCTTCGCTTTCCTGTATGGCTTCCCGTACCTGGTCCAGCATGTTTTCTCCTGGACGCCTCCTTGGGCGCCGGTATGCCTGTGGTATGCGTTCCTAGTGCAACTGTTTTGCACGAATGGGCCAACCGCCATCGTCACGACATTTCGGGTGATCATACCGCTCGTCTTCCTGGTTGAGGGAATTTCTCACCACAGTTTCTTGCTGGACCTGAACGGTATGTGCTGCCGATGCTTTACTTTCACAACACATTTGCTCATATTTATGACATGTTTTTGTTCAGGTGCGGAGCTCCTGCTTACTTCGTTCATCATTTCGGCATTGAAGACGAGCAGCCTTTGCTCGCCGATATTCTTTCTGTCACTCGCGACACAGGTATGCTAGTTTGCAACTGAACGCTGGGTAATTATTTGCCGGTATTTACGTGATTTGTTATGTAGTGCTTGCTTGCGGTATTTCTAGGATCTGAACTTATCGTGCAGTGGCTGCAATTGGCACTGGCCCTCTACTCGCTGCACGCTATGGCTGCGAGCGACGACGAATGGGTACGATAATGCTGAGTGCTGAATTATGGTACCCAGCTTTGCTGACTTCGTTTCGCTTTTGTTTGCGTCACATGTGGATTCAGATCGGTATCCGAGAAGAAGAAAACGATCTTTCTTGCCGCCTCGTGTCGATGCATCATTCGATCGCAGCTTACAACCACCGCCCCGCACCTTCAGGTCCCGTGTCCATTCAAAAGACCAAGCGACCAGACATTCGAGCTTTGGCGTACGCGCGTGGACGCAAGTCGCGTCAGTGGTCTCCTTTTTCGCGTGGATAGGAACGGCAGCTCTGTCGAGCGCGTGCGTAGTCAACGCCTATCGTCTGCATAACACTTTCGAATGTCTCACTGATTGCGACGTACTGGATACACGAGAACGTGTGATTCGACAATCATCGACCCTGTTAACGCCGGAGCTATGAAGTGGTGGATGCGTCGCACTTGACAAAATTGAGCGGATCGTGCATTTCGACGCCATCAAAGGTCGATGGTCAGCGGTTTAATGTAGGTGAATGGTTCGAGTAACGTGGCAGCAGATGAACAGCTGAATGCTCGCTGGAAACGTCGAAAGACTTGTCGTTGCAGAAGGGGCGTACGTTGTCATTTTGGCAGCAGGTTTCGCCGGTGTCGTGAGTACCTGAAGGACGCACCGTTGGAGCCGTTGGTTGGTAAATCTGGAACGTTGGATCGTGCTTAACAATGAAGAGGCGCATCGTGTCCAGATACGCCAACTGCATGTCCCGATACGCAAAACATGGTTTGAATGACTTGTTACCTATAGTGAATGATGAACGTTACACGTAATGAATATCGAATGTGAACACATACTGGTTGTGAAACGATGGAGAAAGAGTGCCTTACACCGGAGTATTGATTTATGTCAAAAGCGAGTGTTGGTAAACGTCAACGCCACGCACCAACTCGACGTCATTGGCGGGTTCTACCATTGCACGCAAACAGAAACCAGCAGCAGCTGACGGACAGGACTGAACAACTTGATGAAGCCACCAAGATCCTCTCCTCCTCTCCAAACTATCCTTCCTTCCTCTGCCTAAACAGCACTCTGAATGATCTTGGCAAACTCAGGCTTGAGTGAAGCCCCGCCAACAAGGAATCCATCGACGTCGTCGAGAGCAATGAGCTCTTGGCAGTTATCGCCCTTAACAGAGCCGCCATAGATGATGCGGATGTTCTCCGCCACTTTGGGAGACACCTTGTCCGCAATGTAACTCCGCAGCTCTTTATGGGTCTCTTGAGCCTGCGCCGGTGTCGCGACAACGCCGGTGCCAATGGCCCAAACAGGCTCGTAGGCAATAACGACACGGGCCCAGTCGGCCTCGTTCACGATCGCGGCCAGCGCCTGAGTCTGCCGAATCAGGACATCCAGAGTCTGATCACTCTGGCGCTCTTCAAGTGACTCGCCAATGCAAAAAATGACCTGCAGACCCACGTCCAATGCCCGCTTCGTCTTCTTGGCTACAATCTCGTCTGTCTCGCCATACAAAGCCCGACGCTCCGAGTGACCTGTAATGGTCCATTGGAGCCCAAAGTCGACCAGCTGCTCAGCTGCAATCTCGCCTGTAAATGCACCAAGACCCGATTGACTCACGTTCTGTGCACTGACGGCGATCTTGTCCTGCAACAGGGACTTGGCCAGTGCAATGTGGAGAGCAGGAGGCGACACGACGACCTGCACCTTGTCCGACGCGATGTCCACTTGATTGAGCTGCGTGCAGAGGTCGGTCACGGATTGGATTGTCCCGTTGCACTTCCAGTTGCCGCCGATGACGTACTTGCGGACACCCATGAGGAGAACGAGGGGACGGATGAGATGGATACACTGTGAGTGTGTGGACGGATGGATAGACGAAATGGATGGTGGACAGCGTTTTCCTGTTGAAACCGATATGGATAACTGGCACGTACTGATGTATTTTGATTACGTGGGACTTGGGGGATAATTGACGCGGCGACGTCATCAGATTCCACGATTATGGATACTTTTGTCAAATCAGCAGATAGCACTTTTTTCGTGCAGTATGAGCACTTTTTCTTAGCATAGGATATTTGTTTCACGTTTAACGGGCATGTCAACTCAATGATGCAGTTTTTATTGTAATCTTGTCAACAAACGATGTCATGATACAGAATAAGCACACTCTGTTCCGAATTTTACCACGGATAGTACACACTGGGTAATCTCAACAAATCTGAAGTGTTAATGTACTGGGACTATATACATTTCGCGCAATAGATTAACATACGGTCACCCAAAGTTTTACGCATAACTCTACAGCTACTACGAGTTTGGCGCTGCAATTTTAGCATTTACCTTCAGAAGCGGCTGTATTGACTTGACCTTATGAGTTCTCAACTATGTACAGTAGTAGGGAAACATATATAGATGCAACGTACACTTGGAAGTGGTAGGTGGCAGTTGTAACGGGCACCCTCAAGCTTGTACTGATGACAGTACAAGCTACTTATTCTGATGACAGAATGAGGCGATGTCGCGTACTTCACGTACACTGGTACGTGCAGAGGAAGACGGTAAGGAGAAGCGAGTACTTGGTTAAAGTAAAAGTAGAACTGTATTTATAATAGTTAATGTCTGCAATAAATCACTATTTATCTTCATCTACTAACTATGTCTAAATACAAATGTGTATATCAACTATCTGCTCACCACTCATTGCGTGCGTCTGTCGTGGCGCGTCTTCGTTGGTTGATATAATGGCCTATATCAACCAATTAGGAACTACTCGTAAGTGCTACAGAATATTTGTCCTTATGATAATATTCTGAGAATATAACTCTTATAGTTATATTCTATAAACAATTTCTTATAAATTGTTATGTAACGATTCACCCCGTTACATCACCCCCCCTTAACCATCAGTCACTTTAGTGACTGATTGACTAAATGGATACTCGTCCCAAATCATTTGGGACAGGGTTTGCACTTGTTGGTCCGAGTCCACTTTCCAACATTTCATCGCATGGTTAACAAGCCCATGTGGTGCGCGAACAAGGCCGCCGAGAGCGCGTTTGCACGTCTCTGTGCGGACGCCGAAGCAGAAACCACAGCAACTGATGTCTCATCGGTTGCTGAAGCGACTCAGCTTATGTCACCTGGTGATGTAGGCGCTGGTCATGAAGACGCTCATGTCTTCACAGAGTATGAGCTCGGTGTCTCATACTCTTCTGATACGGAAGACGGATCCGTATCGACGGCGATTGAATCCAAGCCGCCTGCCAAGCGTGGCATGGATGATGCTATGCGTCTTAGCATCTTTGGTTCATCTGATTCATCAGATGAACCATCGCCGAAGCGAAGGCGCTCGAGGTCGCGAGACTCGGGCGCCAACAGTGGTGTCGGTTCTCCTTTGACACCACTTCGCAACAAGGTACCAGTGCTTCTGTCGGCACGTCGCAGGAAGAGCGGGACCGCAATGTGTTGCGTCTCGCTCCTGAGAAGAAGGCATGGATGCCTCCAAAATCCGTCATGGATCACTTGTCGGCGACGACGAGTGATCGTTATCGAACACGATTGTTCGATTCGTCAAGGATCCATCACCTTGACCCCAGCGCGAAAAACTATCGCGCTGAACATGAATTCTTCATCGATGCTTTCTTTGAACATCGATGATACAGTGGGAATCACAAACGCGATGGTCCTTCACTGCTTCAATCGTGGAACGCCTACATCCATAACCTTGAGGATGTAGGTCGTGACGCTTGGAACGACAAACTTATCAAAGCTCGTGATAAGTTTGAAAAGCGAACCCCAACAGGTGCACGCTATAAGCTGCATCGTCTGTCTAAAGAGGGTGGATTACCCTGTCTTTCCTGGGAAGGCCGTGCCTTTGTTGTGTAAACAACTCAGCACGAGCACCTAAGGAGGCTTACCTCCTTACTAGCCCGTGGTGGCGCGTACGTATCTCTACTGAGATGTACGAAGAGATTGACAACCTGAAATCCCTTTACGACCGTGCCGGGAAGACTTTCTCCGGCGGTCCTTCTGCGGCACAGGATGTTCCGCGTCGTACTGCTCTACCAGACCCAGTACGTCAATCATCAGTTGGGAGCGGGGCTCGGAAGTATCCCAGGACTGGGGATAGCCGCGCCACCGGACGAGATAACTCTTCCGACGTCCGTTCAAATCGCGGTGGTTCAACAGCCGCTCAATCTGAAAGCGCTGGCCACCGCAAGAGTCCTCTAAAGGAGGTGGAGAAGGGGGGAAAGCGCTCTCCAAACTATCGTGGGGGAGATTGTGTCTCCGAGAGCTTCTTCGATTGCGTAACTCTTGCGTTACGCGACGACCTAGAGCATGGGCGGGACAGGCATCTTCAACTGGCGGACACTGTCTTGAAGCATCGAGCTGAGTATGCTTTTGCTCAGCTTGAGAACGAGAGAGCTTTGACATCTCTTCGTAACGAGCTAAGGGTAGCTCGTGGGATTGTTGATCGGTCTCGGGCTGAGATAACTGCTCTTCAGACCCTTGTCGATGCCCACCATCGGTAGCACAAGGCTCTCTGCGAGATGCTTAAATGCAAGGGCGTTCTTCATCGGAAGAAACAGCGTAACGATGGTACGGCTTAAGCCGACCAACGTAAAACGTGGGATGCGTTCGCATCCTACGTGGTAACTCGATCGTGTATGCATTGCCTAGACGGTGCAATACACGAAATGGGCCGATGTACTTGGGTAGTAGTTTACTGCTACCCAAGTTAGTCACTACATGCTTTGGTAGATTAACCGTAGACAGTAGGACTAAGTCACCTTTATTAAATAAAAGAGTGTTTGCCCTTCCATTGTTGTCAGCGTTTTGCTTATCCACAGCTTCGGCGATGGAGTCTTGCACAAAACGCACTACCGTTTCACGAGCCAGTACGAGCTCATCTTCTGACTCGTTAGCGTTAGTACGCTGTGAGTGCACTACAGCAACATCAATCTTTTCTTCAGTGAGGGCTTCCTCGCTCTTACTGGCATCATCTTCTTCGATATCGATGTTGTCGATATCGGCATCAAACGCAATGACCTCATCGTCAGAGCGTGATGAGCGTGAACCAAATCGTCTGTTGCTCGCGCGAGTCTCCCCCCTTAAACCAGAGTTGCACTCTAGTAAGGTGGGTACACGCGGATGGCGCAAGCCATTCACGTAAAACGGTGTATGTACCGTCCGGAACTGGAAGAGACTGTAAAGGTGCACGCAGTGAAGGACTTGACTTCACTCGTTGACAGACTTCACATGCGCGAATGTACTTTCGCACAAACTGATACTGGTGGGTCCAGTAAAAGTCTCGACTCACCGTGAGATATTTTTCTCACGGCCACGATGTTCTCCTATAGGAGCATCGTGATACTCGAACATGATCCGCAAGCGCAGATCAGTATTATCTGGGATGACAACACGTGGTGTATCACCAGTAACGGCTGTATAATACAGTAAACCGTTGCGAGTAGTGTATCGATATGATGCAGATCGATACGCAGGCGACAATCGTTTCAACGATTCTCAAGATGGCTGTGAGAGATGTGTCATTAGCTTCAAAATCTCACCATCTTGGGCGTATGCCCGCCTCACATCATCATACAACGTTGTAGATGGGACTGAGGACGTTATAACCGCAACAGTGGCTGTCCCACTATTGGGTTTCACGACTGATTCAAAGTCGGGCCGACGTGAGAGTGCATCAGCGACGACATTAAGTCGTCCTGGTTTGTACTCGACCGTAAAGTTGTATTCTGCAAATAATGACAACCACCGCGCCCTTCGTTGTGAAAGGTGCGGGCTGTTCACTGCCGTGCGTAACGACGCATGGTCTGTGTAAACAATGAAGGGTCTATCTACTAATAGATAGACTCTAAACTTCGCGAGTGCATACTTCATGGCAAGGAGTTCCTTGTCATGCACTGGGTAGTTCCGCTCATCTGGTTGCAGCTGACGCGACTGATAGCAGACGACGCATTTAATGCCTTCAAGGTCGTACTGCATTAATGCACAGCCGATTGCGAAATTGCTGGCATCACAGACCACATGAAATGGCCTGTCCTGATCGGCAATTGCTAGGACTGGGGATTGTATCAAGCTATTCTTGATACCCTCAAAGGAGCGCTGACATTCAGCGTTCCATAACCACCTCTCGTTCTTTTTCAACAAACGAGAGAGGTGCACAGTCATCTCGGCGTAATTGCGTGAATACTTCTGCAAATACGCCGCTAGCCCATGGAATTTTCGAAGACCTTTGACATCGACTGGCACAGGCCAGTCGGTGATCGCCTTGATCTATTCGGGATCAGGACGTACACCGTTCTTACCAACGATGCACCCAAGAAGTGGTATTTCGCTTGCTGCAAATATACACTTCTTGAGGTTTGCATACAATTGACGCTTTCGCATGATCGTAAGAACCTGTCGGACGTGGTACCTGTGAACCTCAACGTCCGACTTTCCATCCATAGCCCGACTATGGATGAATACGTCATCGAAATAACTCGGCGCGAATTCTCGTACTGGCCTCAACAGATGTGATACACATCTGTTGAACGTGGCAGGGGCATTACTAAGCCCTTGTGGCATTACTAGACATTCCCAGAGCATGCCGCTAGGCGTGCTAACTGCGGTATAGGGTATATCCCGTTCTCGCATAAGGATTTGATAGAAGCCATCCATCAAATCTATGGACGAAAAGATGGTACTCTTTGACATACCATCAATGATTACGTCCTTCCTCGGTATCAGCGTCTGTGCCGGTACCGTTGCAGCATTCAGCTTGTTAAATGCATGCACAATCCGCCACCCTCCTGTTGCTTTTCGCACACAGAAGGTCGGAGAGCTATGTGGGGAAGTTGATTCCCTCACATGGCCCGCAGCTAGACGATCGGCAAAGAACTTGTCGATCGCAAGTACTTGTTCACGAGGCAGTGGCCACTGCTTCATGACACAGTACTTCGAGCCTGGTTTAAGCTCGACCTCGTGTCGAATACCTTTATCCTTCGGTAATTCGCACAGAACAGTTTCAGGAAATACATCCTTGAATTCAACCAAATCTTCATAGAGAGGATTTGTCTTGAGCGATTCCCACGATTGGGAGTCATATCGCTCAACTCGTGTCCTTTCATCGAGGACACTCTCGTCCATAGATGAACTACTGAGAACTCTCTCGTTCTCAGTAAACACTGTTGCTGACATTATGTCGGTTACACACTCGTCGTCAGCGACGAGTACGCCGATCTTCTTGACTTTGCCACTACGCAGATCACGCAAGAACCTTTTACGTTCGAGCGCTGGCAACTGATTGATCTCCGAAGTCAACTTCGGAGGCACAATATGATCAAGTGTATAAGCGCCTACACTTGATCCATCATTGACTATGACATTCAATGTCTCTGTCATTTCCTGGGGACTTATTCCCACAGGCTTCGAAGGATTTATTCCTTCGGCTTCCCGGGGACTTATTCCCTCGGGTTTCGGGGAACTTATTTCCACCGTATTTGTATTATCAGGACTTATTCCCTTTACTTCCTCTAGCTGTGGTTGCGCAACCACAGCGAGATCCTCTACGAAAGACACTCCAGTCGATCTAGGATTATCGTTTCGCTTAACCTGAGCGATCGATTGTTTCTCTTCTAGATGTTCCTCGCTAGGGATACATCTTTGTCCCGGTCCACTCGACTTATTCGAGTGGTGGACCTTCGGCGCAGCCTGTGTTTCCTCACAGCCGCCGGAACTTTGCTCCGAAGTGTAACCGTTTGGTACACTAAGGTTTTGTGCAGTCGTACTAACGACCGTACCACAAGTGAGGCCATCTCACTCACTCGTAGTACATCCACACGCTTGTGGACGCTCCAAAACGTTCATCAGATGGCCATCTGATGAACAAGCGGCAGGCATCGTTACTGTTCGATGTTGCCAGTTTACCCGTGGTTCGTACCTTCTGAGCCACGGTATTCCAAGGATGACATCAAATTTGTCATCCAAATCCAATACGATAAAGTCATCGTCATATTGGGTATCTTCTAGCGTATAGTAGATCTTCACTATACGCTTCATGACGGTTACGGATGCGCCTGTCGCAAGACGTACCGTCATCCTCGTAGGAGGTGTGTCACATTCACTGTAATCGAAGTGACCATCTTCTAGCGATTGGCGTCGCACAAAATTGTTGGACGCCCCACAATCGACTAGAGCTCGAAGGGACAACTTATTCGTCACTTCGAGTTTCAAGGTAATGAGTGAGACCTCATTACCTAGAGCAGCAACGCACAACGTTTGTGCGTTGGGAGCAACCTTCATCAAGAGGCCTACAAATTCTCTTGACGTTGCTGGACCAGTAGGGTGCTCCGCACCTACTGATCCTGTCCGTTTTTTTACGGTCCTACCCGTTGTTGCGTCTTTGCACCAACAGCGGACCCGCGTTCCTGCCCCTTTCTCATGGGTGGACGGTCACTACGCCCAGTGTCGCGAGACACTGGACGAGGGGCACTACACTCATAAGCGTAGTGTCCTGTCTTTTGACATCTGTTGCATTTCTGCAACTTCTTGTAGCCTGTAGAGCGAGCCTTCTCGCTCTCTACATAGCAGAGTTCCATCGGCTCTGAACCTCCGCTGTCATATCGTCTCGGTTGACGATATGATGTCGAGCTGGCGCGAGCCTGTCTCAGACTGAAGTCTTCCTGTACCACAATGAAAATGGCTTGTTCTAGTGAATCCAGATCAAGTCAGAACAGGTGAGTCTTGACGGGACCATCCGCAAGACCCTGCATGAACACCGAAACCAACGTGTGTTCACCAACCGGGTTGGAACTTATACAACTCATGAGATGTCGTATATGTTGCGCGTAAGCGTGCACAGCACGCTTATTTTGTTCGAGCTTCAAGAGTTCGGTTCGAGCTCTGAACTCAGCTCTAGGCGGTTCAAACGTTTGTCTGAGCCGCGACTTGAAGACTTCTAACGACCCAAACGCATATGGGTCGTGCAGCTTGAGCCCCAGTGCCCAAGTCTTGGCACGTCCTGCCAGATTTGGCCGGGCAAATGCAACTTGCATTTCCCCATCGTCGATGCGACGCGCCCTTATAGCGTCGTCTAATTCAACGAACCATCTCAAGAGGGAGTCCTCTTCGACTCCCCTATACTTGGAGATGTCAATCTTCAAGGTCTCGGGTCGACGCGAATGCATCGACCCACCAGCAGCAGCCTGTTGCTGTCTCAACAATTCAAACTGTTGAGTACCCTGTTATCTCAACAACTCTGATTGTTGAGAACCTTGTTGGTGAAGCAAGGCTACTTTCTCGCGTTCAGCGTCAAGTTCATTTTGAATGAACTTGGCGATAGTAGCATGTTGGGAATCTCGATTGTGAGCCTCTAGCATGACGCTAACAGCATGTATGCCCATGGTTGAACCCATCCGTTCAACCGCATCCCATCCGACATCGCTTAAATGGGAGTAGCCGTCACGCGTAGCGTGAAAGCTTTGGTCATCTTCATCATCCAACATATTCATGTTAGATGTGAACGCGGTCCTTGGACGGACTACGAAGTGCTACCAGGTGTAACGGGCACCCTGAAGCTTGTACTGATGACAGGTCATGCTACTTATTCTGATGACAGAATGAGGCGGTGCCTCGTGACTTCACGTACACTCGTACGTGTAGAGGAAGACGGTAAGGAGAAGCGAGTACTTGGTTAAAGTAAAAAGTAGAACTGTATTTATAATAGTTAAAGTCTGCAATAAATCACTGTTTATCTTCATCTAACTATGTCTAAATACAAATGTGTGTATCAACTATCTGCTCACCACTCATTGCGTGCGTCTGTCGTGGCGCGTCTTCGTTGTTTGATATAATGGCCTATATCAACCAATTAGGACATACTCGTAAGTGCTGAAGAACATTGTACTTATGATAATATTCTGAGAATATAACTCTTATAGTTATATTCTATAAACAATTTCTTATAAATTGTTATGTAACGTTTCACCCCGTTACAGCAGTGACACGGCAGCACCCACCGAGTAGAAGAATGACCTAAAGAGAGCATCCAAAAATTTCACGAAGAATATGGACTGGAACAAGCGTGCTAACATCTCGTGTAGCGAGAAGACGAGGAAATTGACGCGAGACGATTCCACCACAAAGGTCGGCGCGTAGCACGTCGACGATCTGATCAAGATAGCAAGCTGGAACAAATTCCTGGCAACGGATGAGCCGAATATGGGCAGCAAAGGTGGGATAGAGCCTAAAAATGAGCTGAGTCATCGATTGGGGTCTGCGGTGCTCGAATGTCATGGCGTTGCGCTGGGTCCAACTTGATGTAGGACAATGGCTCGATCTACATTCCAAAAACCACGCGAGAGGTTCCAGCGTCGAAATCACGGGAAGTATTGATCGGGATGGAGGCCGGATGAACGATATGCGTCCACGACACCGACATACCAAGCAACGGGAACCAAGGCCGACTGAACACGCCCAAAGTCGTGCCGCTGGCTCACACTTAAAGAAAAGATGACGCTCCGTCTCGACTGCAGTTGAGCATCCCTCATATCGGCACTGCATGACGCCCGGCAAAGTGCATTGCAGAAAGGATAAACGAGACCCAACTGGCAACAGACGAAACATAAGCCGAAATTGGAGATCGTGCAAAACCGGAAGTAAGTGCACAGAGTTGTCACGGTCAAAATTGAACACCGTCGGCACCACATCAGGGTTAATCGAGTCAAGTATACTTGCGATAGGGTGACGACGCCGATGCGGTAGAAAAGCTCCCTTAATAATAACACGCAAAGCCGTATTCGGAAGAGATGGAGCGAGATAAAGGCGGGTGTCTTTATAAATTCCCACAGAAAATTACGTCTCCTCACCACGGCGGGAACGTATATAGTCTAGAGCCATGGAAGGAGAATTAACTTCGAAATAATTTTGAGCCAATTCATCGTATTGAGCACGCAGCCACTTGTGTTGACGAGATACCAAAAGAGTCACACATTCCGGCTGTATAAAACGGTCCTCAAAGGCGGCGAGTGAGGGAAAACAAATCAAACTAGGCAAAAAATTGGCCAAACATCGGAGGCCGTGCCGTTCTGCAAGGGACAACCGATACTGTCGAGAAGTACCAACAATATGGCCAAGTCCGCCAGGATAGACACCCGCTGACACGTGAAGAAATGGGTCGAGGGGAAACCAAATGGACTGCGACAAGACAAGAAAATCCCTGATGGCCGAAGGCAAGTCAGCGAGCATGACCGGCCAAGAAGTGGCCGACCAAATCCTTAGGACGAACGCCGCCAAATTGTGATCAAATGCAAATTCACGAAGGAACGGTGGCGATGAAAGGACATGTATAGAATTTCCCACGGACGAAGAACATGCCGAAGCGGTAAAGCACCAGAAAGAAGAACGGCCGCAGGCGTGGACCAGTAGAGTGTAGTGATGGTCATCATCGACGCCAAACACTGTTATGAAAACGCGTTGTCTTCGAATAAACACAGCCAGTTGAGGGATGCGTAGGCCCACCGTGAATCGTAGAGAGGTAGCTAAGCTCACGCGAAATGAGGCGTAGAGACGTATCCCCGGGATCTGTGCGACGATAAAGCACGAAATTAGCCAGAAGTAGCTGCCAACGCTGGACTGTCAGCGCGGGCACGTCATTTTTTTGTTAAACTACCATAAGATAGAAAAAGTCACGGATGTGGCAAGGGTCAGCCTCCCTTTAAGAGTACGAGCACGGTAACGCCAGAGTCTCAGGCGGTCAATGAGACGTTTGTCGAGCTCCGAGAGGTGCCGGGACGTGGTGTAACGGGGTGAATCGTTACATAACAATTTATAAGAAATTGTTAATAGAATATAACTATAAGAGTTATATTCTCAGAATATTGTCATAAGGACAAATATTCTGTAGCACTTACGAGTAGTTCCTAATTGGTTGATATAGGTCATTATATCAACCAACGAAGACGCGCCACGACAGACGCACGCAATGAGTGGTGAGCAGATAACTGATTTACACATTTGTATTTAGACATAGTTAGTAGATGAAGATAAATAGTGATTTATTGCAGACTTAGCTATGATACATACAGTTCTACTTTTTACTTTAACCAAGTACTCGCTTCTTCTTACCGTCTTCCTCTGCACGTACGAGTGTACGTGAAGTTACGAGGCACCGCCTCATTCTGTCATCAGAATAAGTAGCTTGTACTGTCATCAGTACAAGCTTCAGGGTGCCCCGTTACACCTGGTAGCACTTCGTAGTCCGTCCACGGACCGCGTTCACATCTAACATGAATATGTTGGATGATGAAGATGACCAAAGCTTTCACGCTACGCGTGACGGCTACTCCCATTTGAGCGATGTCGGATGGGATGTGGTTGAACGGATGGGTTCAACCATGGGCATCCATGCTGTTAGCGTCATGCTAGAGGCTCACAATCGAGATGCCCAACATGCTACTATCGCCAAGTTCATTCAAAATGAACTTGACGCAGAACGCGAGAAAGTAGCCTTGCTTCACCAACAAGGTTCTCAACAATCAGAGTTGTTGAGATAACAGGGTACTCAACAGTTTGAATTGTTGAGACAGCAGCAGGCTGCTGCTGGTGGGTCGATGCACTCGCGTCGACCCGAGACCTTGAAGATTGACATCTCCAAGTATAGGGGAGTCGAAGAGGACTCCCTCTTGAGATGGTTCGTTGAATTAGACGACGCTATAAGGGCGCGTCGCATCGACGATGGGGAAATGCAAGTTGCATTTGCCCGGCCAAATCTGGCAGGACGTGCCAAGACTTGGGCACTGGGGCTCAAGCTGCACGACCCATATGCGTTTGGGTCGTTAGAAGTCTTCAAGTCGCGGCTCAGACAAACGTTTGAACCGCCTGGAGCTGAGTTCAGAGCTCGAACTGAACTCTTGAAGCTCGAACAAAATAAGCGTGCACAGCACGCTTACGCGCAACATATACGACATCTCATGAGTTGTATAAGTTCCAACCCGGTTGGTGAACACACGTTGGTTTCGGTGTTCATGCAGGGTCTTGCGGATGGTCCCGTCAAGACTCACCTGTTCTGACTTGATCTGGATTCACTAGAACAAGCCATTTTCATTGTGGTACAGGAAGACTTCAGTCTGAGACAGGCTCGCGCCAGATCGACATCATATCGTCAACCGAGACGATATGACAGCGGAGGTTCAGAGCCGATGGAAATCTGTTATGTAGAGAGCGAGAAGGCTCGCTCTACAGGCTACAAGAAGTTGCAGAAATGCAACAGACGTCAAAAGACAGGACACTACGCTTATGAGTGTAGTGCCCCTCGTCCAGTGTCTCGCAACACTGGGCGTAATGATCGTCCACCCATGAGAAAGGGGCAGGAACGCGGGTCCGCTGTTGGTGCAAAGACGCAACAACGGGTAGGACCGTCAAAAAACGGACAGGATCAGTAGGTGCGGAGCACCCTACTGGTCCAGCAACGTCAAGAGAATTTGTAGGCCTCTTGATGAAGGTTGCTCCCAACGCACAAACGTTGTGCGTTGCTGCTCTAGGTAATGAGGTCTCACTCATTACCTTGAAACTCGAAGTGACGAATAAGTTGTCCCTTCGAGCTCTAGTCGATTGTGGGGCGTCCAACAATTTTGTGCGACGCCAATCGCTAGAAGATGGTCACTTCGATTACAGTGAATGTGACACACCTCCTACGAGGATGACGGTACGTCTTGCGACAGGCGCATCCGTAACCGTCATGAAGCGTATAGTGAAGATCTACTATACGCTAGAAGATACCCAATATGACGATGACTTTATCGTATTGGATTTGGATGGCAAATTTGATGTCATCCTTGGAATACCGTGGCTCAGAAGGTACGAACCACGGGTAAACTGGAAACATCGAACAGTAACGATGCCTGCCGCTTGTTCATCAGATGGCCATCTGATGAACGTTTTGGAGCGTCCACAAGCGTGTGGATGTACTACGAGTGAGTGCGATGGCCTCATTTGTGGTACGGTCGTTAGTACGACTGCACGAAACCTTAGTGTAACAAACGGTTACACTTCGGAGCAAAGTTCCGGCGGCTGTGAGGAAACACAGGCTGCGCCGAAGGTCCACCACTCGAATAAGTCGAGTGGACCGGGACAAAGATGTATCCCTAGCGAGGAACATCTAGAAGAGAAACAATCGATCAATTAGGTTAAGCGAAACGATAATCCTAGATCGACTGGAGAGTCTTTCGTAGAGGATCTCGCTGTGGTTGCGCAACCACAGCTAGAGGAAGTAAAGGGAATAAGTCCCGATAATACAAATACGGTGGAAATAAGTTCCCCGAAACCCGAGGGAATAAGTCCCCGGGAAGCCGAAGGAATAAATCCTTCGAAGCCTGTGGGAATAAGTCCCCAGGAAATGACAGAGACATTGAATGTCATAGTCAATAACGGATCAAGTGTAGGCGCTTATACACTTGATCATATTGTGCCTCCGAAGTTGACTTCGGAGATCACTCAGTTGCCAACGCTCGAACATAAAAGGTTCTTGCGTGATCTGCGTAGTGGCAAAGTCAAGAAGGTCGGCGTACTCGTCGCTGACGACGAGTGTGTAACCGACATAAGGTCAGCAACAGTGTTTACTGAGAACGAGAGAGTTCTCAGTAGTTCATCTATGGACGAGAGTGTCCTAGATGAAAAGACACGAATTGAGCGATATGACTCCCAATCGTGGGAATCGCTCAAGACAAATCCTCTCTATGAAGATTTGGTTGAATTCAAGGATGTATTCCCTGAAACTGTTCTGTGCGAATTACCGAAGGATAAAGGTATTCGACACGAGGTCGAGCTTAAACCAGGCTCGAAGTACTGTGTCATGAAGCAGTGGCCACTGCCTCGTGAACAAGTACTTGCGATCGACAAGTTCTTTGCCGATCGTCTAGCTGCGGGCCATGTGAGGGAATCAACTTCCCCACATAGCTCTCCGACCTTCTGTGTGCGAAAAGCAACAGGAGGGTGGCGGATTGTGCATGCATTTAACAAGCTGAATGCTGCAACGGTACCGGCACAGACGCCGATACCGAGGAAGGACGTAATCATTGATGGTATGTCAAAGAGTACCATCTTTTCGTCCATAGATTTGATGGATGGCTTCTATCAAATCCTTATGCGAGAACGGGATATACCCTATACCGCAGTTAGCACGCCTAGCGGCATGCTCTGGGAATGTCTAGTAATGCCACAAGGGCTTAGTAATGCCCATGCCACGTTCAACAGATGTGATACACATCTGTTGAGGCCAGTACGAGAATTCGCGCCGAGTTATTTCGATGACGTATTCATCCATAGTCGAGCTATGGATGGAAAGTCGGACGTTGAGGTTCACAGGTACCACTTCCGACAGGTTCTTACGATCATGCGAAAGCATCAATTGTATGCAAACCTCAAGAAGTGTATATTTGCAGCAACGAAATAACACTTCTTGGGTGCATCGTTGGTAAGAACGGTGTACGTCCTGATCCCGAATAGATCAAGGCGATCACCGACTGGCCTGTGCCAGTCGACGTCAAAGGTCTTCGAAAATTCCATGGGCTAGCGGCGTATTTGCACAAGTATTCACGCAATTACGCCGAGATGACTGTGCACCTCTCTCGTTTGTTGAAAAAGAACGAGAGGTGGTTATGGAACGCTTAATGTCAGCGCTCCTTTGAGGGTATCAAGAATAGCTTGATACAATCCCCAGTCCTAGAAATTGCCGATCAGGACAGGCCATTTCATGTGGTGTGTGATGCCAGCGATTTCGCAATCGGCTGTGCATTAATGCAGTACGACCTTGAAGGCGTTGAACGCGTCGTCTGCTATCAGTCGCGTCAGCTGCAACCAGCTGAGCGGAACTACCCAGTGCATGACAAGGAACTCCTTGCCATGAAGTATGCACTCGCGAAGTTCAGAGTCTATCTATTAGGAGATAGACCCTTCATTGTTTACACAGACCATGCGTCATTACGCACGGCAGTGAACAGCCCGCACCTTTCGCAACGAATGGCGCGGTGGTTGTCATTATTTGCAGAATACAACTTTACGGTCGAGTACAAACCAGGACGACTTATTGTCGTCGCTGATGCACTCTCACGTCGGCCCGACTTTGAATCAGTCGTGAAACCCAATAGTGGGACAGCCACTGTTGCGGTTATGACGTCCTCAGTCCCATCTACAACGTTGTATGATGATGTGAGGCGGGCATACGCCCAAGATGGTGAGATTTTGAAGCTAATGACACATCTCTCACAGCCATCTTGAGAATCGTTGAAACGATTGTCGCCTGCGTATCGATCTGCGTCATATCGATACACTACTCGCAACGGTTTACTGTATTATACAACCGTTACTGGTGATACACCACGTGTTGTCATCCCAGATAATACTGATCAGCGCTTGCGGATCATGTTCGAGTATCACGATGCTCCTGTAGGAGAACATCGTGGCCGTGAGAAAAATATCTCACGGTGAGTCGAGACTTTTACTGGACCCACCAGTATCAGTTTGTGCGAAAGTACATTCGCGCATGTGAAGTCTGTCAACGAGTGAAGTCAAGTCCTTCACTGCGTGCACCTTTACAGTCTCTTCCAGTTCCGGACGGTACATACACCGTTTTACGTGAATGGCTTGCGCCATCCGCGTGTACCCACCTTACTAGAGTGCAACTCTGGTTTAAGGGGGGAGACTCGCGCGAGCAAAAGACGATTTGGTTCACGCTCATCACGCTCTGACGATGAGGTCATTGCGTTTGATGCCGATATCGACAACATCGATATCGAAGAAGATGATGCCAGTAAGAGCGAGGAAGCCCTCACTGAAGAAAAGATTGATGTTGCTGTAGTGCACTCACAGCGTACTAACGCTAACGAGTCAGAAGATGAGCTCGTACTGGCTCGTGAAACGGTAGTGCGTTTTGTGCAAGACTCCATCGCCGAAGCTGTGGATAAGCAAAACGCTGACAACAATGGAAGGGCAAACACTCTTTTATTCAATAAGGGTGACTTAGTCCTACTGTCTACGGTTAATCTACCAAAGCATGTAGTGACTAACTTGGGTAGCAGTAAACTACTACCCAAGTACATCGGCCCATTTCGTATATTGCACCGTCTAGGCAATGCATACACGATCGAGTTACCACGTAGGATGCGAACGCATCCCACGTTTTACGTTGGTCGGCTTAAGCCGTACCATCGTTACGCTGTTTCTTCCGATGAAGAACGCCCTTGCATTTAAGCATCTCGCAGAGAGCCTTGTGCTCCCGATGGTGGGCATCAACAAGAGTATGAAGAGCAGCTATCTCATCCCGAGACCGATCGACAATCCCACGAGCTACCCTTAGCTCGTCACGAAGAGATGTCAGAGATCTCTCGTTCTTAAGCTGAGCAAAGGCAAACTCAGCTCGATGCTTCGAGGCAGTGTCCGCCATTTGGAGACGCCTATTCCGCTCATGTTCGAGATCGTCGCGTAACCCTTGCGTTACGCGATCAAAGAAGCTCTAGGGAACACACCGATCCACATGATCGTGTGGAGAGCGTCTTTCCTCCTCCTCCACCTCCATTAGAGGACTCTCGCGGTGGCCAGCGCTATCTAGATGAGCAGCTGTTGAACCACCGCGACGTGAACGGACGTCGGAAGAGTTATCTCGTCCGGTGGCGCGGCTATCCCCAGTCCTGGGATACTTGGGAGCCCCGCTCCCAACTGATGGTTGACGTAATGGGTCTGGTTGAGCAGTACGACGCGGCACATCCTGTGCCGCAGAAGGACCGCCGGAGAAAGTCTTCCCGGCACGGTCGTAAAGGGATTTCAGGTTGTCAATCCCTTCGTACATCTCAGTAGAGATACGTACGCGCCACCACGGGCTAGTAAGGAGGTAAGCCTCCTTAGGTGCGCGCGCAAAGTTGTTCACACAACATGGGCACGAGTCTCCCCAAGAGAGGCAGGGTAATCCTTTCTCCCTTGACAGACGATGCAGCTTGTAGCGTGCACCTGTTGGGGTTCGCTTTTCAAACTTATCACGAGCTTTGATAAGTTTGTCGTTCCAAGCGTCACGACCTACATCCTCGAGGTTATGGATATAGGCGTTCCACGCTTGAAGTAGTGAGGGACCATCACGTTTGTGATTCCCACTGTACCATCGATGTTTGAAGAAAGCATCGATGAAGAATTCATGTTCAGCGCGATAGTTTTTCGCGCTGTGGTCAAGGTGATGGATCCTTGACGAATCGAACAATCGTGTTCGATAACGATCACTCGTCGTCGCCGACAAGTGATCCATGACGGATTTTGGAGGCATCCATGCCTTCTTCTCAGGAGCGAGACGCAACACATTGCGGTCCCGCTCTTCCTGCGACGTGCCGACAGAAGCACTGGTACCTTGTTGCTAAGTGGTGTCAAAGGAGAACCGACACCACTGTTGGCGCCCGAGTCTCGCGACCTCGAGCGCCTTCGCTTCGGCGATGGTTCATCTGATTCATCAGATGAACCAAAAATGCTAAGACGCATAGCATCATCCATGCCACGCTTGGCAGGCGGCTTAGATTCAATCGCCGTCGATACGGATCCGTCTTCCGTATCAGGAGAGTATGAGACACCGAGCTCATACTCTGTGAAGACATGAGCGTCTTCATGACCAGCGCCTGCATCACCAAGTGACACAGGCTGAGTCGCTTCAGCAACCGATGAGACATCAGTTGCTGTGGTTTCTGCTTCGGCGTCCGCACAGAGACGTGCGGACGCGCTCTCGGCGGCCTTGCTCGCGCATCGCATGGGCTTGTTAACCATGCGATGAATTGTTGGAAAGTGGACTCGGACCAACAAGTGCAAACCCTGTCCCAAATGATTTGGGACGAGTATCCATTTAGTCAATCAGTCACTAAAGTGACTGATGGTTAAGGGGGGGTGATGTAACGGGGTGAATCGTTACATAACAATTTATAAGAAATTGTTTATAGAATATAACTATTCGAGTTATATTCTCAGAATATTATCATAAGGACAAATATTCTGTAGCACTTACAAGTAGTTCCTAATTGGTTGATATAGGCCATTATATCAACCAACGAAGACGCGCCACGACAGACGCACGCAATGAGTGGTGAGCAGATAGTTGATTTACACATTTGTATTTAGACATAGTTAGTAGATGAAGATAAATAGTGATTTATTGCAGACTTTAACTATTATAAATACAGTTCTACTTTTTACTCTAACCAAGTACTCGCTTCTTCTTACCGTCTTCCTCTGCACGTACGAGTGTACGTGAAGTCACGAGGCAACGCCTCATTCTGTCATCAGAATAAGCAGCATGTACTGTCATCAGTACAAGCTTCAGGGTGTCCCGTTACACGTGGAATCATGGTGGCCAAAGTAAATTTTAAGAAACTTTACATGCTCCTGTGGATCAAAGCTCCGAATACCAGCGAGACATACGGGCTCCCGTGCACAATTAAGCGTAAAAAACCGACACTTGGCTCGATTGAGTAAGGCTCCCGATCCTGAACGATAAACTTGGACGAGCTAGAGCTGGGCCTCGGCGGCAACAGGAGAACATATCAGTAAATTTACGTAAAGTCATCCGTAAAGAAAGGACTTGTCGATCGCATGTTAGGAGTGATGTGTGTAACAAGGTCTGTATGAGACCGCAATAGATTGCTCAATGGCTCAATGCAAAACAGGAACAGAAAAACAGAAGGTAGGTCTTCTTGGATGACCCCACGAGTGACTCCCACCGTAGTCAGCAGTTTACCATTAATTAGTAGGCGGGCCACGAGATTTTGATACAACAGTTTAGTCCAGGAGCTAAAGCGCTGACCAAAACCCATCCGAGATAGCACGCGAAACATGTAAGTCCAGTCCACTCTATCATAGGCCTTAGCAAAATCAAGAAACACCGCAATGCCATCTTTATCTGTAGCTGACAGTAAGTGCAGAAAATCACTGAGAAAACGCACATGATGGTGAGTCGACCTCCCCGGGATGAAGCCTTTTGCTCGACGTGAATTAATAGCGGCATGAGCTGACGCATTCAAAACATCAACGCTTTGGTCAAAATTTTGACGTCCACTTGCATCTTGGAGATAAGACGATAGATACCGGGGTCCGATCGACACCCCGACTTGTGGAGTAGCGTCACAACAGACGTACTCTGGGTGGAAAGCAGGGTCTAAAGATGAAATTGGTAGCGAAAAACGATCGAAAGGATCTCCCCGAAGATGCCCGGGCCTATTTAATAAAAGGCTGCAGACAATCCGTCAGGTCCCGGGGCAAAAGAACTGCGTAGATACCGAATGGTGAGGGCCAACTCTTCGACAACAAGATTTTCATGAAGCCCCCGCGCCTGATCAGTAGACAACTTCCGCTGGACTGTCTCTTCGAACGATCTTGATGTATCGGGTCAATCACGTGGTGCTCTGGAGAGCAACGGGGATCACCGAAGATAGCACCCCAATGACGGCAAAATATGGCTACAATATGGGTAGGATCCGTAGCTACGCTACCCTCCGACCATAGATCTGTTGCAATCGGTACACAGCGGAGGTCTGAATGTGAATATTTAAAAAACTGCCTCGTGCAGCGCTCCATCCGGGTCTCGTGGGTATCAAAACCCGTGTCCTGTTGGATTTCACTATACTGCTTTTGTTGGAAACTCAGAACAGCCTGTGCTCGTTCAAGCTGTGAACGGGCCGCCGAGCTAAGGGTAAAGCATTTTTTTCCCTCAGCAAAGGAAACAAGGGTACGAGCCTTACGAAGCTCGCGAGTGCGCTCATGCCAATACTTTAATCTCACATTTTGCAACGCCTTGCGAGTTTTGCGTTTTCAGCTTTCGCACACCAGTCCGAGGTTGGTAGCCGTAAGGATCGTAGCGCACACTTGGGATGCCTCAACTCAATGGCAGCCACAATGGCAGGATTAATAAAACATTTGCTTGGAAAGCGCCAGTATCCTGGTCCGCGGACTGTGTGCGTCGTGTTGAGGTGTACCCGGTATAGAAGGTGATTACCACCGTGAGTATAATCAAAATATGAAGCATCCGAGCAATGATGATCCACAAGAAAGTCATCCAAAAAAATAATCAAGACGATTAACTCGCGGTAATAAGCCGCTAAAGACTCGATCCTCAGGATGATGACGGCGCCAAGCGACCCCACTTCAAGCAAAGCCAACCAGCGATTAAAGTAGGCTCTGGCGCCACTGCCACGCGTCTCACCCGACCGACTATCCATCGAGACAATATGTGGCAAATTAAAGTCACCAAAATATGTGACGGGCACCCTCTGGGTAATAGTGATTGGAAAAAGCCGCGTAAAACGCCGTCTTCTCATGATGGTCGCAAGGCGCATAAACATTGTAAATAAAATAAGTTACACCACCGACTCGCATAGTAACGACGAGATAACGTCCCGGAATGGTCATAAATGAATTAATATGAGTGTCAGAAGATCCGGAAATTCGAGAAGAGAGTAGCGTTATAACCCCTGCGCGGGGATGAGTAATCGTGGACTTCTCAAGAGACTGGAAGTCCGAATAAAAGCAGCGGTGGTGACTCTACCTTGACACGTGGTACAAAATTTTTGCACGCTGAGCTAGATCGTGGAATTTGGTCTCCTGGAAACAAACAATGTCGTACGGTACGACTAATTATGAGACAGTAAAATAGCCGTTGCGTTTCACGCCATTGATGTTAGCAGTAAGCAACCGGACGTCAGACCAAGGTGAAATCACCTTAGCCCTCCATGAGAACCGGCGTGCAACGAGGAACGACGGATTGCAATGGGCATGCGGCTATGTGAACCCCACCTGCCGTGGAAACGAGCCGGAGAGTACTGTTGTCAGCATCGATCGACTTACTCGAATCTCGCAAGCCAACAAGAGAGCAGAGGACCGACCCAATATAGCCAAATCGAGTAGAACGTCCCACAATGTGCTCACCAAGAGGAGATTTAAGGAGAGACTGGAGCACATCGATCGCAAGGAGACGAAATGGGTCGGCCCCTATCCATTGAATCGGATGCCCACAGCCAATGGTCAACCAGCCATCACTGCGCATAATTGTAGGTTCCCGACGCCAACAAGAACAATTCGAAAAAATCTAACGCATGGGATGCGTCGACCAGCTCACGGTTGTAATTGCCATACAATCGGATAAGCGCCCGTGTCGTCTGGACAATATCAATGCGATTAACAGGTAGGCTAAAAGGCTTACAAGCCGACAAAAAGGGATTACAACCGTCGGCATCGGCAGCCTGGACGAGGCGTTGAGCGAGATGGAGGTCAATAACCTCCTCAAGGTTGCCGCGTCCACTCTCTAACTACATTAGGTCAGCAAAACTTTTGGCTAGCACCAGGCTCGTCCCAAATAGCCTTACATAAAGTGTCCGGGTCACCCAATGAACAAATGGTCTTGCAGATCCGAGCCCGATCTTTACTTGTAGGAAGACAAAGCGCTTCTTCACGAGACGGCTGAGCAATAATATCCGATATCAGCTCGTGAAAAAGATTGCGCACCGTCAGATCGCAATCAGCACGGACTGCCAGTCCGTCGACTTTAACCAACCTAGCGCAGCTAGCCGCACACGCTAAAACATCCGGCGGCTAAACACGTGTTGGACGATCCAGAGCTGGTTAGCTGAGTAATCATCGTCAGCAGTCGATGCATACCCATCAAACTGTGCATCAAAAGTGGCAAGTGCATCATAATAGTTCGGCGTGCACCGCGAACGTACAGTAGCCTCGCCGGCACGAGCATGGTGACGTTTACGGCTCCTTGTAATTGGAACTCATTTGGCACCGGTTGAGCAGGTGCGGCAAAGGATGGTTCGGCGGAATTTGCGACAGAAGACGTAGAGAGCACCGTACTAAGAGACTGTGCTCCAACCGGCCCTGTTCGGGTCTTTGGCAAGGATTTGTCTTGAGACCCCCTCCCACACTCAGCCATCGATTCATCACCAGAATCACTAGAAGAACCACGACCAACTACTGTACCGAGAGACTTTCCGACAGACCGATTTTTAGATGGTGCAGCTTATAAATCCAGGGGAGTTAGGTCCAGCGAGTATCAGGAACGGCGATGATAGGGTGCCTGAGGTCAAGAACTCGGGGTTCACGATGGCGCACGGAATATACCGACCCAAGGAGTATGAACTGGTCCACCGCCACACCGTCATCCTTGAGACAAAGAGGCCGCGAACCGGATCGGAGGTAAATCCGGACCTGGCCGCCCAAAGCGCAGTACCTTGACCAACCCCAGCCGAGCACAATAAAGAGGTGAAGCCCTTAGAGAACGAAGGAGATCTGTAACGGGGCACCCTGAAGCTTGTACTGGTGACAGTACATGCTACTTATTCTGATGACAGAATGAGGCGTTGCCTCGTGACTTCACGTACACTCGTACGTGCAGAGGAAGACGGTAAGAAGAAGCGAGTACTTGGTTAGAGTAAAAAGTAGAACTGTATTTATAATAGCTAATGTCTGCAATAAATCACTATTTATCTTCATCTAACTATGTCTAAATACAAATGTGTAAATCAGTTATCTGCTCACCACTCATTGCGTGCGTCTGTCGTGGCGCGTCTTCGTTGGTTGATATAATGGCCTATATCAACCAATTAGGAACTACTTGTAAGTGCTACAGAATATTTGTCCTTATGACAATATTCTGAGAATATAACTCTTATAGTTATATTCTATTAACAATTTCTTATAAATTGTTATGTAACGATTCACCCCGTTACATCACCCCCCCTTAACCATCAGTCACTTTAGTGACTGATTGACTAAATGGATACTCGTCCCAAATCATTTGGGACAGGGTTTGCACTTGTTGGTCCGAGTCCACTTTCCAACAATTCATCGCATGGTTAACAAGCCCATGCGATGCGCGAGCAAGGCCGCCGAGAGCGCGTCCGCACGTCTCTGTGCGGACGCCGAAGCAGAAACAACAGCAACTGATGTCTCATCGGTTGCTGAAGCGACTCAGCCTGTGTCATTTGGTGATGCAGGCGCTGGTCATGAAGACACTCATGTCTTCACAGAGCATGAGCTCGGTGTCTCATACTCTCCTGATACGGAAGACGGATCCGTATCGACGGCGATTGAATCTAAGCCGCCTGCCAAGCGTGGCATGGATGATGCTATGCGTCTTAGCATTTTTGGTTCATCTGATGAATCAGATGAACCATCGCCGAAGCGAAGGCGCTCGAGGTCGCGAGACTCGGGCGCCAACAGTGGTGTCGGTTCTCCTTTGACACCACTTAGCAACAAGGTACCAGTGCTTCTGTCGGCACGTCGCAGGAAGAGCGGGACCGCAATGTGTTGCGTCTCGCTCCTGAGAAGAAGGCATGGATGCCTCCAAAATCCGTCATGGATCACTTGTCGGCGACGACGAGTGATCGTTATCGAACACGATTGTTCGATTCGTCAAGGATCCATCACCTTGACCACAGCGCGAAAAACTATCGCGCTGAACATGAATTCTTCATCGATGCTTTCTTCAAACATCGATGGTACAGTGGGAATCACAAACGTGATGGTCCCTCACTACTTCAAGCGTGGAACGCCTACATCCATAACCTCGTGGATGTAGGTCGTGACGCTTGGAACGACAAACTTATCAAAGCTCGTGATAAGTTTGAAAAGAGAACCCCAACAGGTGCACGCTACAAGCTGCATCGTCTATCAAGGGAGAAAGGATTACCCTGCCTCTCTTGGGGAGACTCGTGCCCATGTTGTGTGAACAACTCTGCGCGCGCACCTAAGGAGGCTTACCTCCTTACTAGCCCGTGGTGGCGCGTACGAGTCTCTACTGAGATGTATGAAGGGATTGACAACCTGAAATCCCTTTACGACCGTGCCGGGAAGACTTCTCCGGCGGTCCTTCTGCGGCACAGGATGTGCCGCGTCGTACTGCTCAACCAGACCCATTACGTCAACCATCAGTTGGGAGCGGGGCTCCCAAGTATCCCAGGACGGGGGATAGCCGCGCCACCGGACGAGATAACTCGTCCGACGTCCGTTCACGTCGCGGTGGTTCAACAGCTGCTCATCTAGATAGCGCTGGCCACCGCGAGAGTCCTCTAATGGAGGTGGAGGAGGAGGAAAGATGCTCTCCACACGATCATGTGGATCCGTGTGTTCCCGAGAGCTTCTTTGATCGCGTAACGCAAGGGTTACGCGACGATCTCGAACATGAGCGGAATAGGCGTCTCCAAATGGCGGACACTGCCTCGAAGCATCGAGCTGAGTTTGCCTTTGCTCAGCTTGAGAACGAGAGATCTCTGACATCTCTTCGTGACGAGCTAATGGTAGCTCGTGGGATTGTCGATCGGTCTCGGGATGATATAACTGCTCTTCATACTCTTGTTGATGCCCACCATCGGGAGCACAAGGCTCTCTGCGAGATGCTTGAGCGCAAGGGCGTTCTTCATCGGAAGAAGCAGCGTACTGATGGTACGGCTTAAGCCGACCAACGTAAAACGTGGGATGCGTTCGCATCTTACGTGGTAACTCGATCGTGTATGCATTGCCTAGGCGGTGCAATACACGAAATGGGCCGATGTACTTGGGTAGTAGTTTACTGCTACCCAAGTTAGTCACTACATGCTTTGGTAGATTAACCGTAGACAGTAGGACTAAGTCACCTTTACTAAATAAAAGAGTGTTTGCCCTTCCATTCTTGTCAGCGTTTTGCTCTTGCTTATCCACCGCTTCGGCGATGGAGTCTTGCACAAAACGGACTACCGTTTCACGAGCCAGTATGAACTCATCTGCTGACTCGTTAGCTTCAGTGCGCTGTGAGCGCACTGCAGCAACATCAACCTTTTCTTCAGTGAGGGCTTCCGCACTCTCACTGGCATCATCTTCTTCGATATCGATGTTATCGATATCGGCATCAAACGCAATGACTTCTTCGTCAGAGCGTGATGAGCGTGAACCAATTCGGTTTTTGCTCGCGCGAGTCCCTCCCCCCCTTAAACCAGAGTTACACTCTAGTAAGGTGGGTACACGCGGATGGCGCAAGCCATTCACGTAAAACGGTGTATGTGTCGTGGACGCATGCACCGAGTTGTTGATGGCAAACTCTACCATTGGCAAAAACTCACTCCAACTCTTAAAGAAGTGTACGTATCCTCGAAGTATCTCTTCAAGGACACGATTGGCACGTTTCGTCTGACCATCTGACTCTGGATGATCAGATGTCGACATCTTCAAGCGCGTACCGAGTGATTTGAACACGGAACGCCAGAAATCAGAAGTGAATCGTGGATCCCTGTCTGATACGAGTTCACGGGGCAACCCATGAAGTCGGAAGATGGTGTCAATAAAGACACAAGCACAGCCACTTGCTGTGATTGACTCTGGTACAGCCACAAGGTGTACCATTTTGCTGAATCTGTCAACAAATACGAGAATACCCGTATTCCCGCGTGCGTCTTTGGGTAACCCGAAGACAAAATCCATTGAGATGGATTCCCAGCACTCAGCCGGAACCGGTAGAGGCTGTAAAGGTGCACGCAGTGAAGGGCTTGACTTCACTCGTTGACAGACTTCGCATGCGCGAATGTACTTGCGCACAAACTGATACCGGCGGGACCAGTAAAAGTCTCGACTCACCGTGAGATATGTTTTCTCCCGGCCACGATGTCCTCCTGTAGGAGCATCGTGATACTCGAACATGATCCGCAAACGCAGATCAGTATCATCTGGAATGACAACACGTGGTGTGTCACCAGTAACGGTTGTATAATACATTAAATCGTTGCGAGTAGTGTATCGATATGATGCAGATCGATACGCAGGCGACAATCGTTTCAACGATTCTCGGGATGGCTGTGAGAGATGTGTCATTAGCTTCAAAATCTCACCATCTTGGGCGTATGCCCGCCTCACATCATCATACAACGTTGTAGATGGGACTGAGGACGTCATAACCGCAACAGTGGCTGTCCCACTATTGGGTTTCACGACTGATTCAAAGTCGGGCCGACGTGAGAGTGCATCAGCGACGACAATAAGTCGTCCTGGTTTGTACTCGACCGTAAAGTTGTATTCTGCAAATAATGACAACCACCGCGCCCTTCGTTGTGAAAGGTGCGGGCTGTTTACTGCCGTGCGTAACGACGCATGGTCTGTGTAAACAATGAAGGGTCTATCTCCTAATAGATAGACTCTGAACTTCGCGAGTGCATACTTCATGTCAAGGAGTTCCTTGTCATGCACTGGATAGTTCCGCTCAGATGGTTGCAGCTGACGCGACTGATAGCAGACGACGCGTTCAACGCCTTCAAGGTCGTACTGCATTAATGCACAGCCGATTGCGAAATCGCTGGCATCACACACCACATGAAATGGCCTGTCCTGATCGGCTATTGCTAGGACTGGGGATTGTATCAAGCTCTGCTTGATACCCTCAAAGGAGCGCTGACATTCAGCGTTCCATAACCACCTCTCGTTCTTTTTCAACAAACGAGAGAGGTGCACAGTCATCTCGGCGTAATTGCGTGAATACTTGTGCAAATACGCCGCTAGCCCAAGGAATTTTCGAAGACCTTTGACATCGACTGGCACAGGCCAGTCGGTGATCGCCTTGATCTTTTCGGGATCAGGACGTACACCGTTCTTACCAACGATGCACCCAAGAAGTGGTATTTCGCTTGCTGCAAATATACACTTCTTGAGGTTTGCATACAATTGATGCTTTCGCATGATTGTAAGAACCTGTCGGACGTGGTACCTGTGAACCTCAACGTCCGACTTTCCATCCATAGCCCGACTATGGATGAATACGTCATCGAAATAACTCGGCGCGAATTCTCGTACTGGCCTCAACAGATGTGATACACATCTGTTGAACGTGGCAGGGGCATTACTAAGCCCTTGTGGCATTACTAGACATTCCCAGAGCATGCCGCTAGGCGTGCTAACTGCGGTATAGGGTATATCCCGTTCTCGCATAAGGATTTGATAGAAGCCATCCATCAAATCTATGGACGAAAAGATGGTACTCTTTGACATACCATCAATGATTACGTCCTTCCTCGGTATCGGCGTCTGTGCCGGTACCGTTGCAGCATTCAACTTATTGAATGCATGCACTATCCGCCACCCTCCTGTTGCTTTTCGCACACAGAAGGTCGGAGAGCTATGTGGGGAAGTTGATTCCCTCACATGGCCCGCAGCTAAACGATCGGCAAAGAACTTGTCGATCGCAAGTACTTGTTCACGAGGCAGTGGCCACTGCTTCATGACACAGTACTTCGAGCCTGGTTTAAGCTCGACCTCGTGTCGAATACCTTTATCCTTCGGTAATTCGCACGGAACAGTTTCAAGGAATACATCCTTGAATTCTACCAAATCTTCATAGAGAGGATTTGTCTTGAGCGATACCCACGATTGGGAGTCATATCGCTCAATTCGTGTCTTTTCATCTAGGACACTCTCGTCCATAGATGAACTACTGAGAACTCTCTCGTTCTCAGTAAACACTGTTGCTGACCTTATGTCGGTTACACACTCGTCGTCAGCGACGAGTACGCCGACCTTCTTGACTTTGCCACTACGCAGATCACGCAAGAACCTTTTATGTTCGAGCGTTGGCAACTGAGTGATCTCCGAAGTCAACTTTGGAGGCGCAATCAGATCAAGTGTATAAGCGCCTACACTTGATCCGTTATTGACTATGACATTCAATGTCTCTGTCATTTCCTGGGGACTTATTCCCTCAGGCTTCGAAGGATTTATTCCTTCGGCTTCCCGGGGACTTATTCCCTCGGGTTTCGGGGAACTTATTTCCACCGTATTTGTATTATCAGGACTTATTCCCTTTACTTCCTCTAGCTGGGGTTGCGCAACCACAGCGAGATCCTCTACGAAAGACTCTCCAGTCGATCTAGGATTATCGTTTCGCTTAACCTAATTGATTGATTGTTTCTCTTCTAGATGTTCCTCGCTAGGGATACATCTTTGTCCCGGTCCACTCGACTTATTCGAGTGGTGGACCTTCGGCGCAGCCTGTGTTTCCTCACAGCCGCCGGAACTTTGCTCCGAAGTGTAACCGTTTGTTACACTAAGGTTTCGTGCAGTCGTACTAACGACCGTACCACAAGCGAGGCCATCGCACTCACTCGTAGTACATCCACACGCTTGTGGACGCTCCAAAACGTTCATCAGATGGCCATCTGATGAACAAGCGGCAGGCATCGTTACTGTCCGATGTTGCCAGTTTACCCGTGGTTCGTACCTTCTGAGCCACGGTATTCCAAGGATGACATCAAATTTGCCATCCAAATCCAATGTGATAAAGTCATCGTGATACTGGGTATCTTCTAGCGTATAGTGAATCTTCACTATACGCTTCATGACGGTTACGGATGCGCCTGTCGCAAGACGTACCGTCATCCTCGTAGGAGGTGTGTCGCACTCAACAAACTTGAAGTGACCATCTTCTAGCGATTGGCGTCGCACAAAATTGTTGGACGCCCCACAATCGACTAGAGCTCGAAGGGACAACTTATTCGTCACTTCGAGTTTCAAGGTAATGAGTGAGATCTCATTACCTAGAGCAGCAACGCACAACGTTTGTGTGTTGGGAGCAACCTTCATCAAGAGGCCTACAAATTCTCTTGACGTTGCTGGACCAGTAGGGTGCTCCGCACCTACTGATCCTGACCGTTCTTTGACGGTCCATCCCGTTGTTGCGTCTTTGCACCAACAGCGGACCCGCGTTCCTGCCCCTTTCTCATGGGTGGACGGTCACTACGCCCAGTGTCGCGAGACACTGGACGAGGGGCACTACACTCATAAGCGTAGTGTCCTGTCTTTTGACGTCTGTTGCATTTCTGCAACTTCTTGTAGCCTGTAGAGCGAGCCTTCTCGCTCTCTACATAGCAGAGTTCCATCGGCTCTGGACCTCCGTTGTCATATCGTCTCGGTTGACGATATGATGTCGAGCTGGCGCGAGCCTGTCTCAGACTGAAGTCTTCCTGTTCCGCAATGGAAATGGCTTGTTCTAGTGAATCCAGTTCAAGTCAGAACAGGTGAGTCTTGACGGGACCATCCGCAAGACCCTGCATGAACACCGAAACCAACGTGTGTTCACCAACCGGGTTGGAACTTATACAACTCATGAGATGTCGTATATGTTGCGCGTAAGCGTGCACAGCACGCTTATTTTGTTCGAGCTTCAAGAGTTCGGTTCGAGCCCTGAACTCAGCTCTAGGCGGTTCAAACGTTTGTCTGAGCCGCGACTTGAAGACTTCTAACGACCCAAACGCATATGGGTCGTGCAGCTTGAGCCCCAGTGCCCAAGTCTTGGCACGTCCTGCCAGATTTGGCCGGGCAAATGCAGCTTGCGTTTCCCCATCGTCGATGCGACGCGCCCTTATAGCGTCGTCTAATTCAACGAACCATCTCAAGAGGGAGTCCTCTTCGACTCCCCTATACTTGGAGATGTCAATCTTCAAGGTCTCGGGTCGACGCGAATGCATCGACCCACCAGCAGCAGCCTGTTGCTGTCTCAACAATTCAAACTGTTGAGTACCCTGTTATCTCAACAACTCTGATTGTTGAGAACCTTGTTGGTGAAGCAAGGCTACTTTCTCGCGTTCTGCGTCAAGTTCATTTTGAATGAACTTGGCGATAGTAGCATGTTGGGAATCTCGATTGTGAGCCTCTAGCATGACGCTAACAGCATGGATGCCCATGGTTGAACCCATCCGTTCAACCGCATCCCATCCGACATCGCTCAAATGGGAGTAGCCGTCACGCGTAGCGTGAAAGCTTTGGTCATCTTCATCATCCAACATATTCATGTTAGATGTGAACGCGGTCAGTGGACGGACTACGAAGTGCTACCAGGTGTAACCGGCACCCTGAAGCTTGTACTTATGACAGTACAAGCTACTTATTCTGATGACAGAATGAGGCGGTGCCGCGTACTTCACGTACACTGGTACGTGCAGAGGAAGACGGTAAGGAGAAGCGAGTACTTGGTTAAAGTAAAAAGTAGAACTGTATTTATAATAGTTAATGTCTGCAATAAATCACTATTTATCTTCATCTAACTATGTCTAAATACAAATGTGTAAATCAGTTATCTGCTCACCACTCATTGCGTGCGTCTGTCGTGGCGCGTCTTCGTTGGTTGATATAATGGCCTATATCAACCAATTAGGACTACTCGTAAGTGCTACATAATATTTGTCCTTATGACAATATTCTGAGAATATAACTCTTATAGTTATATTCTATTAACAATTTCTTATAAATTGTTATGTAACGATTCACCCCGTTACAAGATCAAAGAAAATCTCCGGCGCCATTGATCCAGAAACGCCGAAAATGTCGACGTAGTGGCAAGTGTCAAGGACACTAGTACATTAAAGGCAACCTGATGGCCAAGTAGAGCGACCTTCTCTCCTCCCAAAGACTTCTTAACATCCAGCGACTTGGCCCCGATCGAAATTTCCCCGTTTAAGGAGCGCTCAATCACATTAAGTCGACCGCTTCTAAGTAACTCCTCGACCTTAGCATTACCATGGTTACTGAGAAAGGAAGCAACCAACTTGGAAGTTCTCACCTTTGAAAATAGTGTCTCCACTTCCAATTCCATCGAGTACAGAAACACTTCCGCTACTCCCGGACTCTTTTCGCGGAGCTTGCGCAAGAAAAAATAACGATCAGCCTCGTCATCATAGAGTTGAATCATCGCCAGCAGGTCACGATCGGACGGCTTGGCGATGTCAAAGAACCCCGGAGAGGCCATATTGCCTTTCTTCTTCGGGTGGCCCCGTCGCGAAATAGAGCGGCGTAGCCCTTTGGTGGCGATGGACTAGAGCGAGCTGATAGCTTAGACGCATCATCGCCGTTGGAAGGGAGCTGAACCGCCTGGACACCCCCAAAATTGGAAGTTGGGGAGGCCGAGCCCACGCCCCCCGACATGGAAGAAGAGGAGGGGCGCATTGGATGCCTAGTGCTGGTGGACCAGCCACGGTACCCGCACCTCGACCTATCGGTGCAGAAGCAGGCACCACATCGGAACCAGTGGTGGTCGGCATTGGCAAGGGTGAAAGCTGATTGGTTAAAATTCTCGAATTGAAACTTAGGAAGCAAATTAAGAACTCCTGCAATTTTAGCATCTTTTGCGCAAAGGTTTACTAAATATCCCACATGTGCTTACGTCCCCATCATCTGCGTCCATGGCATAGCTCACATACAAAAAACCGATTATGGCACCCGGTTGATAGTACAGGGTCAGGGACGACCTCACAAATATCAGGTATGTGATAAAGTTTGTCAGCATTAGTGAAATGACGGAGATGGGTAAAGCGCTCTTGGTAAAGGAGTGTGGGTGGATCAAGAAGATGCGTAAGGCTGGTGTAAAAATGTGCACCATCACACGCACTGTAAAGCACTTACTTGACGCACCAATTGTATTATGAACAGTCGTGGACGTCAACAAGCGACGGGAAAGCCGCCAATTCTATTTGGTCTTGCCCAACATCTACTTGCTCGATCAGCAGCCAGGGTAGATATATCACCATCACAGTTGCATCAGCTGTAACGGGGCACCCTGAAGCTTGTACTGGTGACAGTACAAGCTACTTATTATGATAACAGAATAAGGCGGTGCCTCAGAACTTCACGTACACTCGTACGTGCAGAGGAAGACGGTAAGAAGAAGCGAGTACTTGGTTAAAGTAAAACGTAGAACTGCATTTATCATAGTTAATGTCTGCAATAAATCACTATTTATCCTCATCTGACTATGTCTAAATACAAATGTGTAAATCAGTTATCTGCTCACCACTCATTGCGTGCGTCTGTCGTGGCGCGTCTTCGTTGGTTGATATAATGGCCTATATCAACCAATTAGGAACTACTCGTAAGTGCTACAGAATATTTGTCCTTATGACAATATTCTGAGAATGTAACTCTTATAGTTATATTCTATTAACAATTTCTTACAAATTGTTATGTAACGATTCACCCCGTTACATCAAGGATCCATCACCTTGACCCCAGCGCGAAAAACTATCGGGCTGAGAATGAATTCTTCATCGATACTTTGTTTCGACATCGATGGTACAGTGGGAATCACAAACGTGATGGTCCCTCACTGCTTCAGGCGTGGAACGCCTACATCCATAACCTTGAGGATGTAGGTCGTGACGCTTCGAACGACAAACTTATCAAAGCTCGTGATAAGTTTGAAAAGCGAACCCCGACAGGTGCACGCTACAAGCTGCATCGTCTATCAAGGGAAAAAGGATTACCCTGCCTCTCATGGGGAGACTCGTGCCCTTGTTGTGTGAACAACTCTGCACGAGCACCTAAGGAGGCTTACCTCCTTACCAGCCCGTGGTGGCGCGTACGTGTCTCTACTGAGATGTACGAAGGGATTGACAACCTGAAATCCCTTTACGACCGTGCCGGGAAGACTTTCTCCGGCGGTCCTTCTGCGGCACAGGATGTGTCGCGTCGTACTGCTCGACCAGACCCAGTACGTCAACCATCAATTGGGAGCGGGGCTCCCAAGAATCCCAGGACGGGGGATAGCCGCGCCACCGGATGAGGTAACTCGTCCGACGTCCGTTCACGTCGCGGTGGTTCAACAGCTGCTCAACTAGATAGCGCTGGCCACCGCGAGAGTCCTCTAATGGAGGTGGAGGAGGAGGAAAGACGCTCTCCACACGATCATGTGGATCGGTGTGTTCCCTAGAGCTTCTTTGATCGCGTAACGCAAGGGTTACGCGACGATCTCGAGCATGAGCGGAATAGGCGTCTCCAGATGGTGGACACTGCCTCGAAGCATCGAGCTGAGTTTGCCTTTGCTCAGCTTGAGAACGAGAGATCTCTGACATCTCTTCGTGACGAGCTAAGGGTAGCTCGTGGGATTGTTGATCGGTCTCGGGCTGAGATAACTGCTCTTCAGACCCTTGTTGATGCCCACCATCAGGAGCACAAGGCTCTCTGCGAGATGCTTGAGCGCAAGGGCGTTCTTCATCGGAAGAATCAGCGTACTGATGGTAAGGCTTAAGCCGACCAACGTAAAACGTGGGATGCGTTCGCATCTTACGTGGTAACTCGATCGTGTATGCATTGCCTAGGCGGTGCAATACACGAAATGGGCCAATGTACTTGGGTAGTAGTTTACTGCTACCCAAGTTAGTCACTACATGTTTTGGTAGATTAACCGTAGACAGTAGGACTAAGTCACCTTTATTAAATAAAAGAGTGTTTGCCCTTCCATTCTTGTCAGCGTTTTGCTTTTGCTTATCCACCGCTTCGGCGATGGAGTCTTGCACAAAACGGACTACCGTTTCACGAGCCAGTATGAACTCATCTGATGACTCGTTAGCTTCAGTGTGCTGTGAGCGCACTGCAGCGACAACAACCTTTTCTTCAGTGAGGGCTTCCGCACTCTCACTGGGATCATTGTCTTCAGTGAGGGCTTCCGCACTCTCACTGGCATCATCTTCTTCGATATCGATGTTATCGATATCGGCATCAAACGCAATGACTTCTTCGTCAGAGCGTGATGAGCGTGAACCAAATCGGTTTTTGCTCGCGCGAGTCCCTCCCCCTTAAACCAGAGTTACACTCTAGTAAGGTGGGTACACGCGGATGGCGCAAGCCATTCACGTAAAACGGTGTATGTGTCGTGGACGCATGCACCGAGTTGTTGATGGCAAACTCTACCATCGGCAAAAACTCACTCCAACTCTTAAAGGAGTGTACGTATCCTCGAAGTATCTCTTCAAGGACACGATTGGTACGTTCCGTCTGACCATCTGACTCTGGATGATCAGATGTTGACATCTTCAAGCGCGTTCCGAGTGATTTGAACACGGAACGCCAGAAATCAGCAGTGAATCGTGGATCTCTGTCTGATACGAGTTCACGGGGCAACCCATGAAGTCGGAAGATGGTGTCAATAAAGACACAAGCACAGCCACTTGCCGTGATTGTCTCTGGTACAGCCACAAGGTGTACCGTTTTGCTGAATCTGTCAACAAATACGAGAATACCCGTATTCCCGCGTGCGTCTTTGGGTAACCCGAAGACGAAATCCATTGAGATGGATTCCCAGCACTCAGCCGGAACCGGTAGAGGCTGTAAAGGTGCACGCAGTGAAGGACTTGACTTCACTCGTTGGCAGACTTCGCATGCGCGAACATACTTTCGCACAAACTGATACTGGCGGGGCCAGTAAAAGTCTCGACTCACCGTGAGATATGTTTTCTCACGGCCACGATGTCCTCCTATAGGAGCATCGTGATACTCGAACATGATCCGCAAACGCAGATCAGTATCATCTGGAATGACAACACGTGGTGTGTCACCAGAAACGGCTGTATAGTACAGTAAACCGTTACGAGTAGTGTATCGATCTGATGCAGATCGATACGCAGACGACAATCGTTTCAACGATTCTCGAGATGGCTGTGAGAGATGTGTCATTAGCTTCAAAACCTCACCATCTTGGGCGTATGCCCGCCTCACATCATCATACAACGTTGTAGATGGGACTGAGGACGTCATAACCGCAACAGTGACTGTCTCACTGTTGGGTTTCGCGACTGGTTCAAAGTCGGGCCGACGTGAGAGTGCATCAGCGACGACATTAAGTCGTCCTGGTTTGTACTCGACCGTAAAGTTGTATTCTGCAAAGAATGACAACCACCGCGCCCTTCGTTGTGAAAGGTGCGGGCTGTTCACTGCCGTGCGTAAGGACGCATGGTCAGTGTAAACAACGAAGGGTCTATCTCCTAATAGATAGACTCTGAACTTCGCGAGTGCATACTTCATGGCAAGGAGTTCCTTGTCATGCACTGGATAGTTCCGCTCAGCTGGTTGCAGCTGACGCGACTGATAGCAGACGACGCGTTCAACGCCTTCAAGGTCGTACTGCATTAATGCACAGCCGATTGCGAAATCGCTGGCATCACAGACCACATGAAATGGCCTGTCCTGATCGGCTATTGCTAGGACTGGGGATTGTATCAAGCTCTGCTTGATACCCTCAAAGGAGCGTTGACATTCAGCGTTCCATAACCACCTCTCGTTCTTTTTCAACAAACGAGAGAGGTGTACAGTCATCTCGGCGTAATTGCGTGAATACTTATGCAAATACGCCGCTAGCCCAAGGAATTTTCGAAGACCTTTGACATCAAGCGGCACAGGCTAGTCGGTGATCGCCTTGATCTTTTCGGGATCAGGACGTACACCGTTCTTACTAACGATGCACCCAAGAAGTGGTATTTCGCTTGCTGCAAATATACACTTCTTGAGGTTTGCATACAATTGATGCTTTCGCATGATTGTAAGAACTTGTCGGACGTGGTACTTGTGAACCTCAACGTCCGACTTTCCATCCATAGCTCGACTATGGATGAATACGTCATCGAAATAACTCGGCGCGAATTCTCGTACTGGCCTCAACAGATGTGATACACACCTGTTGAACGTGGCAGGGGCATTACTGAGCCCTTGTGGCATTACTAGCCATTCCCAGAGCATGCCGCTAGGCGTGCTAACTGCGGTATAGGGTATATCCCGTTTCCGCATTAGGATTTGATAGAAGCCATCCATCAAATCCATGGACGAAAAGATGGTACTCTTTGACATACCATCAATGATTACGTCCTTCCTCGGTATCGGCGTCTGAGCCGGTACCGTTGCAGCGTTCAATTTGTTAAACGCGTGCACTATCCGCCACCCTCCTGTTGCTTTTCGCACACAGAAGGTCGGAGAGCTATGTGGGGAAGTTGATTCCCTCACATGGCCCGCTGCTAAACGATCGGCAAAGAACTTGTCGATCGCAAGTACTTGTTCACGAGGCAGTGGCCACTGCTTCATGACACAGTACTTCGAGCCTGGTTTAAGCTCGACCTCGTGTCGAATACCTTTATCCTTCGGTAATTCGCACGGAACAGTTTCAAGGAATGCATCCTTGAATTCTACCAAATCTTCATAGAGAGAATTTGTCTTGAGCGATTCCCATGATTGGGACTCATATCGCTCAATTCGTGTCTTTTCATCTAGGACACTCTCGTCCATAGATGAACTACTGAGAACTCTCTCGTTCTCAGTAAACACTGTTGCTGACCTTATGTCGGTTACATACTCGTCTTCAGCGACGAGTATGCAGATCTGCTTGACTTTGCCACTACGCAGATCACGCAAGAATCTTTTATGTTCGAGCGTTGGCAACTGAGTGATCTCCGAAGTCAACTTTGGAGGCGCAATCAGATCAAGTGTATAAGCGCCTACACATGATCCGTTATTGACTATGACATTCAATGTCTCTGTCATTTCCTGGGGACTTATTCCCTCAGGCTTCGAAGGACTTATTCCTTCGTCTTCCCGGGGACTTATTCCCTCGGGTTTCGGGGAACTTATTTCCACCGTATTTGTATTATCAGGACTTATTCCCTTTACTTCCTCTAGCTGGGTTTGCGCAACCACAGCGAGATCCTCTACGAAAGACTCTCCAGTCGATCTAGGATTATCGTTTCGCTTAACCTGAGCGATCGATTGTTTCTCTTCTAGATGTTCCCCTCTAGGGATACATCTTTGTCCCAGTCCACCCGACTTATTCGAGTGGTGGACCTTCGGCGCAGCCTGTGTTTCCTCACAGCCGCCGGAACTTTGCTCCGAAGTGTAACCGTTTGGTACACTAAGGTTTTATGCAGTCGTACTAACGACCGTACCACAAGTGAGGCCATCGCACTCACTCGTAGTACATCCACACGCTTGTGGACTCTCCAAAACGTTCATCAGATGGCCATCTGATGAACAAGCGGCAGGCATCGTTACTGTCCGATGTTGCCAGTTTACCCGTGGTTCGTACCTTCTGAGCCATGGTATTCCAAGGATGACATCAAATTTGTCATCCAAATCCAATACGATAAAGTCATCGTCATATTGGGTATCTTCTAGCGTATAGTGAATCTTCACTATACGCTTCATGACGGTTACGGATGCGCCTGTCGCAAGACGTACCGTCATCCTCGTAGGAGGTGTGTCACATTCACTGAATTTAAAGTGACCATCTTCTAGCGATTGGCGTCGCACAAAATTGTTGGACGCCCCACAATCGACTAGAGCTCGAAGGGACAACTTATTCGTCACTTCGAGTTTCAAGGTAATGAGTGAGATCTCATTACCTAGAGCAGCAACGCACAATGTCTGTGTGTTGGGAGCAACCTTCATCAAGAGGCCTACAAATTCTCTTGACGTTGCTGGATCAGTAGGGTGCTCCGCACCTACTGATCCTGTCCGTTTTTTGACGGTCCATCCCGTTGTTGCGTCTTTGCACCAACTGCGGACCCTCGTCCCTGCCCCTTTCTCATGGGTGGACGGTCACTACGCCCAGTGTCGCGAGACACTGGACGAGAGGCACTACACTCGTAAGCGTATTGTCCTGTCTTCTGACATCTGTTGCATTTCTGCAACTTCTTGTAGCCTGTAGAGCGAGCCTTCTCGCTCTCTACATAACAGAGTTCCATCGGCTCTGGACCTCCGTTGTCATATCGTCTCGGTTGACGATATGATGTCGAGCTGGCGCGAGCCTGTCTCAGACTGAAGTCTTCCTGTTCCGCAATGGAAATGGCTTGTTCTAGTGAATCCAGTTCAAGTCAGAACAGGTGAGTCTTGACGGGACCATCCGCAAGACCCTGCATGAACACCGAAACCAACGTGTGTTCACCAACCGGATTGGAACTTATACAACTCGTGAGATGTCGTATATGTTGCGCGTAAGCGTGCACATCACGCTTACCCTGCTTGAGCTTCAAGAGTTCGGTTCGAGCTCTGAACTCAGCTCTAGGCGGTTCAAACGTTTGTCTGAGCCGCGACTTGAAGACTTCCAACGACCCAAACGCATATAGGTCGTGCAGCTTGAGCCCCAGTGCCCAAGTCTTGGCACGTCCTGCCAGATTTGACTGGGCAAATGCAACTTGCATATCCCCGTCGTCGATGCGACGCGCCCTTATGGCGTCATCCAATTCGACGAACCATCTCAAGAGGGAGTCTTCTTCGACCCCCCTATACTTTGAGATGTCAATCT